TTATTAAAATTAATCTTAAATTTATGTACTATATTGTTGATATTTCATCATGTAAAAAGTCTGTCCAATTTGGATATTCAACCTCTAATCTCTTTAAAATAGTATTTATTGCCATTTCTAATTCATCAGTTCTTTTATTGAAATTATTACGACCATCTGTACATTTGTTAATAATATTCTTTAATTCATGAATCATATTTGGAATATCTCTAATATATTTTTCTTTATTAACCATATTAATTTTATTATTAAAAACAACATCAATTGTACCTCGTAATTCTTTAAATTTACTAGAATATGCAGAAATAAAATCTTGTTTAATCATCTGAATTTCACATAAGGCATAAAATACAACTGGTTTAGATAAAACTTGTGATATCTGATTTAATAAATTATAAGCTTTATCTAATAATGAATATGATAATTCCTTAGTATTATTTAATTGAGTCTTCTTTAATAAATCAATGATTATTGGTAAAGACCATATAGGATATTTACTTATATTTGATGATAATTTAAGCATGCTTAAAAGGCATTCAAGAATAGTATTAAGATCATTCCTTTGTATTGCTATTTTAAGAGATGAATCCCACATCATCCAATTTTCTCTAGAATATTTAAGTCCTTCATTAATTGCGTTTTGAGCTTCATTCCATAATTCTTTTTTTGATAATCCTGCAGCTAAATTTGCCCAAGCTTCACCTTGTTGAGGGTCTAAAGTTACAACTCTACTAAATGCTTTTAAAGCATCATCCCATTTATCTAATTTAAGTGCAACACAACCCATAGAAAACCAACAATTAACATTTGTTGAATTTATAATAGATGCTTTTTTATATGCATCTAAAGCTTTATCTAATTGACCATTCTTAAAATAATTATTTCCTAAGGATCTTTGAGCTCTAGCATATTTATTACCAGATATTTTCCATGCTTCTTCATATTGTGTTAAATCATTTGTTAAATCACCTAATGAACAATAAAGTCGTGGAGTTGGTCTTATTAATAATTGCTTCTTAATTAAATCAATAGCTTCTTCTTTTCTATTAGCAACTACAAGACAATCAACAGCATCTTCCCATAAACACATATCAACAAACATATTATAAGCTGATAATACAGAACCAATCCTCATCATCCTAATTCCTAATTCCTTCTTAGCTTCCCATATGTTTGGATAATTAACTGAAAAAATAAATCTTAAACGTTCTAATACATCTGGTTCTTCATCTTTAAATTGGTCTACAAGTGATTGAAGTTGCAAACAAGCTCTGTCAGCTGTTCTACCTCTATGATGTTCAGAATAACAACGATACCATAAAGCTGTTGAATAGAATAACCAATTATGAACTTGAGATTTAATTAATTTATTCTCAATTTTAGAAACATCAAGTTGAATAATTCTATTCATTAATGCTTCTAATTGTTCATATGCCATCATATCATTTGAAGGACTTGTTTCATATAAAGAAACACCATGACATAATAATACACATTGTTCTTCAAGGTTTAATGAATTACATAAACCTTCAACTTCTTTTTCATCTAATTTAACTGTTTCATATAAATCATTATCTTCATTAACTGAATCTAATAAAATATTTACTGGTAAATTATTATTATTATCTAAATTTAAATCATTCATTTGTACTACTATTTCATTTAAATTAAATATCCTTCTATTTTTTCTATTAATCTCAACAACTAATTGAGAAGTACTTTCTAATTGAGATATTCTTCTTTTACCTAATGCGCCCGTAAAGTTATATGTAAATCCTTCAATCTTTGCAATAAGTTGTAATATTACTGCACATGGATTAGCTCTACCATACATTGCTAAAGATATTGAAAGATCAAGTAAGTAATATATTATATCTTCTTTTATAATATTATGTGGTATTCTTATACATATATCTTTATCTATTAAATCAAATTTTAAATTCCGTAAAAGATCATTTTTAAATCTATCATTTATATTAAAATTTTTTAAAACTATATTGAAATGTTTAAATAACCACGATGAATAATTTATCAATATTATTTCTTCAAGATATGAGCATGCAGCATTTTTAGCACCACCTTCAAGACTTCTTTGCCATATTCTATAAATCCTCTGTCTCCAAAGTGGTATTAAAGTTAAATATGATATATTATTATTATTATCATTTATAAATTTAATTAATAATGAATTACAATCTAAATTGTTATTTGAATTCTCTGATAATATTTCAATTAATATTATACTAAAAGTTAAATATGGTATAGCAGCACATCTTTGATATATATATTCCCCATCAATCTCAAGGAGTTCAATACATCTTTTTGTAAATTTGGTCTCAAGATTATCAGAATTATAATCTTGTGGTCCAAAAATTAAAATATTACCAATATCATCTATTTTATCTTCATTTTTTAATTTCCACTCTTGAGCAATTTTTGAATTTATAATATTAGGTGGACCTGTCCAATTTGATTGTAAATAAATTTTTAATAATAAAATAACAATACATAAAACTTCAAATTGACAAACTTTTTTTTCTAAATTATTATTATTATTATTATTAATATAATTATTGTAATATGATATTATTGATTTACCTATTTCATCAAATGACATATCTTCAAAATTTGGATAATTACTTCTTATTAATGGTGTTACAAGATATTCTAAAGATCTTGAATTTAATAATTCACTTAAAGAACATAATTCAGCAATTCTTGAGGCTTCTTTTAATCTTTCAAATATTTCTTTAGGATTTTCATTAGTAGGTATATTATATTTAGATGGATATTGACTAGCTAATCTATATTCCCATATTAAAAATAAATTATCATATTCATTATCATTTGTTTCATAATTAGCCATATTTAATATATCATAATATTACTAATAAAACTCTCTAATTCTCTCTTTTTCTCTTTATTTTTCTTGGAATCAAATATATATCAATTCGTATTGTCACAGCGCCTCCTAATATTAACAAAGTCTTTTTAGATAATTATAAGTGATATTAGACACATTTTTAATATAAAATTAAATTATAAACAAGGATACTTAATATTATAAAGATTAATAAAAACAAATAAGTATAATAACAATTATAGTTTATTATTATTTAACAAATTACTTGAAATTTTAAAATTATATAAAAATTTAAAAATAAACTATCTTGATGCACCTTTTTGAAAATGTTTTGGATCCCAATCATCACCTAAATCATTTTCCCACAAATTAATATTTGGTATAGATGAATCTTTCCGATTATCATATTTACTAGATAAAGATTCTTCAATCTTATTAATATTATTATTTAAATTTATCTGATTATTTTTTGAATTTCTATATGAATAAGGTGACATGTTGTTCATATTATTATTTGAACTTATATTATAATTATTATTATTAATATTATTATATTGTGATGTAGTAAAGTCTGCAGTTGAATTTGGTTCAATAACAGAACTAATTACACTTCCAACTCCTGATAAACCACTTTGTATTGTATTATTTAACCATGTTGCTGAATTTTGTACAGTATTACTTGTATTTTTCCAAAATTGTTCATCTTGAACTTTTTCAATAACTACTTTCCCGGCCTCTTCAATATATGTAGTACCAGCACGTACAGAATCTATTGCACTTTCTAATATTCCATGTTCTTGTACATGATTAATAGTAGATTCTGCATAATTTTTAGTATTTGAAAATAATTTCATACTAAATGATGATATATTTCCAAGTATACTATTATTTCCATTACCAATATTTTTATCTAATAAATTTGCAAATTTCATTTTATTATTATCATCATTATTATTATTATTATTAATTTGACCATCATTATTTCTTAATTCATCTTTTTTATTAGTTTCTGTAATATCTTCAAGTTGTCCAATTGATATTGAAGGTATCTCAGGTGGTGACTTTCCATCTAATAAATTTTTAAGTTTATTACGATAATAAGTAGCTATTTTTGAACAATATTTTTGTTTAATAGATAAATCAGATAATCCATATTGTTTAAATAAAGTAGAAAGTCGACTATTTCCACCTAATTCCATAAGCCTAAGTTGTCTTGAATTCCATGTATCCATTGTTGTCGATCTAACAAAACTAATATGTACTCCAAGACTTCTATGAATACCACTACAAGTTAAACAAATAAAACAACCATGAGAAACAGAAGCCCATTGTGGATGAGCAGCACCACAATCAATACATCTATTATTAGAAGGATCCAATTCTTTAATATTTCTAAAAAATTGTTGTGTCTGACTATCCATACCTTACTTTATAATTTCTTATATTTAATTTATAAATATCAATAAAAACAAATTTATTACTTTTAGTAGTACTAAATAAGAAATAACTTTAACTCTAATTACAACTTAACGTACTAAGAATATAACCGCCTCTAGCCCTCTTAAAATGTTTAATATAAAAAAAACTTATAATTATTATTTTAGGACTTTATTAATTTTAGATATTGGATTTTAACTAATAATATAATATATAATTAGAATTAATCCTTATAATATTACAATTAGATTTGATAAATATCCTACATAATAGCTTAATAATAATTAGATTTTAAAATCTATGTAATACAGTAAAATATTTAAAAAAGAAACTTCAGTATTTAATTGATATATAAGACTTCTAAATACTTTGTAATACCTATAAATTAAAATCAATTATAATTCCTCTTTAACTCCCCTTATATCATCATCATCAATATCATCATCATCATCTATATGATCATATTTATCTAAATCAGTATATTTTATATTTGGACGAATATTTAAAGGAATAGGTATATCACCTTTAATATTTGAATTTAATATATTTGAACCATCTAATAATCCATCAATATATTCATTAACATTTAAAATATCATTAAATATTTTAAATTTCCTACGTTTAGGTCTATATATAATAATACAACTATTATGAGAATAGTCACAATTAAATATTTTAAGAAAATGATCATTAATTCCATTTTGAATAGCATAAATCCAAAAAAACTTAATTGGATCATTTCTATATTTAAAAGCAATATCTTCTAATTGAATATTTCTTATTGGTGGTTTTTGATTAACAATCCATAATACACAAAATTGTGAATCTAAGTGATTACATTCTCCATTTATGTAATTATAATAAGTAAATTCATTAATTTGTCTCTTTATTTGAGAAGATTTAATTTTTTGTTTTGCACGAAAACTACCAACTAAACGACTTAAAGTAAGTGTAATTACATCATACGATATTGTATTAATTTGTATCCATTCTCCATATACAATATTATCTTCATATTCTTCAACTGATAATATAAATGGAGGATTAATAGGTTTAGAATTTTTCATTTGAGGGGTAGATAAGAATATTTCATCAATCCAATGTGAATCAGTAAGTATAGTAGCTAAACTAAGACGATCTTTAAAATCTTTAGCAATTTTTTTTAATAATGGTGATGATGTATTTTTTTTTGTAAATAATACAGCCTTAGGTAAATTAGAATTAAATTTAAGCCAATTAATAGATTGATTTTTAGATAATAATTTTATTGAATAATCAGGTATTTGATTAGTAATCCAATTTCCTATACTAGATTCAGTAAATAGATCACCTTTATATATTATTTCATTATGATTTTCTTTTATAAACATAGATATATATGGATATTGTTTTATATTATAAGATTGACAAATTTGATAATTATTATCACAATTAATTGCTAAAAATTCAATACCATATGAATTCATAACTTTCGCTATATTATTATAAATATTTACAAGCTCTTTACAAGGGCCACAACCAGGCCTATAAAAATTGATAATTAAGATCCATTCATAAGACTTTAATTTTTCTTTAATATCAGATGATGATGAATATTCAGAGATATATTGTGAATTTGTATATAAATTTTGTGAATTAGTATATCCATTATATTGTTGCCTATATTGATTATTAAATTGGGTATTACCTTGATGATCATTACTAAATTTAAATTGTCCACCACCAAAGTGAAATGTATTTCCACCAGATTGAAATTTAAAACCACCAAAATTATTAAAACCACCAAAACCACCAAAACCACCAAATCCACTAAAATCATTAAATCCTCCAGCTGATGCTCCATCACTTTTTAATCCTTCTTCACCAAATTTATCATATTTTTGCCTTAGATTAGGATCACTTAATACTTCATAGGCATTAGCTACTTCCATAAATTTATCTTTTGCATCAGGGTTTTTATCAGGATGATATTTTAAGCTAAGTTTACGATATGCTTTCTTAATAGTTGCATCATTTGCATTTCTTGGAACACCTAATATCTTATAATAATCTTTACCAGATAAACAAGGGAGAATAAAAAATATTGCAATATATATCAATGTTAATAATAAATAATGAATCTTAAATCCCAACATAACCAAATAAATATGAAATAAACACAAAATCTCTAGTTATTATTAATATATAATGAAATTATATTACTTATGACGATTTTAAGTTTTTTTTTCCCCTTCTTTCCTTTTTCTTATTACCTGCTTGAAAAAGAAAAAATAGGGGGTGGCGGTGAATGGGTAACCTATCTATTGTGCGGGCTCTTTTGTACTGTGGCCTTTATTGTATAATAACTTGATATTTAGGGGGAGAAGAGAATTACACAAAAAAAAAACTACTTCAATTAGGTAATAGAATGAATTATATAATGTGAATATGTAATCCACGCATTACTCTGATTTTAAACTATTAATTTCCCCTACATATTCCTTAAAAAAAAAAAAATCAAATTAGTAAAGCAATTGTATATAGCTTAGCTAATACAATATGAAAGTAATAATAATATCTCAAATATTAAGATCCATGCTCTTGTTTATTAGATCTCCCCCTATTTGAACGCCTCATACCTCTTTGATAAGATGGACCATGTGGTCTTAATGCAGATGCACCAAATGTCTCCTTATCAATTTGTTTTTGTTTCTCTCTTAATGCTCTTTGTTGAGCATCAATTTGGCCACTTTTCTTCTTAGTTCTTTCTGGATCTAATGTCTCACATGAAATACTGTCAAAAAACCCACTAGTCTTACTATAACCACCTACAGGTAAAGATTGATTAGATACATTATTTTGTTCAGTTTGAATTTGAGGTGGTTGTGATTTATCAAATTTCTTATTTTGTTCTGAAAAATTAAATTCAGTATCAAGTTCAGCTTTTAATGTTTGATTAACACGTGGTTTTAATTCACCCACTACAAATGAACGTTGATTATTTGTTGTATGATGGTGATTATTAGTATGATAATTTCTATTTGATCCCCTATTGCGGTTTCTATTATTATCTTTTTGTTCTTTTGGTTGTCTTCTTGAATTAGAACTAGTTATATTTTGTACTGGTACCCCTACTGATTGAACTGATTTTTCCACAACATTATTTAAGGTTGGAGGATCAATTAAATGTAAGTTTGTTTGGGTATGTTGATTAATATCTGTAGTTGGTCTATTACAAGGAGATTTAGGTTTTTCATTCACACTAACTGATATTATTGCTGAATCTTGAGGAAAGTTCGTATTTGTTTGACATACAGCTAAATCTGTAATATCACTACCTCTAAAAACAATCATTTCAAAAATTGTTGGTGTTGGAGGTATTTCAGGTAAACATCGTCCTTCAGTACCAAAATGGCGTACATCCTTTAAAGTAATTGTAGACTCATCAACATCTATAGAGTGTAGAATACCTTCATATCTATTCTCATTTCGAGATATTATTGTGATCTTACTTCCAATATATTCGTGAACCATTACAAATTTTTTGTATAATATTTAGACTTATCCCTTAAGTAATATTACTTAGGATATAGCTCAAAGCTCTAATTATATTAATAATAAAAGAAGTAAATTACCTAGACCCAAATAAAAAGTCTATATATTTATAAAGTTGTCAAAACGATTTATCCCTTATTATGTATTTTGAATATTCTCTATGGAGTATCATTCTAACAAGACAAGTCACTAAAAAAAAGAAAAAAATAAAAAAAGCGCTACATTTTATAAGCGGGTTTTAATTTTTTAACTTGTTAAATATTAGGAAATAATCAATTATATATTATAATTTAATTGAAAATAAAGAAAGAAGAAAAAATCAAAATAATAGGAAAGTATATCAAATTTTATTTGAAGAAATTTTAGGATTAAATGAATGAGATATTAAAGTTTTTTTTTATATTTAAATATTTAACAGCAGTTGGCGCCAATTTGCCAATTTTATAATATTTATTTCTTTAGGTATATATAAAAATAGATCTCTAATTAATAATTAAGTTTTCTTTTTAAATTATATAGAGTTTTTTAAGTCATGGTTAATAATTTAACATATTTTATATTTTTTTATTACATATTGTAAGTTAATGAATACTGTATATTATATATCAATATATATACTTGTATTTAAAAATAATATTTTGTAAATATATAATTAATCTTCTTTATTTATATTTGTATAAGATTAGAAAGTGTACTCAGTACAATTAGTATTAATAGTGAAGATGATATAGGAATAGATCTTAATAAGAAATCAAATGAAGTAGAAGAAATACTTTATAATATAGATTCAGAACCATCTATAAATGAATATGTAGATGAAGATTCATTTTTAAAGTTTAAAACAGATAGTATACGACACTTTAATATTGAAGATATACCTATAGGTAAAGATCAAAGAGATAGCAAATTTCAGCGTATAATACAGAGTGGAATAAAATTTGCAGAATATTCGAGAATTTTATCAAAAAAAGAACATCAGAATACTGTAATATTAATTGGAGATAAGAAAAAAAGAATAGAATTCTCAAATAATGAAAGAGATATTGCATCTTCAGCTATTTTAGCTTCAATTATAATGTTAAGATCTTTACTATATAAGGAATTATCAAGTAATATACGTTGGATATATGCTATATATTTTCCATTATTATTAAAAGCATATGAAGATGCATCAAATCGTACAAGTATAGGAAGTGGGATACTTAGTCGTGGATTTTCTAAAAGATATCTTAAAAGTTTAGGAAGATTGAATAGAGCATTAACATTTTTAACTAAAAATGTTAATAAAATTGTCCCAAGTGGTGAGTACTCTTATAAAACAAAACCACTTGAATTTTGGGATATAATTGAATCATTAATTGTGACTCCAGCTCATGGTTTACTTAATACAGATGTTATTTCCGATGATTCATTCAATCCAAGTCGACAATATTTAGATGAGATAATATCATTATTTAGATCAAAAAAGTATAAAATAGCTATGGCCCAGAATAATGCAAAAACAGCATTTTACTACTTTTTGAATAAAGATATGATATTACATCAAATAGGAGATTATAGAAACTAATATAAATTTATAAAAAAGATGAAACATAAATTTAAAATAGAATAGGGATAAAGATATTTATTAATAATCTAGAAATTATCAGAGAAGATTTGTAAAATAATTTAACAATAACTTCCCATTTAAGCGAGATATTATTGCAATTTTATTTTATGATAAAATAAAATTGTTTACCGTAAATTTAAATATTTTATAATAATCTAGAATTAGATCTCATAACTGGAAGTTTGTTTAAAAGTTGAACTTTCAACATAATAACTAAATAATCTTCTTGTTGGACCCGGTAACTTAGATTCTTTTAAATGTATTTGTTCAGGTGAAGAATCAGATCTTTTCATTATCATCAAATCACGGATATCTCTAGCTAATACTTTTCCAAGTTCTACACCAAATTGATCAAAACTATTAATATTAAGTAAAAATCCTTCTACTACAGTTCTATGTTCATACAATGCTAATAATTGACCAATATAAAAAGCATTACAAATTGGGAGCAATAAAATTATAGATGAACGATTTCCTGGGAAATATCGATGAATATTAGACTTATCTGTCATATCATTAGTTGGTTTTCCAATAGCCAAAGCATCTGGTTGAGCAAAGAAATTACACATCAATTCATCATGATTAGATATATGTTCATTCATTAAATGAAAATCTTGTTGTGAATGAACAAAACCAATAAATTCACAATTTGTACAATTTCTACCTTGATGAAGTAACTGATAGAAGCTATGTTGAGCATTAGTACCTGGTTCACCAAAATAAATTGGGCTAGTTTGATATCTTCCTAATATTAAATTATTATCTAATGTTACCCCTTTTCCATTACTTTCCATTAGTAATTGTTGTACATGAGCTGGAAATCTACATAATGCTTGACTATATGGGAGTATAGCTACACATGGTTTATTCATAAATGTTGAATTATAAATACCTAATAATCCTAATAATACGGGTAGATTTCTTCCTAAAGGTGCAGATACAAAATGTTGATCCATTTCCCAACATCCATCTAAAAATTCTTGTATAATATTTACACCAAAGTGAATAGAAAGTGGCACCAATCCAACAGCACTACATACAGAAAATCTACCTCCAACCCAATCCCAAAATCCAAATACATTATTTACTGGTATTCCAAATGCTGATGTTGCTCTTATATTAGTACTAACTGCAACTAAATGTCTACTAACTGCACTTTCACTTTTCAATGATTTATGTAACCACTCTTTAATAGTTTTTGCATTTAGTATAGTTTCTACTGTTGTAAATGTCTTGCTTACAATTATAACTAATGTAGTTTCTGGATGAAACCCCTCAGTAGCTCTTTTAACATCTGTTGGATCTATATTTGCTAAAAATCTTAACTTACGACCAGAAGAAGCTTCAAGACCCTCCTTAGTTGTTCTTAATGCTTCATATACAAATTCAGGACCCAGATAACTACCACCAATACCAATGCATATGACATCTTTCAATACTTTACCTGTAGAACCTAAAACTTCACCAGATCTAACAGAATTTGCAAATTTAAAAATTCTTTTATTAACATCTGCTACATCATTCAAGACATTATGCTGATCACCTAAATAAATAGGAGTTGAAGATTTAGATCTTAAAGCTATATGTAATACACTACGATTTTCCGTCGTATTTATAACTCCACCATTAAACATTGATTGAATTTTATTGGTTAATCTTGCATCTAGTGCTAAGTTCAATAACAATTCCAAACCTTCTGAATCTAACTGTTGTCTTGTAAAGTCCATTACAATATCTCCATATTTTGCTAATAAACAAGCATTTCTAGATTCATTTTCTAGTAAATCACGTATGTGGAACTTTTTTTGTTTTTCTATATAATTTAATAATAATTCATATGTTGGTAATTGATTTAAATCAGGCATTTCTATAAAAACCAATTTCTCTAAATGCTAAATAAAAATTCTATAAAAATCTAAAATTAAACTGATTAGTCAAAATTTTAAGTTTAATCCTTTATTATAGATATCCTGTGTAAATGAGATTATATTTAAAAGATTTTAAGCGGTATATAATTTTATATTATTTATATGTAGCGGTTTAATTTTACATTTGTCAGGTATAGCTACCCCACACAGAGATAAATATAATAAAAAGACGTGAAAGTATTAAATAGATATTTTTTTTTCTTTTCCTTTTATATAACCTAATTTTTTTATAGATGAATTATTGAAATTATATGAAATAAAAAATATAGTATGAAGAGATGAGTGAGGTCTGTGATAATCAAAATGGAAGTAACCAAAGGCTCACATCAACAAGAGTAATTCGTCGAAGTTCTCCATTTTTAAGAGCCCCTAGGATGTATTCAATATCTGACTTGGCATTAGCATGTCCATTACATTGTCCAGAATTAAGTTTATCTGATTTTGATATTGGTAGAAGACTAGGTAGTGGTCAATTTGGATCTGTTTATTTAGCTCGTGAACGCCGTACTAAATATATTGTTGCACTTAAAGCCTTAAGAAAAAAGAATTTAGTAAGAAGTGGGATGGAAGCACAGGTACGTAGAGAAATAGAGATACAAGCTCACCTAAAACATCCAAATATTCTACAATTATATGCATGGTTTGAAGAGAATAGTCGGATTTGGTTAGTTATAGAAATTGCACCAGGAGGTGAATTATATGAAAAATTATGTACAGAAGGGCCTTTAAGAGAGTTACAAGCAGCTTGCTATATGAAAATGATGATAGAAGCTATACAATGTTGTCATAAGAAACATGTAATTCATCGTGATATAAAACCAGAAAATATCTTGATAGGAGTAGATGGCCAATTAAAATTAGCTGACTTTGGATGGTCATCTCACATTAATAATAATCGAAGTAGAAGACGGACATTTTGTGGTACATATGATTATTTACCACCTGAAATAACTCGTAAACAGGAATATGGTCCAGAAGTTGATATTTGGTCACTTGGTGTTTTATGTTATGAATTAGTTAAAGGAGAACCACCATTCCCTTCTAATCAAGGGCATAATGTTCAATATTATTTGATACAAAATAAGCAACCAGAGTATTCATCTCATTGGTCACCTGTCCTTATAAGTTTTATTCATGCAGCCCTACAGAAATTACCTCAAAATAGGATTTCTATTGATGACATGCTTAAACATCCATTTATTACAAAATATACAACGACATCTATACCTATGCAACCTAAGGATTCTTTATCAAACAACATCAATATGTCGAATAATGATGAGAACCTTGCTATTAGTCATAATCAAGCTTGATTCCTTTTTTTTTTTTTTTTTTTTTGCTTTATTACTTCTGTAACTATATCTAATCTTATATAAGAATATAAGAATATTTTATATTAAATATATTCACTACTATCATACGTAATTTTTAAAGTCACTACTTGTTTTGTTACCATTAAAGTGTGTACTGCGGCAAATATTCCCTCATCAGAATTCCTATCAATATAAACCCTCATCCCCTCCACATAATTAAAGCGAAATTTCCTTATTATTCTTCCTTACATTTATATTAACATGCTTTGGGTTGATAAATACCAGCCACATCGCTTAAATGAGTTACTTTGTCATAAACAGCTAAATTGCCTTTTAGAAAAAATAGCAAATGGTTCTAATAAAACTATTCCTCATTTAATATTTTATGGGCCATCAGGCAGTGGTAAAAAGGCTAGAATATCTGCTATGCTACATGAAGTATTTGGTGATTCAGTTGATAAGGTATTTCTATATTTATTTTTTAATGACATATCTGTATTATATACTTGAAATATTTTAGGTAAAGGCAGATATTATAAAACCTGAGGGAATTAACTCTGATTTTGTAGTATGCCAAAGTTCTCATCACATGCAAATTAGTGCTCCTGATTTGGGTACTAAAGATAGAGTAGTTACCCAATATCTTATTAAACAACTCAGTAGTCAAGTAGGGGCTAATACTTTTTTTAAAAAAGGTCCTAATTATAGAGTATTTGTAATATTAGAATCTGATGTACTGAGTATGGAAGCTCAAGCAGGATTAAGAAGAACAATGGAAAAATATGCTGCAAATAGTCGTGTGATATTACATTGTGAACAACTTTCATCCATTATATCACCCTTAAGAAGTAGATGTCTCTGCATTAGAGTACCATTACCCTCACATAATGAGATTGTTCATGTTCTAAGTCATATTGCTAAATCTGAAGGTTTAAATGTATCAAATGAATATCTTATAGATATTACAACTGCATCTGAGGGAAATCTGCGTCGAGCAATTCTTCTTCTTGAAACTGCTGCTGTACAAAATTTTTCTTTATCTCCCTCTAATATGAAACTACCATGGCAACGTGTTTGTAATGATATTGCAGCTAATGTAAGTTCTTATTATTGTTATTATAAATCATATACTGAACTTTGTTAATTGTTTTATTTTAGGTCATTAAGAATCCTCATCCAAAGACCCTTCTAGATATTCGTGAACCAATGTATGACTTATTATCTAGTTGTATTCCAGCTGATATAGTTCTCGTTACATTAACAAAGCAAATACTTAATTTAGCACCTCATAATATCAAGTCACGTATTATTGCTGCTGCTGCTCACTATAGTCATACTCTTAAATTGGGCAGTAAGGATATTTGGCACTTAGAAGCCTTCCTTGCTCAAGTAATGAATTTTTCGAAGCATTCAAAAGTCTCTAGTTCTAATTAATATAAAGTAGAAAGTGAATATCTGTATTTGAAGGTAAATATGTAATACTATTGAGAATTATTATATCCAAAGATTATAATAGTTGAATTGTGATCCTTTAGTTTTTTTTTAAAATTAATATTCTATGGATTAGTTTAATTATATCAGAAATATATGTGGAATATTTAATATAGTTGTGTAAAATCTTAATATCACATAAATTTGTACTTTATATATTATTATGTACTATAAGAGGATAATCACTTATATATATTTGAATTATATAAGTATGAAACGAATCAAGTAGTCTATTATATATATAAAGAAATATATTAAGCTACATTTTCACTTTCTTACTAAGCGGATTAAGAGGACACCGGTGTAGGTCATGCAATTTTTGGCGCTTAGCATCGATATGTTATGCGCCAGTTCCTTCTTTTTTCCTTATTCTGACCACTTTTAATGGTATTTAGAGATTAATTCGTAGTTATATAAAGGATACTTTTTTATTAAAATGATACAAACAAAATAGAAAGATCAATTGTTCCTAATGGCAACTAATAAAGAAGGTGGAAATCTAATATCCTTACTGGCTGCAAAAAGAGCTTATAACTTTTTCCTACCTGAACTAAATAATAAGACTACAGCCAAAAATTTTGAATTTACTGTATACTCTCAGTGGGAAAGGTTACAACCACATTGTAAGTGTGAACGTGATGAATTTGGTAGATGTAAACGTTTCTTAAGTTGGTTAGATACTGGTGGCTACAAAGATATTAATTTGAACGATATATATAGTGATATAACAAACTTATTTGATCACCTAACAAGATTAGGAACTGGATTAGATATAAGTATTAAGAAAAAAACAAGCTCTGAATTTTCTGGTGAAAATTTATTAAATCGTATATTCTCATACAAAATAATGAATAGCATATATATGGATGTATGTAGAACTTATCCATCTATAACATTTTTCCGTGAAGAAGGCCGTTATTCACTGAGTAGAATACTTTTAGTATATTCTATATTTGATTTACAGGTTGGATATGTTCAAGGTATGAACTTCTTAGTAGGATGTATATTATGGCATTCTCATAGCGAAGAACTGGTCTTCTATATATTAGTCTGTTTAATGTTTAATTATGGTATGAGAGAAATGTATATTGCAGGGCTACCTGGCCTTCAAATTCGCTGTAAAATATTAGATGAGATGATTGAGAAGGAGCTTCCATTAATATGGTACCATATGAACAAACAAGGTGGAACGATTGATATGCTTGCTACTGACTGGTTTCTTACTTTATTTTCATACAGTATTCCATTAGATATTATTGGATATTTTTGGGATGATATTTTTGAACAAGGATGGCTTCCAGTATTTAAATTAATTTTATATAGACTACAAAGGCTAGAAGATCGTATTTTAGACTCTCATGATATTGCAGATATGATGAATATTATTAAATACTCAACACCTACATCTAAGAATGGAATTGTTAGCAATATATTGGGAGTATTTAAAGATGAATTTGGTAAAACTGCATTAGGGAAATGGATTAATAATATAGGAAATACTTCATCAAATAATAATATAGATAATATGTATGCTGCATTTAGGAGTCAACCATATGCTTTAACAAATGATCCAAATACTATTGCATTACCCCAGGTATGGCTTGAATTAGTCACAGAAGCTCCCTTTGAAATTAATTTAACAAGTAAAATGCTACTAGATATAGAGAATAAGGTGAGGAGTTGTATTGAATGTAATGATTCATCACCCTTATCAGTTAATCTATATCGTGTTCATAATATAAATACAGTTGAAAATCATTATCAAGAAGAATCTCGTGAAGTCGATGAATCATTAAATAGGAAGGACATCCCTACAAATATAAAGCAAAATATAAATATAAATGATAATATAGAAAAAGAGAGATCACATAATACGTTAAACATATCTCATTATAACGAAATAATTGAAGATTTATATAAACAAAAGAATATAGATCTAAATATATCCAATAAAATATCTGATATATTCACATCTATTGAATCTTGTATAGAAGTATTATTACAAAAGAGTAATCAGCAGGAGCATTTACAGAAATTGATAAATAATAGTAGACATGATAGTAATAAACTAAAGTTTGGCCCTTGGATAAATCACTAATTAATCATTTAACTAATAGCGCTATAAATACTACTAACAAGCGGATTTCTGAAATTATCACTTTTTAAGTAATTTCTAGATTTAAAATAATAATATATAATATTTTTGGTTGTTCTTTATTTGTAAAGAATTAGTGGAACTAAGAGATCTTAAATAATATTTTGTTTTGGGTAAGCTGTAATTTCTATTAAGTATAGATATACATTATTGTATATATACAAAATTTATAACAATTATATTATTAAACTTAACTGTATAAAAGTATATACAGTATTAAATAACTTAGTGACACGTAATTAATAAATACAATGGGAATTTAGCTTGGATTATTTTAACTTTCTATTAATTATGTAGGCTATCAGCTTGAAATCTTGAATTTGGTAGTAATATTAATATTGAAAATGTCAGAATACCTAACAAAACTAATAAGAAGTATAGAAGAAGAAGTTATTACTTTATCATACAATTTAGAATCGGTATGTCATAATTATTAGTAAATATATTTTGAAAACTTATCAATAACTCACAAATTTACCCAACTATAACTAATTACCTTATATTTAAGTTTGAAGATTCCTTACTAGATAAATCACTTGATGAACAAGTTAAAAAAGTACTGAAAATAGAGCATACAACATGTACAACAGCTATAAAGTGTTTAGATGAAGTAATAAAAGTCATAGAAAGTCAATCAGATGTAGAAAGTTATATGGAAGAAATTTGTGAATCAGAAATTAATCAAGAAAAATATCTAATCATGGAGAAATTGAAAAATTTGAAATTAAAACATAAAGAATTATTGGAATCTTTAAAATACCAGGAAGAAATGAAACGTGTTTTAGAAACTATGTGTTATCGTAAACAAAGACAAATAATGGAACGTCATAAATGGAACAAAATTAATTCATGTAAATGTCAAAATAATAATTCAATATATCTAAATTATATAGAAAATATTACACATATAAATAATATTAATACTGATGAATTTAATTTAGATATGTTAATTGAACATAATTGTGAAATTGATGAACAAATTAAATTGAAACTTGATGACAAAAATCCCAAAATTTCTTTAAATGAAGTATTAAAATATCGTATAGAGCTGATAAATGAAGGTCTAGAATTGGAATGCACTTTGTAGGTGAAATCTTTTTTTCCATATTAACCTGGAAATTTTATATCTAAATAAAGAAATTATATTTGTCATTTATAAATGTAAAAATTATATTTTATATTCTATTATAAATTATTTATTTTACTTTATATTTAAATAGTAATTTAATATTAAAACTTCACTAAATTTTAAATTTCAAAATATTATATACTGAATAAATTAGGTAACATTATTAATTCTATGAACCATAACTTTATGTTCATAGATTTCTTTCATAGGTATAAATTTATGACATATATCACAATTAATAGTTTTAGATCCACAATAAGATTCATGAGAAGTAAGATTATAGTAGTATTTATCTTTGAAATCTACTATATGATCATCTATCCCAGCTTCAACATGATTACCACAAAATCTACATAAAATAATACGTTTAGAACAAGTTTCTAATTGATGAAGTTTAATATTAACAGGAGCTATAGATTCATTACATAATCCACATTCAATAGTTGTATGATATAGTTTAATATGATGATCTTGAAGTTCTTTCTTAATTCCCAAATTACATATATTACAATGAATATGTTGTTTAAGTTCTACTTTCTTCATTATTATACCACAAATTTCACATTTACTATATAGGCGTTGACAATGTAATGAATGTGTTGTTAATGATTCATTTGGTATTAATCTATTACAATTAGTACAATTAATCATATTTATTTTAGAAGTTATCTCATCTGTATTAATTTCATCTTTATTATTTGTAGAAACTACTAATTCATTACTTTCTTCTATCTTAAGTTTTGTTCTAAAAGTACCTAATATTAATTGATTTGAGTCTGTTATATCTTGAATTGGTAAAAAGGTAATATTAAGTATACTAGGGAAAAAATCCAAAGGTTGTGAAAATCCCAAATTATTTTCTGATCTTTGATCTAAATTAAAAGGATTTAAACTATTTCTAAAATCATTCATAGGTAAACAATCTAAAATATCTTGATATTTTATATTTAATTGATTGTTATTTTCTGGGTATGATCTGATATAGTGAAGATGCTTAGATGCCTCCATTAATGGTGGAAATGATACAAAAAATTCAAATTCAAAATTACTTTCAATTGATATATTAATAGTTACTATTTTATTATTATTCCTTTCTGTCAATAATTTTCTAATTTCAAATGGTATTAGTATTTTAACAGAATTACAAGTATAATAATTCTCTCTAGTTTTATTAGATTCAATATTATTTATAATCTTAGCTTCATATTTATTATTCTTATCTTTATTATTATATTTACCAATATCTTCATTTAATTTACTCTCTTTAAATTGAAATTTTAATACATCACTAATATTTAATATTATATCATCCTTATTAATTCCATTATTATCTTCATTTTCATTCAGTGTATTAATATCACTTGTAATTAAATCAATAGCTAGATCTGTATTAATAATACAAGTGGCATCTTCAGGTTCTATTTGTTTTACCTTAACTATAGCCAAAGGTTCTTGTCTCAATTTTGAATGTAGTGAATATATTATTAAAGTATCATTTTTTGTTAAAGTTGAGAAATAATCACGTAAATATGATTCCAATAATGGTTTAATATTTGGTAAATTTAAAATTCTATCATAATTTTGTACTAATTCAAATAATGCATATGAAGCTTTACATAATCTTACATATTCAATTCTTATTAATAAACAATTATCAAGTGATGTATTATTTATTTTTAAGCATCTTAATACTTTATTGGGTAAACCTATTTTTCCAGAAGATGATGAAAAATCTAATACACTACAATGTGTAATACTTGATTCATCAGATTCACATCTATCATTATTTATAACTTCAAGCTTGAATAATAAAGGATATGAATTATCATCATTATCATTAGATAATGATGAAAGTATCTCTATTGGTAAAGATACACGATCTGTTTCACCATAATTTATTGTTAATGATTTAGACAATTCCTTGTCATATTTTAAAAACCAACTTCTTGTATCCTTTTTTTCTGACAATTGTTGTTTAAAGTATAAATATTCAAGTTTACTTGTCTTATCTTCACTTGGTCTAGTATAGCTATTAATACGTTTCGTAGCTTGTAAATTTTTTTTAAGTTGTTTATCACGTTCCTTTTGGTGCAATGCTTTTAACTTCTTATCATATAACTCAAATTCATCCATTCTAAACTTCAGATCCTAATTCATATATTATTTAATATGATCAATGTAATATATAATCTATTAATATTGTACTCCCTTAATCTAATTTACGATATTAATATTATATAAAATAAATATATATAAAAATTTTAAGGAGAAAAGAAGGAAGAGGAGAAGAAAAAAAATTAAAAGTTTTAGAATACCAATGTTTATAATTTTCCTAGTTAACTTCAATATAATATAAAACCTTTATAAACCGCTTAGATACTAAAAATTCCAAGATCTAAAAATGTATGTATAGACCGCTAAATCTAAGCATTATTTAATAGATACTATCTTACAAGTCGTTATATTATCAGTTTAATCTTCTATATGTAACTAAAAGAAAAGTTTAATAATATAAAATGAAATTTTTTTCCCTTTTATTTTACCTAATTTCAATATATATAATATATATTAATAAAATGTACCTATATAAATATTAAAATATGATATTTTGAGCTCGAAAATAAGACAATGTAATAAGAAATAATAATAATGCCACACTTGGTATTATATTAACTTATAAATATATATTTAATATTAAGGATTGTTAAATACAAACTGATAAAGGCTTGTTAATTATTGTTGAATAACAGACATTACTTGTATATTTATATCTTGATTAAGGTTATTCTAATGGTACCATATTTTACAATTATTCCTCAAATAATCATTACGATATTGTTATTTGGTGATTTATTTACTCAAAAAATACAAAGATATTATTTTATTAAAGCTATTGATATATTTGAGAATAATATTAATTATAAATATATAGGTGAACTAAAAGAAAATAGAACTAAAATTAATTATGAAAATTATATAGAGAATTTAAATTTAAAAGAAAATATAGGAAATATTAGTAATAAAATAAGAGATGAAAATATACCCAATTTAATCCCTGAAATTATAGATCAAATTAATGATATTAATACAAACGAAAAAAATATAGATATTTCAAATTCTGGAAGTATTTTATATAACAAAATTATAGGAGATATTCCATCATATAAAAATTTGCAATTATTATCCTATAATAATCCACAAGGAAGTTTAAAAGAAGAATCCCATGATAATGAAGTTACACAAATATCAACAATAAAAAAACCAATAACAACTTCTAATAATATAGAAAAAATATTAAATACTACTAAAGTAATAAATCAAACTTTAGCTAATCCTATAACAACTACAGCTATATTATCACCTATAGCAGCAGCTACAATACAAACTACAACTACGACAACTACGACAACTACAACAACAATACTAACTACAACAACTATAACTACAATACCAACTACAACTACAACTACAACTACAGCAACTACAACTACAACCACAACTATAATACCAACTACAACTACAACAACTACAATACCAACTACAACTACAACAACTACTACAACTACAATACCAACTACAACTACAACCACTACAACTACAATACCAACTACAACTACAACCACTACAACTACAATACCAACTACAACTACAACCACTACAACAACTACAACAACTACAACAACTGCAACAACTACAACAACTACAATACCAACTACAACTACAACAACTACTACAACTACAATACCAACTACAACTACTACAACTACTACAACTGCAATACCAACTACAACTACAACAACTACTACAACTACAATACCAACTACAACTACTACAACTACTACAACTGCAATACCAACTACAACTACAACAACTACTACAACTACAATACCAACTACAACTACAACAACTACAACAACTACAACAACTACAACAACTACAATACCAACTACAATACCAACTACAATACCAACTACAACACCAACAACTACAACTATAACTACAACTACAGAAATACCTAAAATTACTTTAAATACACAAACTGTATTTAAAACAGATGTTTCTGAATCATCTGATGTATTAATTATGTCTAAAATAACAGATACAGATACACTATATAACCCTAAAGCTGAAGAAATTACTATTTTTAACTCAAATGAAACACAAAATCTAGATATTATAGATTTACACCTAAATAATGAAGAGATAGATATATTAAAAACCGATATTTCAACTTCTTTACTATCATTTACAATGGCTATGTTAGAAGCTCCCTATTGTATATTTAAAAGAGAACATTTTAAAACCTTAATTATTACAATAAGGGAAGAATTAAGCAAATTATTTAATATAATACCTAAAAATATTATTATAAATAAAATATATGGAGAACCAGATTCATTAAATTATGACATTAATAGTATAAATATAGATCATTCATGTAATTTAGAAAATGGAGAGCTAAGAGGTACAATGATTGATTTTATAATTATAAAAGATCTAAAAACAAATTATCCAACAATTAAAAATCTAAATGATATCTCTAATTCACAAATATTATCAATAAAAGATAAATTTGGGACTTTTATTATATTATCTAAAGATAAACAAGATTACACTTATAGTAGTAATGAAATAGTTGGAAATGAATCTCAAATAAGCCAAACATGCAAATCTATGCTTTTATCAGCTCCAAATATTAACTATATATGTATAAATAACCCAATAAATTGTATATTTAATAACTATGAATGTTATAAAAATCCTTTGGGTAATAATTGTTTCTGTTATAAAAATAATAATGGGGATAATATGAATAAAGTATTAACGAATTTTAGATATTCTAAAGATATTAATTCAATAAATACTATAAATGGATATACACAAAATCAATTAGATATTTCTGCAGAATGTAATGCAATAGTTAGTTGTACTAAACAAATTACTGAGCCAATTATTGGACGCTGTTCATCAAGTCCATATAGTATAGGTTGTCCATGCAATCTAAATCCATATTCAAAATTATGTGGTTGTTATTTAAATCCAAATAATCCTGGATGCCATTGTTCATATAATCCAATATCAATAGATTGTAAATGTTTGAAAAATCCAGTTACATGTAATGATATATCTTATAAACCTTATAAAAAAGGTATAATGAATTTTCCATTCCGTACTAGTAATACTATTTCAAATTTTAATTTCTTAAAAAATATCAAGATTCAAATTTTAAGTATTACTTTAATAATTTTATCTAACCTTTTATAGATATTAAGGTAAATTTTTTTTAAATTTTAAAATCAGAATAATATGGGATTAAAAAAAAGAAAAGAGAGATCAAAAATGAAAATTTAATCACTTATAAATTATATTATATTACAAAAAAAAGAAATTTAAGAATAATAACTGGAGTTATTATATAACAAAAAGTATTTTTAAATTTTATAATACTGGGGGATCATTTTTTTTTTCTTACATTAAACATTTTCAATGTTATAAATTATTTTGTAAGATTAACATGGTTTGAAGAAAAAAAAAGTCATGGAAATATTAGGATATAAAAGTAAAATAATAAGTTAATATTATAAGATTTATCATAAAAACTAAAACTAAAAATAGAAACTATTATTAGATTAATTTAATAGTTGATTTATATAAATAGATAATATTAATATTTCAATTATGCCTAGACTTTTTATTGAAGGATTAAGCAAAATAGAATAAAATAAAATAAAAAATTTAGTAATATATAAAGAAAAGAGTTATATTATTATTAATAACATATAAACATTTTTTAGGTATTCTACTTATTATTTATTGTCTTGATATATCTATTCTTGTTTTTTCTTTTTGGGAAAACTTACTGATTAAGTAATAGTAATATTTAAATATACTTTGATATTAATCTAAAAAGTTATTAGAACTTTAGAAAAGTTATTTATAAAAAGATAACAATTATATACCAAATCTTTAAAATAAAAATTTATACTTAATAAATAAAGAACAAAAATTCATATTACTTTATTTAAGAATTATAATATTAATTCAAATTTATATAAAGAGATTGGAATTATTATTCTAAGTATTGATTTATTTAATATTTGGTAATATAAATAAAATCTATTAAAGTATGGATTTGTATTTATAAAAAAGTTTTTTATTGAATTTAGATAATATTATCAAATCTCATTTCTAATATTAAATGATTAAAAAATTATTAATATATTACCAAAATCTTCAACTATTATTTTAGTATAATTATTATATCATTATAGATACATCTTTATTAATTTGCCATCTGCATTAATTTCCTACAAACTAAATTATATTATTTCTATTCAGATTATATAAATAATACAGTTTTTTAAGTTAAATAATCAAAATCTAGATTATTGAGATTCTAATCTTTATATATCAGTATCTTATTATCTAATTGTTATCAGAGTTATAAAATTACAAATAGTGTCTTCTTTTTTATTTTATTTGTTTATAAACTAAATTATTATGATATATAATTCCTATAATTTATATTATAGTAATAATCTCATTTTAGTATTATAGTAATAACAAAATATTAAATGTAATAATAGAAGTCAGTCAATTGAGTTTGAGTTTGACTTTTTTTTTCTTTCTTCTTATTAATTTATATTTTAAATCTTCATTACATATATTCAACCTTAAAATATATTTTATTGTGAAGAATATGATAAATTGTTTACTGCAAAGTCCATATATTCTTGGAAAGTTACTGTTCCAGAACTATCTACATCTACTTCCCAAAAAAATCCTTGCAACTCTTGTAAAGTTACTGAAACACGCATTGTACGAATTTCTTGAGCATCGATTAAATTGTCACCATTTAGATCAAATTCTTTAAATTCATTCTTAATATTCCCAATATCAACAGTTTGTATACATATAAACAAGCTAAATATACAAGTAATTAAAAAGAAAAACAAACTCCTCTTATTTATAACCATAAATAATCTGCTTATTATGTTATATCAGGTTAAATTAATAAATATAATAAATAAAGACTAAGTAGTTAAGAGGGGTTTATTTTTCAACAAGTATTCAATATAAAATGGGGAGGGGGGGGGGGGGTATCTTTTTTTTTATTGAGGTTCCAAGAAATTCTTAAACTTTTTTAAATAAGACAATAAAATAATAAAGTTGAACAAAATTCCTACATATTTGTAAATTAATACAATAAAATTTTCTTTTTAGATTATTTTTCTAATGACACCTATAAATAATATTTAATAATATTAGTTAATTTGATATTTGTACTGATAATGATACATTAGAAACAGTATCCTTTGTAATATCTAAAGACTCAATGTCTTTATTTCCCAAATTATATAATAATGTACGAAATTTTTGATACTTTTGATCTTTTCTTTGAATTTGTTTATCAATATTTTCTATAGTTTTCCAAACTAAATTCCATTTTATAGTTGTACAAGTATCTGAAGATGTTGTTAATACACTTGATACTTCATTCATAATATTCAAATTTGAATCATCATTAATTGTACTTGTTGTATGATTTATTGAAATACTATCAGATGTATTAGTAATTAATTGATCTCTTAGATTAGTTGATTCATCTATTATAAATTCTCTGTTATTTATAGATCTTATATCTAATATATCTTTAGTATGATCATCTTTTGATATATCATATTCCTCATAACTATGTTTATTATTATTTAATATAGGATCCATATAAGTTAAAGATTCAGTAATACTTCTATTATATTTATTTTCTTGTATAAAATGATCAAATATACCTATAGGAGGATCAGTCTTACTTGGAGAATAATTAATATTAAAATTATCTATTGATAATGTTCTGAATCTATAATTAGATTGATCTAAATCTTTTTCACCAATTTTATTTAGCATATTTTGATCTATTTTTGATAAAATCTTTAAATTTTCAAATTATATTTATTCAATACATAATAATTATCCCCATATTTTAAGCGGGTTTATTACATTTTATTTTATATTTTTTTTTTTAGAAGGTAATAATAATGTAATAGTAAAAATATGTTAATTAGATCTATAAATCACCGGGAAATTTTATAGAAATCTCCAACCATATAAAATATTAATAAAAATAGATATGGTATAATAACTCGTATTAGAGTTATTAAAAAAAGCTAATTATGTAGATTTTAAGTCAATAGGTGATTAATACTAATTTTTGTAGATTAGAGGCTATTATGTATTAAGGATTTTAAGAATGATATGAATAATAATAAAAAGACTAAATTTTAATACTTAAATTATAAGATATTAGAGGAAATTATTTTATATAAATATTATAATAATATATTTGTAATAATAAACTTATTTATAAATATATAGGTTATTAATATAATATAATGGAGGATAGAGATACAGTTGGGATTTCAATGATTAATGAAGGAAATAGAGAAAATTGGGTTAATAATTCAATATCACCAGATAATTCTTTATTAATACGTAGGATACATCAGAAAACAAATTCTAAATCTGATTTATTTCATCAAATTTCATCACCAACATCTTCTACACGAACTTCGGTTTCACATGATACTCAAGATTCTATAGTTACCTCATTTATAGTTTTAGATGAACAGGAAATACCTTTTGATGAAGTAATATCTGAGAATAAAAATCAAAGCTACTTTTTAAATTGTAATAATTATATAGAAGTTGATGATAAAAGTAAATCCTTTAAAGATAGTGATGGAATAAATGATTGTAAAAATAGTAGTAAATATAAGATGTTAAATACTAAAACAACTAATAGAAAAGAAAGTAATAAGATAATAGATAATAATGAGATAATAAATAGTGAAATTAGAGAAATAATGACTTGTATTGAAAATGAGGAATATAATAAGAATAATAATTCAATAATGATTGGAGATATTAAAGATATAAGAATTATTGGTAAGAACTCTGAAAATAATGAGAATAAAGAGAAGAAAGAGAATTTAATGTCAAATAGTTATATACAAGATAATGATAATAATATTTTGAATAAAGATATAGTTTCATTAGAAAAAAGTTATATTATTAGTAATAAGAGATCAAAAAATAAATGGAAATCAAAGAAGAAGTTGAGTGAAAAGATATTACTTATATTTAATAATTTAAAGAGTGATTTCCTTTCATGGAAGATTGGTAACTGGGGTTCAAATAAAGGCCCTTCTAATTTTTTGAATAATAGAAGTAATAAAGATAATAGAAAACAAGATTTAGATTTTAAAAGTCATGATATGATTATAGATGAAAGTAATGGAGATGAAACTTGTTATACAAATGATAGTAATATTAGTAGGAAGACAGTTAGTACTATTGATGAATGTATATATCCAAGTATACCATATTTAGAGCCACAAAAACCGGAGTATTTTGGAAGAAAGACATTGGTACTTGATTTAGATGAAACTTTAGTACATAGCTCATTCCAACCAATAAGAGCAGCCTCATTTGTTATTTCTGTTGAAATTGAATATGAAATGTATAATGTATATGTATTAAAAAGACCAGGTGTTGATAAATTTCTTGAAGTAGTTAGCTCACTATATGAAGTTGTTATTTTTACTGCAAGTTTATCTAAATATGCAAATCCATTATTAGATAAACTTGATCCACGTGGTTTATGCCCTTACCGTCTATTTCGTGAAAATTGTACAGTAGAAGGAAATTCTTTTATAAAAGATTTATCAAAACTTGGTAGGAATTTAGAAGATGTTATAATTATAGATAACTCTCCAATATCATACTTATTTCAACCAGAGAATGCTATTCCAATTACTTCATGGTAAGTTTTTTTTTTTAATATTTTAGTATTTTATATTATTACATTTAAAATTCTCGAATTTTTTAATTTTTACAGGTTTAATGATAAAAATGATACTGAATTATATGATTTATTACCATTACTTAGTGTATGTTTTATATTTAATCTTTTTTTTTGTAATAGTAATAAATTAAATTATATGGAAATAAAATTTCAAAATATTAACTTTATGATAATGGATCTTTTTTCAGATACTTGCAAGAAAGAAGTTAAATAATGAAAATTCTATTAATAACTCTACCAATATTAAATGTGAACTAAACAAGGAACAAATTGAACTTGTGGAATGTAGTAGCTTTTCTATAATACACATTGATCATTTATCTTATTAATAAAAAGAATATATATTTTTACTATACCTATGAATATACTAATATTTACATATCATATAATAGGTAGTGTGATAAAATTATCACTTTTTTTATTTAAATTATATCATTTCTTCATTCAATTTTTTTAGTAAATTGCTTATTGCTAATACTTTATGTGCTATATCCATATATTTATTAAGTTGTTTTACACGATTAATTGATATTGATTTTGCTTCCTGTATCTCAATACTTTTATCATCTTCAGATTTGCTAGTATCCATTTCCCATTCATTAAAAATAGTATTGAAAATCTATAGATAATTTTTTTTTTTTAATTAGAAAATATAAAAGTTAGTTTATATATTGTATTTAATAATAATTTAATTTAAATTATAATAAAACTTACCTTAGTTAAATCTTCTGGATCTTGTGAAATTTCAATACAATGTCTTAATCTTGTTAAAGCAAACATTCCAAAGTTATCTGATACACCCTATAAAAGTATAAATAGTATAATTTTTCAGTAGTAAAAATAGATGAAAAGTTTAATTGAATAAATTTACTTATTGTTGCAACTTATATATAATTAATAAAATATATCTTAATCCAAATTTCAAAATTTTGATTATTTTTATTTTAAACTTACCATTGGAAAAACTTTATCTATCGGACAATCTTTTATTGCAGATTCCAAAATAGCATCAAACATATCATTAACTTCATCTGATTTTTGTTTTACATTATCACTTTGATAATTTTCTGAGATCTTATCATCATTAATTTCATATTTTTTAAAGGAACTAGTACACCAATTTGAGCTACCTCTTATTATTTGACTTGTTAAAACTTCATTTAATTCAGAAATTCTATTAATTATAACTGTAGATTCAATTATACTATTTTTGTATAACAAAGTTAAGTCACATGATTTAGTTGGATTGCAACTATTATATAATAAATTGATATCTTTTTCATTTATTTTATTAATAATTACTGCTAAATAATGATCAACTCTTAGTTCTATCATATTATTTTTTGATGATCCTTTGATATTTTCTAAATTCTTGTAATATTCCAATAAGTTATCAAATTTTTTTGATGAGCTTATTTTATTTAACTCATTTATTCTTTTAATAAATGAATCTTCTTTTATATTACATTTATATTCATTTGATTTATATTCATTTAAAATTTGTTCATATTTTATTTCACAAAGTGCTACTTGAAGTGCATCTTCAACAATTGATGATATTATATCATTAATAAGAAAACTGAATATCTGTAAACAACCAGATGGAATATCTGAAACTTTTGAATCTTTTATACCATTGTTATAAGTAGTATTCCAAGTTATATTTAACCAATCATGCAAGGTGTTTAATGAAGGTCGGAAATTTTTTTCACGAAGTAGTGCAAATTCTTTGTAAGAATCTGATGGCATATTCCTAGTTCTAATATCACGAAGTTTAAGACGATTTTCAAATCTTGTATTTATAGTATTACTCAGTGTACTTGAGTTACAAGTAATACTTTCTATATCTTGTGTAACTGAAATATCTTTATTCTCAACTGAGCTTACTGGATTAATTACATTACTTCCTGTAACAAAATGTTTGTGAGCTACTTTACTAATTAAATAATCATAATTTAACTTATCAATTTCCTCTTTATATAAATTTTTTAAAAGATTTTTTAATATTTTATTATTAAGTTTACCTGAGATTTTTGAGTTAGATAAAGTAAGGTTATTCCATACAAGGGCTATCCAAATATTGAGATATGATTGCACACATTTGACCGTTATTTCATCATTATTAGCATCCTTTAGTATCTTTCTATCATCACCTGCAATATACATTGCCCTTGATATTATTTGGTATATTGGGGAATATGTTGATACCTTTAAGTTTAAGAATTTTTTATTTAATTCAATAGTAGTAGTATTACAAGGTTCTTGAAATGGTAACTTTAAATTTTGATTATTTAAATTTTTTTTTTCTATAAAATCATCATTATTATCCAGGTTTATATATCCCTTCTCTTTTAAACTTTCTTGATATAAGTTTATATTATTATCTTGAACATTAATTATTTCATTAGAGGTATTAACTTTATTAGACACTTCCAAAGATTGTGATTTTACTTCATAAATATGACCCATATTAGTACTTAAGTTAGATTTCAATGTGCTATTATCTGAACCTTCTATACATTCTTTTTTCTTTTTTGATAAAATCTGAACTAGGTCACTTTTCACAGTAGCTGGTAGTTGGGAAATCATTTGAGTCCAAGAACTTTTTGGAGACTTCAGTAGTTCATCATATATTTGAACAGCTGATAATCCTTCTAACTTCCTTTTCATATTCAGAAAGTAGAAAAGTCCTTAAAGTTTTCAGAAAAAAATAGTGTCATGTTATACACGTAAGCATCTATACCGGTACTGCAAAGGGTCCCGCCTTATAGTCTTTTTTTTTGGTTTGATTCTCTAAATAGTAAAACTTAATAGTATATTTAATTAACAATTATTGAAATATTTCAATTAGTAATATTCAAGATTTTTATTGGAATGGATTGGGGTATTCTTTTATGAGATATGTATTTTATGATTTTAAAGTAATATTAATATTATATTAAAATGCCTATCAGGGATATATTCAAACAATTTACTATGTGTAATATACAGCAATCAGGGATTATAAATTATAGATCAATAACAATTGGAAGACATTTCAAATTTGGAAAGTTATTGAAACTACATTTAGATAATAATATAATTTTTAATGATAGAATCTTATCTAAGTTTACAAGGCTAAGAAATAATCTACAAAAAGGAGCAAATTATTTAAAAATAAGAGGGGTTAATTCCTTCAACGTGAGAAAATCTTCAACTATTTTGATGACTTTATTGATATTTAGTGGAACATCATTTTATGCATTACATGAAATAAAAAAGATAAATCAAGATACAATAATAGAAAAGTGCAGTAGAATTTTGGAGAATTCTGAATTTGAAAAACTAATCAATAATTTATTGGAACGGATTTTTATTTCCATATTAAATAACGAGAATATTCAAGAGAGGAGTCTTTATTTTTTGAATAAGGTTTTATCTGATAATAAAAATATAACAGAATCATTAGTTAAAATATTAAATAGTGAAATAGTACAAAATTGGTTATATAGAACAGTTGATGAAATTATTGATTATATAACAACATCTATGGAGGTTACAGAAAAAACTGCACTTTTACTTTTTAATGCAATAAATCATGATATATTTTATGATAATGCTCAGATATGGTGTAAAAATATTATAAATGATCATATTTTAGGAGATCCAAATATTCAGTATAACACAGGTAATTTTTTAACAAATATAATAGAGAGTGATGATGTACAAAAAAAAGTGGTTGAATGGATATATCATATACTTTCAAGAGCAGATATGCAGGAATACTTATCCTTAGCTTTTTGGGATATAATAAAATATTCAATTAAATATCCAAAATTTTGGTTTAGAGAAAAGAAATTAAAATCTTCTATAGATAATCAACTTGATATTAACTATAAAACAAATGAGGATAACGAATTATTATCAGCAGATCCTATTTTAAATAATAGTAATGATAAAAAAAGTAATTATGAAAGAGAATATGTTGAACTAATTCTACTTTTAGAACGTGTAATGGATAAGATAAGGGCTAATGAGAAATTTAAAGATCTAGACACTTCTGATTTCAATAAAACTGATATTAATTTACATTTGAATGCAAAGGAAATTGAATCATTCTATTCAGCCTTAATTACAGCTCATAAGAAATTAATTAATAGTGAATTTTCCGGTTTACTTAACGAATCTAATGATAAAGGATATAAATTGAATATGAGGGATAATAATGACAAATCTAAAAAAATAATAAATTTGAATTTTCAAGATGGAAATATTGATGTAGAGAATAATAAATTATATAATACTCCAAAAAAACTTGAAATAAGTTGCAAAGATGAAAATTCCGAAAAAATAGATAACAAAAAAGTAGATCACTTTTTAGAAGTTGGAGGTGATCAATTAAAAAGTAATAAAGTTGGTAATTTGGTAGATTTTAGGAGTTTTGAAGATTTAGTTAATTTTGAAGAATTTTCAAAGAGAAGTTATACTTAAAAGAAAAAAGAAAATTTTGGATTATTATAACTAAGAAAGAATAAGTCATTATTATATAATCAAGACTTCTTTGATAGTTTATAATATAATCAATTTGATTTTAATAAAACTTCAAAAATTCAGTTATACCTTGGATAATATCATGAAATTAATGTCTAAATATATGAATAATAGGGTTTAAATAGAATGTGTAGTAGATATGGATATACCAAGTTATTCATTATTACTGTAAGTTATTTTAATCTAGAAGGTTTTTAAATATTGGAAGTGTCGTCAATATTTTATAATTTAACTATTTATTTATAATTTTAGACTATAAATCAAATTAATGAGTTGTATATAGTATTCCATATAATTAGATGGTATAATTTTGAATAAGTGTAAATACTTAAATTTATAATAATTATGCAGATTCTTTTTTGTGAAATTAAATGAATGTCAATTTTACCTAAAATTATTTATAAATATTTATATTGGTTGTATATGTATGTATGTGTGTATGTATGTGTGTATGTGTGTATACTTCGGATTATTCCCCACAAGAGGATTTAGATAGTTTATAATTAAATTAATAAATTATAAATGATTCATATTACAAAAGATAGATTACTTTGTTTTGATAAGGAGGAATTGGTGGCATTAGTTTTAGAGCTAAGGGATAATATAAGTAGTATTTTAAAAGAAAGAGACACCTGGATATCGGCAAATCCTCTGAAAACTAATTCAAATTTAAATGAAGATAAAAAACAAGAAACTGCAGAGTATACAAATGTATTTCCAAGAGTATGTGATATAGTGGGTTCACATAGCTCAAATAATATATGTAAAAGACACTTTGAACTGACGATTGTAAAGAATGAGGTCTCAATTTGTCATGATTTAGGACAAAATTTTAAATACCACAATCAAATTTATGATGAATCTAACAGTTCTAATTTGTCAGAAAGATATGGAGAAAAATTGAATGGTATTAAGAATTTGAATACCTCAAATATTGGGTCTTCTTCTAAAGTCATTTGTAAAGTACCTCCAGCTATACCGAAAACAAATAATATACCTATTGGTAAGGCATTACCACCACCACCATCTATAAGTAAAGCTTCGTTTATGAAGAATCAGGTTATGACTTCAAGTAATAAATTTATTAATTTAAAAGGTGGTAACATAAATAATCCACTTAAAAAGAAAGGTACAAGAAGTTCCTTAGAATGGGGTTGTATTAGGGAGGATTTTCTAAGATATGATGATATAGTAGAATCTAATTCTATAGGTGAATATTTTTCGGAATTTAAGAATAAGGTACAGAGCATACTAAATGATGAATCAGGTATTATACATGGAGAACAAAAGATTGAAGTATTAGCTTCTTCTGTATTTTCTGTATCAGTGGATATTCCAAATATATCAGAGGAAATGATTGATGAGTGGTTTATTAGGGAAATAAAAACAGAAGATTTGTGGATTAGTGGAGATGTTAATAATGAATTAAAGGAATCTTTGAATAATAATAAGAATAACTTTAGCAATACAAATCGAATATTACCTGTAAATTTAGATAATTTCGAGGATGTTAATGAGAGGAATAGTGTTTTTGATTCAAAAACAAGTAGAATGTTGCAAATAACAATAAATTATTTTAAAAAGAAATATCCAAAACATGAAAAGAAAGGGTTAAATTCATTTAAAAATTCGATCTTATTATGCACACTAGATAAAGAAGGAATGAATTTATTGTTAGAAACTGTTCCAGATCCAACTGAAAATCCTGTTAAATATGAGACTTGGAAGGACTGTGTAACACAAGTAATTAAATTTCATAATGACAATCCAAATATTCCTCTACTTGAAGAAGAGGAATTTGTATATTTTTTATCATTAATACCTAATTTGCCACATAGACTTGAGTGTATGATTTTGAAGACATCATTTGATCAATTATATAGTGAGTCTTATAAATGGATACAAGAAAAAGGTGCTGGCTTAGATCTTTTATTACATCATAGGAAGTTACCTCTGTTATTTCAAACAATTGTTAAGTCTCGCAATATATTTAATGAGAAATTAGATAAAATAAATAATAATAATAAATTAAAATTGACTGATAAGGAAGATTTGGATAGCAAGAAATCTACAGTCAAATATATCCCTATTTCATCACTGAAAAATTTGCAAAATATTAAAGTTGCAAATAAGAAGGGTAAAACATTGTTACATTTTATTGCATCTATTTTAGGTGAATTATTTACTAGTGAAGAGGTATCTATTCTAAAGAAGTCATCAGAAAGAAATATATCATCTATATATACAGTTGCAACAGATTTGATTTTTTCATGGTTAGAATTAAGTGGGAGTACTGACCAAAGTTTATTACTTAATATGTTATGCAAGGGACATAGTGATAAGTTTAAGGAGATAATGAGTAGTTTTTATAGTGAGAAATATGACCAAATGGTGTCACTTTGTTATATATTTAGGCAATTACTACAAAAGTATATTGCTTCATGCTATTACTTTAGTGATATACATACTTTTTTACCACTAAATAATAAGAATATTAAAAAATCTGATATAACTTTGGTTTTTGTGGATTTTTTGGATAATTACAATCAAGTACTTAAAGATCTTGATAAAGAGAATTGTACACCACCAAAGCAGCTAGATAATAATTTCGGTATACAATCACCAATAAAAAGAAAATCTATAAAGAATCAAAAAAAGATGACATCTAAGTCGAATAATGAGGATCATGTTAATTTGCTTGATATCTCGAAATTTTCAGCATTAAAGTCTACAAAACCATCTTCTATAAGAGATCTTATTCCAAATTCAGTAATTGCAGAGCTAAATCTGAAGCCTATGTTTAATAAAAAAAAAAGTGGTCTAGATAAATTGGGAAGTTCAAAAGAAAATGATGAGCAAGTATTTGTTAATAAAGAAGTGGATAATACAGATTCTCCAATAGCAGAAATGTGTAATATAAAGAATAAGGACGATTCATTTAAGCAAGATTTGGAAAATATTGACTTTATAAATAGTGTTAATGAAGTAACTATGCATCATAATCCTAGACTTCCAAATATAATGCCTTGTCCAATTAAATGTTCAAATAAATATATTAAAAATACTGACTATAATGTTGAATTGTCAAATGAGGCTAAGTTGATATTATCAGAGGATAATAAAGGAGATATGAGTGATAATTTAGAAGATAACGTTAATTCTAAACATTTATACCTAGTCAATAAAGAAGAAGATGGAAATATTCAAATTGAGGAAAATAAGGCATTGAATAACAATAGACTGAGTGATTTATTGGACTTTGATTCTAACTCTAATTCTGACCATGACGATACTGCCACTGTTGCATTATCATCACCTTCAAGTACTAGATTATTAGATATAATGAATATAGTTCCAAAGGAAGAAACCTTAGATCATTCACCTATTAAGAATCAAGTATTTAATCGTCGTCAATCAATTCTTAGGATCTGTCAATTGGCTACACTTTTAGATATGAATCAGACAGAATTAAATATAAATAATACTGAAAATGTCGGAAGATTTACTTTACCTTTTAAAAGTATACGAAATCAGACGAAAGTGGTAAATAACTTCGATAAGTCTGTGAATATTTTGGAAGAGGTACCAGAAACAAATTCTAACAGTGAACTAGAGAATGATGAAGATTACACATGTGTACTGTCAGACATACCAATGTTTAACAAAGGTGAGTATAGTGTCACTCCACTGGAAACACTTCCTTCAAGCAATAATTACACATCACCAAAAACATACATTCAAGCTTCTAGAAGCCGCTTAGGAGGTGCAATACCTCCCAATATCTAAATTTTTGTGGTTGAATATTAAGATTGGAATTGTTGGCGCCTTTAATAGAATAGCTTAAATTTATAGTAATGTGATGTAATTTTGTGTAATTATAGAAAAATGATACTTTGGATATATAAAAGTACATAAAGTATTTAAGAAAGGAAATAATTTTTAATATTGTGCAGACTACTTCAAAATACAACTTCTGTAATATATTATCTTTGCATACTTAGATAATACCAGATTCTAGTTATATATTCTATACAAATAGATTTTAATGTCAAGGGATATACTAGTAACACACATTTCAGATAGAGATCTTGATACTGTACAGCGTGGTACTGAAGAGTGGAATCTATTAGAACATTATTTGCAGGTTTGCTGTCGTTCATCTAGATCCTTAGTACAGCAAATATGGCATATAAATGTAGCTTCTGCTGAGGCAGCATTTGAGAGAAGAACAAAGGGTCGCTTAGTATTATATTGTTGGGTTGATACCAATGAATTAGATCTAAATAATTCCATTCAGGATGTTTGTCGTCGTAGTTTTAAAATACCACCATCTGGCATGAAGTTTACATCAGGAAATATTAAATTACCAGGTATACCTTCTACTATAAATGAATCATCTAATTATTCTGAAGATGTCGACGTAAGTATTGAACTATCAAATTCACCATTTCTCCCAAATTCACACTCAGATTTTACAACTACTAGACGTCTATTTGAATATTTTCTATGTAAAGTTGGTGTTGGATGTTCAGTAGTTAAAAATAGTGAAAAAGAAGCAGATGGGAACCATTTCCAGATATCTTCAGAATATGATACAGTATTTTTACGAAATAGACAAATTAATCCTCCATCAATTATAAATTCAAAAGTAAAAAGTAATAATGGAAATGATCTATCAACTGAAAATGAATTAAATCTGACAAGATCACTATGTTTAGCAACAGGAGTATTACCTCAGCACACATTTCGTCATGAGTATATAATTTATGAAAGTTCACAAGTAGTACCTCAATACTTAGTTCAATTTGAATATGATTCATCTATTCCAGAACTTTTTGCAGTCCCATGGTGTGATGAATGCCAAGATGCTCCTGCAATATTATGGTGTCAAGCGGATACAGCTAAATTATGTGATTTATGCGATGAAAGATTACATATGCACAATAAACTAGTAAGTCGTCATGTAAGGATACCAGTTAATCAAATGCCGAGATCATCTGGTTGTTGTCCAGTTCATACAATGGACAACTTAGAGGAGTTTTGTACATTATGTAATGTACCAATGTGTAGATTATGTAGACCAGCTCATGCTCACACAGAAGAAAGTACATCTTCTCTTATAATGCCTATTGGTCGTGCATATAGAGCTCAACTTGAAAGGCATAATAAACCACATCCGTGTTTGAATTCAAGAAAGATGGAACTATTAGAAAAGTTGGAGTCACAGCAGATTATATATAATGATGTTAGAACAAATATGTTTGATGTAGAACAACGTATATATGCTCTACTAGAAAATTCAATGAGACAGTTACAAATAGCTGTTGAAACAAAAATGAATACAGTACTGTGTGAGCAATTGATATTTAATCAGTTACTACAACAATTGGAATGGTCTGAAGGATTTTTACAATATCTTCAATCTGTATTACCACCAGCAGATTTTCTATTTGCATGGTTGAGGCATTGTCACTATAGAGAAGAAATCTTCCAATTATGTGACTTGTTTACAAATGATAACAAGTTCTTGCCTGATTTAAGACTTGTTGGTAGAGTTGATATCTTGTCAGAATCAGCACTGAGACATAACAAAAATCATAAGGATGCAAAACATTCTCTATTTCTGCAATAAGGTAATAGGGACTAGCTAATTCTAAATATTTAAAAATAACTTTTTATCAAGAAGGCTTCATAGTAGTTTAATTCTCAAACCATATATTGCACTTCTTAAATGTAGATAATGAGTATTTAGTACAACTTAATAGATTTAAAAATTTTGCGCCTAATACATCAATTTGTAGCCAGTACCAATCACATCACCCAGTATATCTTTTTTTCATTGGAAATTGTATTCTCACCTTTTGGAAGGATTATGGAACTAAGTATACTTGGCTAGTATTAAAAGGTCTAAGTTTTCATATTGAGTATTTGTTAATAGCTATTAATATATAGATATTGAATTAAGTAATATAAATACAACGCACCACAATTTACTAAAGTATGGGGTGGGGTAATTCAATATATAAACCTAGACATTGGTATCAATACCTTTCTTTAAAATACTTAAGCTTTGGATTTATGAATCCCTATATCAAATCCTATAAAACTGAACAATTCTCTAGTAATGATCTACCAGATATTCCTTTAACAGAGGATGTAATTAAAATTGGGGAACACCTATCAAGAGCTTTAAAGAAAGAAGAAATATTGGCATTGAATAGTGGTAGGCAACCAAGTTTATTTAAGGCAATATTAAGAGTTTATTATCCATTATTAATACTTTGTCTATTCTCAATTATTATAATAGATGGTATACAGTATTCTGCAAGTTTAGTAATTAAAAGAATTATTCAAGATTTACAGAAGCCAAGACCCTTATCTATACAAGATAAATATAACTCTTTAATAAACTTTTTTTCTGTATTTATTATACTAATATCAACTACAATAATATTACCTCATGCAACATTTTTGCAATTAAAATATATATTTCGTATCTATACTAGTTTGGCAATCAACTTGTTATGGAGAGGTTTAAGAAAATCTGGTGGACTTCATTTATCACGTAAATTTAATACTAAGTTAAATCCTCCATTTGTACCTAAAATGAACTTGATTATACATAAAAAAAGATACTCATTATTTAAGCGAATTTTGAAAATATTCAGTTGTAAAGTTGATGATAGTAAAGAAGATATAAATGAAAGTGCAACAAAATATTTGACAATGGGTAAATATAATAATTTATTTTCTATAAATGAAACACAAGTATCTAATAATTCGAATAAATACTTAAAAGAAGATAAACAAGTTAAATCAGAAAATTCCTTAAAACAAGAAATAGACTCTCAATCTAGGCAGAAAATAAATATAATTCCACATAAAACGAGAAGTCAATTATTTAAAGTACAAGATATTATCACACCAATTAAAATAAAGACTGCTGATATGTATAATTTGATTATGGCAGATTTATTTCCTTGTTCAAAAATGTTTGTTAGCTTAATAAACCTAGTCTTATTTCCTCTCAGGCTACTAATTGCAGGATTTACGATGGCGTACATATTAACATCATCAGTATCCAATTTCAATAGTAGCAAGTTGCGAATTTTGAATATTTCAATAATTTTATGTATTACTTCATTATGTATATTAACCAGTATTGGAATAGGATGCGAAATATTTAGTGGATATTTAAGAAAACCACTACTTAAGGTTAAGGATAGAAGATTAGAAGAATTAAGGTATATTCTAAAAAATATTAGAATAATAAAACTTTTGAATTGGGAAGACTTTGTGTACAACTCATTAATTAACCTAAGAGATGAGGAAATGCATCAGAGATATTTGAACTTATGGTGGAGCTCAGCCGCATTATTCTTCACAAACAACTCATTATTATTTTCACAGGCCATTTTATTTCTTGTATTAGGGCTGTTATTTCAGAATTTTACTGGACAATTTATTATTCCAACAATTGCTACTGTTCCTATAATGTATTCACTGAGTATCTTATTTAATTCAGCTGGTTCTATACCAGAAGAATTAGGTACTACAGTACGAGGCTGGATCAGTTTGAGTAGAATTCAACTTTTGATATTCTCAAAAGTTGATGAATATCCTTTAATTTGTAATTTAGGAAATAAGGATATATTTTCAGATGAGAGGAATGTACTATGTGGTAGTATTGAATTAGCAGATATCAGCAATTCTATATATGAGAATAATAAACATTACACAGATGAATATGCTATCTATTATAACAATGCAAGCTTTTCTAGAGCAATGTACGATGACCCGGAAATAAGATATTTACATCAGTTAGGTGGGAGTTTATTATCTGGAGGTCTAGATGATATTCCAATTAAAGATGAAGATAAGGAAATATTAACAATATCAGAAACTAATCTTCATCATGAATCTTATACTAGAAATAATGAAATAAGAAATGAAGAATATAGATTAGAAGATAGAGATTTTCAACAATTTGATTATTTTATGAAATCTTCTACAACTGACTGTGATAATCAACAAATGAATTTGATAAACTTATCTAGTTTAACATCTCCTATAATATTACAAAAAGTTAATTCAAAAATAAAAGAAAAGGTATTTCGGAAATGTTCAATTTTTAAATTTAATGATTCTCAAGATAACTTTTTACACTTTCAAGATTATTCCTCTTTATACCATCTCACCATATCACCTTGTTTGAAAGATATTAATTTGTCTATAAAATATGGCCAAATTGGTATAATTTTTGGTCAAGATGAAAGTGGAAAGACAAACTTATTAGACTCAATAATTGGGAGTCTATACCGTATTAAGGGTATAAGTTACATTGCAAATAAAAGATTGCAATTACCTATACAATATGTATCCTCTTCAACTTGGTTACCAAATGGTACATTAAAAAGTGTAATATTAGCTGGACGTAAATTTGATGAGATTAGCTTTCGAAATGTTCTAAAGGTATGTCAACTGGAGACAGACATTAATAATTGGCCACTGAAAGATTTACATATGATTGATGAATATGGTAATAACCTTAGTAATGGGCAGAAAGTTCGTGTAGCTTTAGCTAGAGCTTTGTATAATTATGACTGCTATGAAAATGATGAAATTGAAGACATTCAACATGATGATATAAATGAAATATATAGAAATAGGAATCTTCATTCTACTAATCAAAGTAATCAGACTCTTCAGAGTACCCGTGATTTTCATATATTACTAGATAATAATATGAATATAAATGAATCTACCACTAATATACATAATAAAGGGACACCAGATATTGATCCTTTGTTTGACAATAGTATTGCTTCAAAATTTAATAAATACTGTAAACTTGAAGATAATTCTCATGTTTTATATGATATAACAAATAATAGAAATGTAAACCAAAGTAATAATAAATTTTTACTCTGTTTAGATTCAATATTTGAACCTCTTGATCCTCAAACCTCTACAAAGATTTTTAGTGAATTATTTATTTCCGATCATCCTTACTTAGAATCGGAAGATAGACCAGATTACTACAATTCTATAATCTCGAAATTTAAGGACTTTTCAAGTGTTATATCTATGACAACTGCAACACTGAATCATTTTCTGGATAGATACATGGATAAAATGCTGGGGAATTATCCATTTGAATTTAAGTTTTTTTATATGAACCAGGGCAGAATTTATGAAGTTCATGATATTCACCAATTTCTCTCCAATTTTGGTCAAAAGTATGAAGAAATCCCTAAATATGGTCAAAATTCTGTACATACTGGAAATCACTTAGAATCTAAAGATTCGTCAATATTAGATACTCCAGGAGATCTAAGAAATGAAAAACAAGGAAATACAGACTTGAATTATAAAACTGAACAATATACAAAGACTGAAAAGACATATAATTTATATAAACCATTAAATAGTCAACCAATAAGTCCGAATTTTCAAATCAAAAGTATGAAATCTCAGTTTACTAGTGAAAGTATTGAAAACCAAGCAAAAAAGGAGCTATATAATGAAAATAATGAAAACGATAATATTTTCATTAATTATTTACCTCAATCAAGTACTTTCGCACCTTCTTTTATTATGCCTTTAAGATATGTAAGCAATTCTACCCTTGGACAAGCTATAGTTAAAGCTTCTTCAAAATTAATAAGAAGTTCTAAATATTTTTGTCCAGTACATCATAATTTTACAGAACTCTCTGGTCATGTGAAATTGAATACATATAAATGGTTCATAGAGTTATTTTATGGTAGAATGATGTTTACATTAATTATTTCTATATTTATTTCTCTTGCATTATGTACAAATATTATCGATATCATTGCAATTATTTGGAGTGGACAAGATAAAACCAGCTTAATTTTACTTCAAGATAAACTTGATAAAATTTTATATTTTAATTCTTTCTCTATAAGTTTACAATATATGATTATATTCTTTATATTAACAATGGTAACAATAACAATTAGGCTAATTGGTATATACTTTGAATTTAAAGCTAAAATTTCAAGTTCCATTAAAATCCATAACGATGTCCTTTTACAATTACTAAAAGCTCCTATAAAATTATATGATGGTATCAATATTAAATCTCTTGTAGATATCTTTTCACTAGATCTTTCAATTATTGACAACAAAATATCATTTTCTAATATCACATTTCAATTTACTTCCTTTATTATATCTATAATATTTATAGTTTGGAGTACTCCAGTTTTTTTATTTTTAATACCTATAATTGTCTATATATATATTAAATATATATTCAAACCTACTAGAATACAGGCTAGGGAGAATTACAGATTATTACTAAATACATATGGTCTTTTATGCAATCAAACTGAGTTTATAATAAAAGGATCTGATATAATTAGAACTATGAAGCTTTCTTACTATCAAAACTACACATCATATATACTTAAAAATTTGTTAAAAATATTTTATTTTAGTTATGGAGTTAGTATATGGGGGCAAATCAGAACTTTACTCTTGGGAATATTTACTATTTTTATTATATTTCTATTGCCTACAATACCTAGAATGCTAGATATTCAATTACCTTGTTATATATCTGGTTTTGCTTGTTATAGTCCTGATCCTATTATATCCAGTTTTCTTGGTCTTACTCTATCTTTTGCAATTGGTCTCCCATCAACTATTAATGGACTAAATAGAAAATTTATTGACTTAGAAATGGATATGTGTTCAATTCAAAGATTTCAGTTTTTACAAAAGCAAATTGAATATTATCATAAAAAAGTGAATCCATCAATCAAATTTAAAAAATACAATACTTCAATTACTAAAAGTAGTCTAAGTATGGAGAATGATGGAAATACAACTGATAGTAATAATACAAATAGTAGTTCTCTAGAAATTTTTGACAAAGGTAGTGAAAAATTTGTAAACTCAAACATAAATGAAGATTCTCTAAATTTTTCTAATGGTCTTATAATAAAAGATGCAACAATGAGCTATACAGATAATAGATATATTATCAAAATAGCCTTGAGAAATATTAATATGAATATACTTCCTGGGCAGCATATTGGATTAGTTGGTAGAACTGGATCTGGGAAATCATCTCTAATTCATTCTATTCTTGGGATTTATGAATTAGACTCTGGTCAAATACTATTAGATAATATTGATTTATCATTACTACATATGAATATTAATCAAATTATATATATAGATAAAAAATCAACAAATAACATAAATATAAAGTCCAATTATTGTCATCAATATGATAATATTATTGGATTTATTCCTCAAAATCATGTCATAATTAATAATTGGACTATAAGAAAGTATATAGATCCTTATGATCAATATAGTGATTCCAATATATGGAATGCTATTGATGAGTTAGAACTCAATTATTTATTTAAAGATTTACCAAGTGGTTTAAACTCAGTGGCTTCATGTAATTCTTTCTCTCAAATTATGAATGATAATATTAATTTGGCATACTCTCGGAGTTATTCATCAAATGATAAGACTATTTGTCAATTAGATAATAATAATCAAAATCGAGTATTTAATATATCCCAAATAAGAATTCTTGCTTTTATTAGATTATATCTTAATTCAAAAAATTACCGTCTAATATTAATTGATGAACCCCCAATTATGGATGAATATTCATATAATCAAGAATTGAACTCTGGCAGTTTACAAGATACAAATACAATAGAGTTTATTTTAAATCATCCTAGAGATACCATCAAAAATAAGTCAGAATCATCTATATCTATTCCTTATCTAGTTAACAAATATTTTAGACATTGTATTGTTATTATTATAACCCATAATATAGAATCTATACAATACTGTGATTACATATATGTAATGAGTCATGGACAAATTTCCTCTAAAATTAAATTTTCAGAAGTTAAATCTCAACTTAATTTACAGAAATTAATTTATAAAGCAAACGAGTTTACTATTAGTAATAATGATAATACTTTATAGTAATATTAAAGAATAATGAACTTATTTTTAGATCTATAATAGCGGTATATTTAGGAACACCTACTTTTAATATTCTCTATATATTATGGATACTATACCTTGCTTATACATTATTTAAAAGATCATAATACAAATATCTTGTAAACTGCAAAATCATTATAATTATACACTAATCTTGGTCAATTCTAATATTATAATGCACTTTTTGAGGTTTTATTTCTACTATTAAAAATGTATAATACATGTATCAGAAAGTTGTTACAAACAAATATAAACAATCAATATTCAAAAATATTAAGGAATAACTATATCACTAATTTAGACAAACTAAAAATATTGTATAGAAAAATACCAACTATAACAAATATGAAAACGATGACAGCCTATTTATCTACTAAATCCAGTGAACAACAAATAGCTCCTAATAATATACTATCTATAACATCTAAAGCTCTTCTCAAATTAAAAGATATGTTAGAAGAATATAAACATAGACATAATAAGAAATATGTTGCTATACGTCTAACTTTACTTAAAAGTGGATGCTCTGGTTACTCCTATAAGTTGTTGTTTGATGACCTTTACAATAATACAGAAAATCAAACTAAAAATAAAGAATGTTTGATCAATTTCAAAGATGATTCTGGTGCAAAAAATATAGAAGTCCCAATAATAATAGAATCTAATTCTTTAACAACTTTGTTTGGAACAAAAATTGATTTTAGTGAAAATGAACTAGATTCCCAATTTACCTTCTATAATAAACTACATATTGGATGTTGTGACTGTGGCAAAAGTTATATGTTTGAGGATAATAAAGAAAATATTCACCATAATATAAAAACAAATTATATTACAAAAAATAATTTTGTAGAGTGTATATAATTGTTTGTTAGAATCAAACTTTTATGACTTTTATTAATATTATATAATTTACTAAATAATATCTTATTTTCTTAATAAAATAATTCCTTATTTATATAAATAGTCAATAAATATTACAATTTATAAAGGCCAATATTTTATTGTAAAATTTATATATTTAGTATAAGATTATTATATTTAATAAATAAACAAAATCTTATAAATAAATTAATTTAACAAATTTACTCCATGTGAATCAGTTACTATCATATAGTTCATTTTCTTATTATCATTTATACAATTAAAATATGTTGGAATATTAGTTTGTGCAGATGTTATTTCTCTTGTATCAGTACAAGTTATCCATAATAGCCTTTTAAAATTTAAATTGTTCACTTTATATTGTATTCTAATAGTTTCAAATATACCAGATGGAAGTTTTGGAAATCTCACTGTAACCTTATTTAATCTAGAATCTTGTAGGTGTGATGATTCATTATTTGAACGATTAGATAATGGAAGTTCAATATTATAATATGATTCCATATTATAATCATTCAAATCAGGATTACTCAAAATTTCTATAGAAGTTTTGCTTAAAATATTTCTATATTTCTTATTAGTGATATACTCCTCATCAATTGTTACAAAAACAACAACACCCATTGTATCAATTATACTAGATAATAGGTGCATACTACAATTATATAAAGTATTTAATGATGCATTTAATCCAAATAAATAAGAATTTAATTTATTTGTATATAGTTCATTATATTTAATATTGTTATCTTTATTATTATTATCATTATTATCTTGGCTAACTATATATTCAAATATGCTTGAACTATTTTGGATTTTCCAAAATGTTAATGAATCTATAATTATAATATTTGGATTTGTATTATCTGTCATTATTGTACGTAATATTGAAATAAAATCTAATATATCTGATACACTAACAACTTTGAAATTATCTAAACTAGATATAAGCATATCCTTATTATTAATAATTAGATCTTCATTTATTTGATAATAATTTTCATAGTATTTCTCAATAGTAGGTAATAAATGTGTCTCTAGAAAAACTTCTATACAGAAACTATTATCTGTATCAATATATAATACTGATAAATTATGTCCTCCAAGTTCCTTTGGTAGTATACATTGAGCCATTATATATCCTAATAATAAAGATTTACCACAATTACTTTTACCAGCTATTCCTATTAAATCTCCAGGCCTTAATACACCATTTTCACCTAATAAATCCATTAATATATCATCATTAAGTCGTAACTTGTATAAGTTTCTTTTTAATAAATTATATAAGTTATCATCGGCTTCATATACATGCTTTATCTTAATATCATTTAAGATACTGTATCCAAACATTTATAACATAATAGTATTTAAGTATTGTTATAAAGGGATATTTTGTACGTTATAGTCATTTTATATAAATTAAGAAATTTATTTAACAGCGCTATTATTTAATTTTTCAGTTTATAGTAATAATATAAACTGTAATATTCTCTTAATATTTTAATATTCTAAAGTATTCTGAATTATAAAGAAAATATTTCATATATTATTGCAAAGAATAGAAAGGTACTAAATATATGATCTTTATAATGACTGATTATATTAATATTATACTTAATACTATTTCATATTCTCGAAAAGAGAAGAAATTAAAAAAAAATTATTTTACTTAATTAAATTATCTAGATATTATTAGTATATTTAAAATTATGTGAATTTATTTCTTATTAAGTATGAAATTAGATGACTTATGTATTATTAATGGAGAATACAAACTCCTATATATTCTTGGAAGAGGAGCATATGGTACCGTATATAAAGCTGTAAAGATAGATAATAAAGAACCAAAAATGACTAGTAATAGAGAAGATATAAATAATTTAGATTATAATTTAAGATCAAATAATAAATATATTAGCAAAAAAGAATATACCTATGAACTTTCAATACCAAAATATTATGCTATAAAAGTTTTTGATAAAAAGTTAACAAATAAAGGAATACATCCAAGTATATTGAGAGAAATTGGATTACTCAAAGAATTACATGAATATAATTTTGATGGAATTATTAGATTAGAACAAATAGTTGTTTGTGATCAAAGAATATGTGCTGTATATGAATATGGAGGTTCTACATTACAGTCATATATCGAAAAGAACGCAAATAATCTGAATTTGATTGATGGTATATATATATCATATCAGATTATAAAATCTGTGAATTTTCTCCATAGCATTGGTATTGTACATCGTGATCTTAAACCAGAAAATATACTTTTCAATGAAAATACAAAAATAGTTAAAATTGCAGATTTTGGATTAGCTCGTACAATTAGAAATAATAATAATATAAATTTTACAGTAGATGTTGCAACATTATACTATAAACCACCTGAACTTCTTTCTTTTAATACTAATAATAAATTGATATGTCCATATGCAGTTGATTGTTGGACTATTGGAGTAGTTATTTTGGAATTATTCACAATATTATGTAAAAATAGCAAAAATAAGTCATATTTAAGTTATAATACAAGGAGTAGCCTTAGTAAAGCTAATACTAATACATGGTTACCAATTTTTTTTGGAGGAAATGAAGTAGCTGTATGTAATGAAATTTACAAACTATTAAATATTTCATGTCAATTTCATATATTAAAAGATACTCTTAAACCATTGAAAGAGAGATTTCCTGATATTTTTAATTTAATTTTCCAATTACTTCAAATAGAACCTAAAGAAAGGTGTAACTGTGAATATGCTAAATTTGTTGTTGAAAAAATAATAAATAATCTAACTTCTTGAATATATATTTAATAATAATTTTTTTTTCTGTATATTTTTCTTTTCATATTCTCCAATTATATATATTAGAATAACTAGTTGTATTAGTATTTTGTACATATGGACGATTTATATATGTCATATTATTTTGTTCAACAATATTAGATTTTACTGTTGTTCTAAAAGAATATTTTGGTAGTGATGAATAACGTCTTGGTATTTTAGTATTATCAGTAAAATTTACATTAGTATTTGATATAATTGGATTTATAGGAAGTTGGTTTATTTGATTAGAGTTATTTGTTGCATGGATATGCTGGTATCTAATCATATCACAATTTTGATAAATATGATTAGATACTGATTTTTTCAGTGTTTGAGTAGTTTTTGGATATATTATAGGTGTTATTTGCGAATTTACTGGTTGAAGTATATGTTTTTGACGTACTATTAATGAATTTGGCTGATTTGTATCTAATAATCCACTAGAATTCATATTATATTTTGATTCACTTAGATTATTATTACGATTAGTAACATTTTTGTTTAATTCATGATTTAGATCTGTACTATTTGTAGTGTTATATATCTCCTTTAATGTATTTGATGAAATTATATTGATTTTATCTAATGAATCTAATGATTCAATTGATTTATTTAATGATTCATCTAAATCTTTATTTTGTGGCTTTATTACTGTTATTGCTGCTTTAAGCATTTCAACTACTGATTCAAAAATAAAGCTTGCTTCATCTATTGATGATATTTCATTGAGTAATTGTTTTCTAATACATGGCTGAATCTCATCACAATTTTTTAGATTTTGAATATTTTTAAATTCTTTTATAAGAGACTGTACCCTTTTTTCAAGTTGTTCAGGTCGTTTACTTTCTAGTGGTAGATCAATATTTTCTGAATAAGTTCCACCATCAATTTGTTGAATATCATATGAAAGTATATTTAAAGACAATTCATTGACTCTTTTTAACTTAAAATTCCTATTTTTATTATATATGATATTTTTAATATTTCTTTGTCTGATATATTGGTTAATAGTTAGTGTTTGTTTATTTCTAATAATTTTCATATGTTGATATAATCTTTTAGTTTTTTTAAGTTCTTCTAAAGTATTATTAAACTTCATCTTTAATTCATTATTTTTTATTTTCAAATTTTTCAAGCTTACATTACAATCAATTATTTGTACTTGCACAATATTACTTACTATACTCCACTTATTATTTTTTAGACAATAACAATTATTAGTGTATTTATGTAACTCATTTTGTAATATAATAAACTTCTCATTTAGTTTTTTATACTGATTTATTAAATCATCTAAATTATATGTAAAATCTTCAGAATATTTACCTGATTGTTCAAAAATATCAACACTTTCATTCAGAATTTTTTTAGCATTATCTTCTGAAGATTCTTCAAAAAATGATTTTTTTAAATCTTCTAGTAATAAATCATTATTATCTGATGAATCAGAGGAATATAACCTTTTTTTGTTATCATTATCAACTACTTGCATATTAAGATTACATATATTTCCATTACTATAATTGATACTTTGAAATAAAATTCTAGAATTTTCAAGTTCTTGAATTCTTTCAATTTTTTCTATTTCCACTTGATTTATTAAATCATATACTGATAGTAATAATGAGCTTTTTTCTTTTTCTAATTCACTATTATTAGATTTTAATGTATTATTTTCATTACATAAATCTTTATTTTTTACATGTAGAATTTGCACCTCCTCTTCTATTTGATTACATCTAAGTTTTAAGAAATCATATTCTTTATTCATATTTTCAATTTTTTTCTTTAGTTTATCCTCACATAGTTGGGTTATTTTGCTATTTTCGCTTATTTGAGTCTCTAATTTGTTCTTTATAAATTCAATTGCATTTTTTTCTTCAATTTCATTATTTAATCTAAACCTCAAATTATCTAGCTCTTCCTTTAATAATTTTATTTCTTCAATTTGTTGTAAATTCTCCTTTTTTCCATCTTCTTTGAGATTATTAAGTTCCGATTTTTGATTATTGCATTCTGTCATAAGATCCTCATAACTTTTGGTCATTAAATTCAATTTCTCTTCATAAATAGTACGCTCTTTTTCATACAATAATTCTGATTTACTCAGGCAGCTCTTTAGCTCCTTAAATTGTTTAATTAATCTTTCATTTTCCAATTTTTTATTTTCCAACTCATTTTGAATATTTCTATTTAGAGTATCAACTAATTCTAGTTTATTCATGGCATCTATATATTGCCTTTCCCCTATAGATAAATCCTCCATAAGCTTTTCTACCTTAAATTTATTTTCTTTTTGCTTATTTTCATTTTCAAAAATAATTATTTTTAGTTTTTTTTCAAAGTCTAAAATTAAATTTTCTTTTTCTCTCATGTAATGTTTTAGTTCTTCTCTATGTATATCTTCAGTTTTTTTCAATAAATAATTGTGAATTAATTTATTTAAAGTAAATATTTTGAGAAAACTCCCCTTATTATCAATAATATTAGAAATCTTGCAAATTCCTTTAATTTTTTCAGTATTTATTCTACTGCTTTTAACTAATTGTCTTTGTTTCACCCTATTACGCCAAGTTGAGAAATAATACTGTAACAGTAGTAGCTTTTCTTGAGTAATCTTTTTCTCTAGTAATATTTTCGTGTTTAATGAATAATCTCTTGAAATTACACTTTTAGAATCACAAACTTTACCTAGCTTTTGTGTTATACCTTCAAAAATCCTACTAATAATGGTATTAGTATCGCATTTATCTTGACCTATATTTTGTTCATTATTATACAGATAAGACTCATATTCATTACTAACCCTATCTAACTGATCATTATTTGAAAATTTGAGATTTACCAAACTTTTTTCTCTATGTTTTTGAATCATTGCAATTGCATGAGATATATCAATGCTATTATGTGAAATGTTTTGCTTGATTAGATTAGTTCTTGCTACATTATTAGATCCAGAAGTTTTACCAGATATTTTTGAAATTGAATCATCCGGTTTTATCCTATTACTCAATAGAGTATCTGTATTTTCATGATGCATATTATCTACTTTATTTTCTAATTCATTATCCCCAGTATCACTATTAGGTAAACATTTAATATTTATTTTTTCAAATGATTCATTGTAGTCACAAAACTGTTCTTCAATATTCATAATTGTATTATTGCATGAACAGAATATTAAATATATTTTAGGTATGGTAAAACTTCTTCTAGCCATTTCTTCCATTTCCTTTATTATACACACTGCATTTTCTGGCCTTTCTGACAACAAATCACTAGTACAATCACTTTTACTTTTAAGTCCCAATATCCATTGTTTTTTACCATAAATATTTAGATCTTTAAGTAATATGCAGGGGAAATTTATTATTTGATATATTTCTGCACTACCCGAATACAGATCATCAACATTTCTTGAGACATAAATACAAATATCTAAAATTTCATCTTCTTTATATTTAAATCGAGGAAATGCAAATGGCCAACTGCTAATAATATAAGGCCCTGATGAACTCTTAATTACAAGTGACACATGATTCCAATCATTATATTTCAATGTTGGTCTGGGAATGGTTAAACTTGCCACTCGCATTCTATATAAGAGTTGAATGAGTATCTATAATAAAATTCTATACATATATTTTCCCCTCTCTGTTATTGACTCTTAAATAAAAGATAAAAGATGTTTATCTTTTGTCTTTATTTAGCTATACAATCAAAATACTCCATGCATTTATTATCAGATTGTGCCTTAGTTAAAACCGCTTATCTGCAAAATAAACTGACAATAAAAACCCACAAAGCCGTCGCGTCTAAAGTACTACTGTCTGCTAATAAGCCACTCATTTGGTTCTCCCTTTAAAGTAATCTAGATTTCTAACGAGATTGTCAATTAATTTAATATTTTGTGTAAAATAACGATTCTGGTGTATACTTACTGAGTTAATAATAGGTATATACTTACTGAGGTAATAATAGGTGTATAACAATGAAATTGAACCGGGTTCTCTTACTTATAGATTACTTTTCCTGATATCTCTTACATGCTTGTTATATACGCATTAATATTCCTTATGTATGAGAGGTAGGTATTATGGATATACCTTAAATTTACTTTACTTTAGAAGGGATGGTGCATTCAGGAATCCCAGCTCTATGTTTACCACTAGCTACACTATCTACCCTTGTCCACCGCCAATTTATACCTGCACCAGTAAAAAAAGAGCTTCATCTTTCCTTAAATAATAACTTTACTATCAACTTCATTAGGGATTTTAAAAGTAAGTATTTTTGTAATTTAATTTAGATATCTATTTACAAGTTAGAAATATTCATGTATATCCTATTGAAAATGTCATTTTCCATATAAATAGTTATTTGTTTCCTCCAGTACTTAAATGTCTCAAAAACAAGGACTTCATACATTATTGCTGATACAGTACTCTAATAACATTAGTACTCGATCCTATATGGATTATGATTCAGTTGGACAGGCCATTGATGGTAAAGTTATATAATTTTATTTGTTGTTCCTAATATGAAAACTTGCACAGTCATTGTTTACTTTTTCTTTAATTCCCTCCTTTAGGACTTTGTCAAATATATGAACAAAGTATTAAATGTGCTATTTCAAGTTTAAAAGAGGTCACCTACAGTATAGATGATCTCATTAAATACATCAATTCGCTTTACGATATCTGCATGCTTGTGTAAGTTTCTCTATTATTATTTTAACAAATTAGTTCTCAATAATTTTACATTTTAGTCGTGATGGTTCAAATAGGAAGTACATTCCACATGATAGACAATGGATAAAGGACCAAATAATGTTGAAAATTAGACGAAAGGCTGCAATAAAATAAGCAATGGTCTGGACTTATTTCTTTCTTTAATTTCCTACTTTCACCTATTAATATTAACCATTACTCTAGTTCATTACAATAGATTTAGTTTTGGCCCAATAAACTTAATCATTTTCTCTATTTGAATAAATAAATTGGCTGATAAATCTCTTTTACTCTCTAAAAAAATCATCTAATTAACTATTTATTCATTCCTTGAAATAATACTTCTTAAGCCTACTGATAATAATATCTGAGGCTTCAAACATTTAATATTACTAATAAAGGGTGTTCTTAATAGACCAGTTTTTGCGTGCTAAAATATATATATTTCTTTGTTCATTTGCTTCATAATATTTTAATATTAAATATAAATCATTTAATAACTATAATAAATTCTGTAAATATTCATGATATCCTTATCTTTTCACTTCATAATATTACCTAGTTATATTGGTTGATAGAAAATTCCTAGAAACTACTCTATATCTACAAATAAAGTCTGTTTTGTATCTTTTTTTAAATCATAATTTATTTTATAATTAACTAAATTCATTTTATCTGTCCCAAAAAATTGCAATATAGTAGTGCATCACTCAATCTGCCATCGCATGCATGTTTTTTTATTGCATGTATAATGTGGATAACCGGTATGTAACTTGGGTATCCGCTGTACCCGCAGAATCATGCAATGCAACATTACAAATTACATAAGAGAAGAGTTTCATAGTTAATAAAATAATATAAATTCTTATAAAGATGAAACTTAAATTACTGGTCTCTCTAATTGGAATATTAAAGATATCTTCAGCTATATTATTAGACACAAAGCGATACTCTTACGGAGAGGATTTGTGTGGACTAGAAGTCAAGAGTGTACTGAAATATATCCCAGATATTACTGACATATCTAGTGGAAGTATTGTCAATTGTATTCTTGATAAGGAAAAGTTCATTATAACTAATAAGGGCGTAAGTTAACTGAGAGATGTAGTAAATTCGATTACAAGTGTCAATTTCTGCATGTGCATGAATATCAACGATAGAGTCTGCATTGTCACAAATAACTGTGTAGTACTAAGTTCACTCACCTATTCTTAATATATTTCAAACTTATCTAAATTTGTAATTTTAGAAAACTATTCAAGCTCTAGACCTGGATTCAATTAATACTCCACTCTTAGTAACTTCAAGAACTGACCATTGCTTTAGTATTGTGAATAATATGGATGAGAAGCCCTTGACACTATGTGGAGATACCGTTGGAGCTAGGAATTATATAATGAAGAAGATAACACAGAATGTAAGTTCAAAAGTGTAACATGTGATGCTTATTCATGACAAATTTTCTTCACTATTTGTTACTACTTCAATTCAGATTCTTTGTCGTCACCTTGGGGAGATGAGAAGTGAAATATCTGGTATATCACCATTAGAACAAGAAGCTCGCATAGCCTTACAAGGAAAAATGCCAGGTGAGGGTGGCATTTCAATTCATTTAGAAGGAATGAAGGAGGCCCCCCATATACAAGTAGTATCAAATTCAGTCCTAACTTGATATAACAGATTGAAAGAATATCTTAATAATATATTGGGCAAAATTAGTGATATGAAAAAAGTATGTACAAAATCACTAGATATTGACTATATCTAATCACCACTCAAAGAAATGGCCAATTAAAAAAAAAAAAAAAAAAAAGTGGTAATATTAGCAAGAGTAAAGCTCAGGAAATAGAATGAAAATAATCTTATTGAATTTTACTTCATTATTCGTTATATAACTTCACTTTATTGCTGTACTTTGATTATTTCTCTGTTTAGATATGTACAATTCTTCTTGAGCAGTCATATAATTACTGTATGTAGCATTACCGACAAGGTTAGAGCGTTCTCCAACAACCACAACTGAACCATATTGAGCAGCAATTGCAGCACCACCAAGAACATCTTCAACATCAATATCTTTAAGTATATCAGCAAAAGCTTTTGCCTTTTGTTTGTGGACTTTCTTTACCCACTTGTGTTTACGTAAATCAAAAACATCTTGGATAAGACAATTTAGTCTTGTAGAAATTTGTGACTTCTGTAATTCCTTCAGTCGGCCAAACCACTGGTCTACAATCATTTGAGACTTTTCATTTGAGTCAAGGTAATATCCAGTAGTCATAATTAATTGACATAAACATTCAATTGCATATTCATCCGGATGTTCTTGAAGCATGACTAAATCAAAAACAAGCTCATTTAAACTTCTCATTGGGAACATTTTGCGTATAAATAATTCACCTATTAACCGTATTATCCCTAAAACATGTACTTTGAGTTTCCTATATTTAATGACAAGTTCTTCATTACCATATAACTCAATTTCCTCTTCGGTTGGTCGCATATTTTTAGGTAAATTCTTAAATTCATATTCACAGCGTATTAACAATGCTTTACTGAAACTAATCACACTTTTATTTTCCTTTACTAATAATGGGCTACGCCACTTTAGAACTTGACATAGATCAGCATACATTTCAGAAAAATCAGGTTCTGTAATTGCTTTATCAAGAACTTGCTTTACAAGCTCTTCCAATTCCTCAACACTTTGTAATTCCTCTATACACAAAGCTAGTTTCTCTGCTATAACAGTAAACTTCTCGACTGTTATTTTATTTAATAAGCTTTTCACATGTCGGCGCACTCCTTCCAATGAGTCTGTATGAATTGTCCCATTTCCTCTACGCCATAAACCTCCAGAAGTTGATACAGTAGTATTCATCTCATCTTTATTTAATGACATATCAGTTGAACCACTAGACTGAGCTACAAATACTTCCACAGTCATAGGTGCTTCTATAACTGTAGTATCTACTATTTTAAGTTCAGATTTAGGAATCTCCTTTAATTGCAACGATACAGACGCATCTGCATTTATATCCAAATTCCCTAGGTTGTTGTCTATATCTGCTGTATCTGAAGTTGGATCTACACATCTATTTGTAGTGTCTTCACTAGCTTGTTCTTTTATAAGTTTCTCACCCTTATTTTGAAACTTCTCTTTACCTATTGAAACAGTTTGAGGTGACCCGACATTATCATTACGAGATTTATCCTTCGAATTAGCTTTATAGTATCTCCTCCTATTTTTTCTCTTCTTATTTTCATCTAATATGCTGCCAGCTCCATTATTATTGTTTATTATATCTATTGACTTTAATTTTGGAGCATTATTATTATTATTATTATTATTATTATTATTATTATTAATCCTACCTGAAGCATGAAAGCGGAATCTAGAATAGCCAGTATTAGGCTGTCTCCCTGTATTATTAGAAGTGGGGCGATAGTGTTGATCCTTTGCAAAATATTTTGAATTTGAATCTTTATCTAACTGGCACATTGTCATATCACTAGGTGTGTTATCTACTTGTTTATTACTAGATCCCTTACCATAATTATTACCAATATCTTTCATCTGCAAGTTATTCCCGAGGGAATTATGGGAAATTTTTGCTACATTATTAGCATCATTATTACTGTGGGAATCATTTAAGTCTTTTAATGGAGCAACATTGCAATTACTATTTACTACCTGTTGACTAGACTCCTTTGCTCTGTGAAAATCCTTCTTGTGACTGATTTTTGAAGATTTCTGGGATTTATCCATAGTCTCAGGATTGTGGTTATCACCAGCTGATTGTAATTTCTGCAGCTTTTGACTTTCTAAATTAGCACTATTCTGTTTATTTGTATATCCATGGTTCTTATTTCTTCTTAATTGGATATGATTATCTAAACCAGACTTGTTCTTATCCTTCAAAGTGTCCCAACTACTTTCCTCACTAGAGCCATAGTTCGTAATATTCTTGTAATTACGATTTACTTTGTGTTTGTTATTCATATCACTTTGATTACCACAGAGTGTATCATTGGATACCTTTGCACCATTGTTGTTACTATGCTTCTGTCTATTTCTATTTATTCCAGTTAAAGGAGTAGGTTGCGGTGTCACAGAAGCTGGTGTTTTCTCATGAGGCCTTCTATTACTTCGTTTTTTATCACCGATATGACGTTGATGTTGTTGCTCAGTTGTCATATATATATCAAGTCCCAGCTTCCAATTTACTTGATTAATTTTCACCCAAGTAACCAATGGGTGAACATTACATAGGGTTCTCCAATTTTTATACAAAGAGGGGACACTACCAAAAAGGGGGGAAGGGGGGGGTAATTTATTGACTGAGAGAGGTCTTGATAATCACTTAAGACTAGACTTAATAATTAAGTAGCATTTATATGTATTTAATATTATATAATATTACTACTAATAGTAATATAATAATATATATACTATATCTACACTTATTGTAATATGTTACAGTCTATTCTATACTAGCTATCTGGAAATAGCGGCAAATCTTCGTTATATTTAATATCATAGACTTGTAATATATACCTCTTGTATAAGCTATCATAAAAAATTTACCAAATTTTGCGCCTTCAAGAGTATTAGACGGTAAATTAGGAGATCAAAAAGTAACGTATAATATTTTTGTATTTAATAATAACTGAGATATTTTGTAAATCGTCTAGTACAAATTAAATCTAATAATATATTTATATTTTGTATTAATACTAATACTAAGTAGTACTTATATTATTAATTGGATCTCTCCAATTAGTTGTGATATTAATTACTATACTTTGTAAAGCGTTTACATAACATAAATATTCTGCAATATTAGTTTTGAATAGACTTTTTTATCTAATAATATGTAGGGTTCATATAATGTTAATATTACAATAGAGTAATTGTAGATAATACCTAGAAATTCTATATTACTCAAGTAATATTAGTATGATACCAAAGTATTTGGCGTCATGCTAATACTCAGAATACTATATAGTCATATTTATATCATTTAGACTATAATAAACTGAACGTAATCATAAGAATAGTAATAGTCAAAGTGTAATTATATTTTATACATGAATATAGATAATTATGGAAAGAATACCAAAAGAAGCTATTTCCAATATCTTAGTTCATAGTGATCCAATTGATAATAATCAGATAATTACTGGGCCATATCTTAAGAATAAAGATATTACAATTGAGGATTATACAAAGAATCTAAATTCAATGGGATTTCAGGCATCCAATTTAGGAAAAGTAATAGAAGAAGTCAATAAAATGTTAGAATGGCGATTATCAGATGATCCAATGGATATTGATGAATGTCCTCCATATGACAATAAAGAATTTCGGAAAAGTGTAAAGTGCACAATTTGGCTAAGTTTTACATCAAATATGATATCATCAGGATTGCGAGAACTTTTCGTTTACTTAGCCAAAAATAAACTGATTGATGTAATTGTCACTTCAGCTGGAGGAGTTGAAGAAGATTTTATCAAAGTTCATGGAAATACATATCTTGGTGATTTTTCTATGAAAGGTTCATATTTACGTAACAAAGGCTGGAATAGAATAGGAAATTTATTAGTACCTAATCAGAACTATGTAGATTTTGAATCATGGTTACAACCATTACTTGATGAAATGCTTGAAATACAAAAGAAGAACTCATTTAATTGGACTCCTTCAAAAATGATAAATTTTTTAGGTAAAAAAATTAATAATGAACAATCACTATATTATTGGTGTTATATAAATGAAATCCCTGTATTTTGCCCTGGTATCACTGATGGATCTATTGGTGATAATTTGTTTTTTCATACATATAGAAACCCTGTAAGTTAACAATAATAAAAGTAGATTTAACATAGTGAATTTAATAATTCATCAACTTATTTAAGCATATATTTTTATTACACACTCTAAATATTCAAGTATTTTATCAATTAACTTTTTTTTTCTTTAGGGTTTAAAGATTGATGTTGTTGAGGATATCAGGCATATCAACGATATAGCTTTAAGAATTAAAAAGAGTGGAATTATTATTTTAGGTGGTGGAACGCCTAAACATCATGTTTGTAATGCAAATTTAATGCGCAATGGTGCTGATTATGCCGTATATATTTCAACTGCAACTGAGTACGATGGATCAGATTCTGGTGCCTCACCAGATGAAGCTATTAGCTGGGGTAAAATAAGAGAAAAATCAGCTCCTATAAAAGTTTTTGGTGATGCAACAATTTTATTTCCATTGATTTTCTATTCAACATTTTATAGGTATAATAAAGATAGTGTATCTGATAAAAATATTAAAGCATTATAACTTATAATTGGAATACTGTATTTGATTCAGAAAATTTTAAGTTTATTAATAAGCTATACCTTTAAAGTAAAAGATATTTTCAAATATATACAAAATTTATATATAAATAATTAAATATTATAATTTTGGTATTTACTACATTAACATAATCAGAATGTATTTAGTCTTTATTATTTTTGAGGCTTAAATGCTCTGAATATATCCATAATTTGTTGATCATTTTCAAACAATCTGTAGTATCAGAATAGAGTTTAAGTGATTGTATTAATTTATAAATACATAAGAAATTCAAGATATATTATTTATAATAAGTCAATAAAATTCCTGTATTTTGCGTCTTTTGTTAACTTACTGATATCTAATATATTTAATTTTTTTATATAATGGATGTGGTTGACACCATCTAGTTTCTATTAATGAACTATTAATTTTTTCATTAGTTCTAATAGCTTGTAAAGCATATACCTCTATTCCATTTGTCCTTTGATGCTTAAACTTTACTATTTTTATTTTATTCTTCCAAAATCCAACTTCACTATTTTTTTCATAATATTCTTCTCCAGTTAGGTTCCATGTCATTACTTGACTTGGGCCAAGGAATGGTTGTAAAATTATTTCCAAAATAGTTTCATGTTTTCTTACCACCTTCAAAATAAAATTTCCATTATTAGCAATTTTTCTCTTCATTATACCTACTCCTAAAAAAGTTAGAAGTGGTCCTAAATCTTCAGAAAGTTCATTATCTAATATCCAATTACCGATTAAATCTTCTACAAAATCTGTAAATAAGTATAAATTAAAAGAAGATCATATAATAGAATAAAATATCATATAATATACCTATACTACGAGTACTAGATATATCTGTTTCGGGAGATCTATATCTATTATATATATTATAGTCAAGTAACTTTAGATCTTGTTTAAAATTAAGATTAGAATTCTCATCTATAACTTGTGGTTTGTATATATTTTCTTTTCCAAATTCAATATTTTCTTCCAAAAGTGGTAAACGAGCTATTATATGCTTAGTATCTGATTATTTTTTTTTTAATATTTAATTTTATATTTAGATAATTAATATTATATTTACAAATTTATTTTTATAAAATATTATTGTAAAATAACTTACATTTAATATTTCCTTCAGGAGGAATTGTGGATTCGAAATCATAAATGTCATATTTATTGATTTCAGAATAATAATCTACGCAATTAAATATATTCCAGCAAAAGACCACTTTTTTGTTTATCTTTAGAATATTATAGATATTGTCAAATAATCTACAGCTTTCCATATTTAAGTACATAAAGACCAATTAGTAACACTCTTTAGTTCTTCATTAAGTCTTAGCAGATATTTACAGTAAAAATACATCAAATATTGTGTCAAAAGTTTATTAAGTATATAATTAAGTATATATATATATCAATATTAAATAGCGCTGTAAACTTTATCTCTAAATAACGATTGCATGCATTCTATAGCCAAATAACAAATAATGACGAGAAATTATTTAATAAAGATTATTCCATATTGAAAATATAATTAATAAATAGTTTGAATTATATTTTTATAACTAGTTTTTCTTTTTGTTGATAATTCAGTTTAGTATATAATTAAATTTTTTTCCACTAAGTATTTATACAAATCTACCTAAAAAAAAAAAAAAATGGTAGCGCTTCATTATATAACGAGGTCTAGTGTTTTTTTTGCTGCTTAGTAATACTTCAGGGCTGAGACAAATGATACTTAGGCGGTAAATTACCCCTCAAAAGCGCCCCCCTTAAGTGTAATGCTGTTACTGTGAAATATAATACAATTCTATTGTGCTTATAATTTGATTGTCTAAAAAAGAAGGTCTTGAAATAAATCTTATTAACGGGTTTATGATATAATGTTGAAAATTAAAGGATTTGGTGACTTGTCAACACTTGAAGGCAAAAAGAAACTTGACGAGTTCTTATCAAATAGAACTTATTTTAATGGTGTAAATCCATCCCAAAATGACTGTAATTTAGTGAGTGAATTGTTATTGGCTGGTACAAAATATTGTAGTTTTCCCCATATTTGTCGTTATCTTGAACATATGAGACATTTTACTCCAACAGAGCTATCTTTATTTCCAACTGAAGAATATGTAGCAGATTGCCAAAGTGATAAATGCAGTTCCAAACATGAAGATAAGTCAGATAAACCTGATGATGACTTTGATCTATTTGGAGATAATAGTGAAAGTGCAGCTGATATCAAGAAAGTTATGGAGGAAAAGAAAAAGGCTTTGCAAGAAAAGAAAAAGGAAAAACCTGCTAGTAAATCATCTCTCGTCTTAGAAATCAAGCCATCTTCTCTAGATGTAGATTTAGACGAAGTGGCAAAATTAGTTAGGGGTATTAAGATTGAAGGTGTTGAATTTTCATCTACTGAGAAGAAAGTCCCAATAGCTTTTGGCCTATTTAAACTTCAAATGGGAGCTACAATTATTGATGACCTTGTTAATACACAGGATATTATCGACAATATTGAAACTTTGGGGATGACAGATGAACAAATTAAGAAGTTCAATACTAAATATGACGCCAAAGATGAAAATGAAGATGAAGAGCATGGTTTAGTACAATCATGTGAAATTGTTAGTTTTAACAAGCTTTAAAGAATCTACAATGACTTATCTAAGATTCTACTCTTAAAGCGAAGTCTCTATTACTTGGTGGTTGATAACTTAGTTTTTTTAGGTACTAATTTGAACTTAATTATCCACTCATTGCATCTTCTTCTACCCTTAGAAATAATTCGAGATCTTTTTCTTTAATAGCCTGTCTTTACTGTTTCCGCTCTGAACCCGCCAACGTTTTTCCCGGCTGATTTTCAATAGTAAATACTGTAGAACTAAATTGTTCATAGACACTAAAGAAATCCAAAATTAGATTCTACATATACTAAATTAAGATTGGCTTGAGTTTGAGACAATATAGAATATGAGGTCTACTGAACAGGTTAAACTGATAGGTAAATTAGCAACTTCTGAGCATACTTCAACGGCTGAGAAGCGAGCAAGAATACTAAGTCATGTACCACACTGGAAGAAATATGAACTAGCTGGTGCTTTACCCCCTGGCTCTTCAATAAAATTAATGGCATTACATAATCAATCTCTGCTAGTTAGAAGTCAATTATTAGGTTCAAATAAACAATTACGACAGTTAATGTTAAATTGTTTAAGTATTACTCCTGACTTGGAACCATCCCAATATGTCTTAACAATGCTCTATGAGTTAGTTAGAGATGATGCCGGTCAATATGAAGGATTTATTGAAATTATAAAGGGAGTGCCAATATTTGATAAATTCATGGCATTTTTAGATCGTCCAAAAGTTGATACATATTTAACAGATAAACTATTGTTTTTTTTGACTGGGTTAATGAGTCATGCAAATGAAGGAATATTTTCATTAGAAAATGTTTTAACTTTACTTGAGAGAATTATGATTCCTAAAATTGAGTCTGGAGATATACCCAAACCTGATAAACAAACCTCAAATGAAGATATAATATCGAGAAAGTTGCAATCTCTATCTTCAACTCGTTCTCATTGTTCTAATATAGGTATTCTGGATGTATTGGGAAATCTTGTTAAAGTTGATTTATATAGAATGATAATTTTATTATATCCTAATGTAATCGAGTTCTTGCTAAATAATCTCAGTAGTACCTCTGTAACATCCCACTTATATAAGACATGTGTAATAGTATGGTTAATTTCATATAATAAAGATACAATTCCAATTTTGGTTGAGAAGAATTTGATTAGAAGTATTGCAAATTCAATTGTTGATTGTCGTTCTGAGAAGGTTGTTAGAGTTTCACTGAATGTACTTAAAAATGTAGTGGATAATGATACAGCTGTTGAGAGTATAATTGACCTGGGTTTATTACAATACTTGACAATTCTTGAATATGAAAAATGGTTAGATCCTGATATATATGAGGAAATTCACCAAGGTCAAATAATGATTAATAATAAATTAAAACAATTTTCTAATTTTGATAGATACTGCCTCGAACTTGATAAAAAGCAATTTAAATGGTCATTTCTTCATACAGAAAAGTTCTGGCATGAAAATTTTATGAATTTTGAAGTTGATGAATTTTCAGCAATCAAGAGACTTGTACAACTTGTGAAAGTTTGTGAGGATCCAACAACTTTAGCTGTAGCTTGTTTTGATATTGGAGAATTTGCTCGATTACATCCAATGGGTAAACAAGTACTTGGTAAATTTAATACTAAAGAAATTCTTATGGCTTTGATGACATCACCAAACCGAGAGGTTGCTAGAGAAGCATTATTATCAATACAAAAGTTAATGCTGAATCGTTGGTCAAAATCATCAAATTAAGGGTCTTTTTTTTTATTTTTAGGGACCTATCATGCAGAATTTTATGTTTACTTAAAACCATTCAGTATTACATTAATAAGATCATTTTTTAAGAAGATATATTCACTAGCTTATTTAGATATAGGGTATATGGAGGAGATCCATTAATTACTTTGAAAATTACATAAATATCTAAGGAATTCACAAGTCCACGTATCATACAACACTTAAAATACTTTAACTGAAGCTACTGATATTGTTTTCTGGATATTTTTGTGTATCTTGACTTGTTATATTGCAGTTACTAAGTATATAAACAAACACATTTTCATAACATACATAGGAATTTATATACTACTACTTAAAGAGGTTATAGAACTCTATATGTTTGATTTTCTCGAAGAATTTTCTACTATCTTCTTTTAGAAACAGTATTACCCACATTTACAATATTTATTAGTGGATACCCTAATAAGAAGCGCTAGAAATAGATTTCAGTGCATGAAAAGAGCGCTATAATTAGGTGGGTTACTATTCTTGAATACCCACATTGTTAAGAAAAAGGCAGAAAATAAGGACTAGAAAAGGTTCAGATTTAAAATTAGTCTAAAATAAGATAATACAAAACAAAAAAATAATCTAATACTCTAAAATCTACCCGAGTATTTTTACTTTGTATCATTTTTAAAATAAATCTATAAACCCATAATAGTCAATAAGTGACATATAAGTACAGGCAATAAAAAAATGGGGAAGAATATTTTGGAAATTTCTAATAAAGTACTGGTAGATGGATTAGATGAAAATATATCAAAAGGTAAGTTCTAGTTTTATATTTAAAGTCGAAAGATCTTATAACTAAATTAAAATTGCTATCTAATAATTGAGCATATAGAAGCTATTATTCGTCATTTTGAAAAATTTGGGAATGTCGAAAGTTGTCAATATATTCCAATAATGTATTTTGCAATTGTTTCATTTTCTGAAGGTGGAATAGTTGAATCTATATTAAGATCCCCTCATGTTATTATGGGTAAAGAAGTAAACTGTCGATTATATTATGACAAGCTAGAAGATCTAACTGCTGAAAATACCCAAGGTACAATGTTTCGTACCGAAAAGATTTTTGTAGGTAATTTACCTACTACATGTTCACAAGATATATTGCGAAGATATTTTGAGCAGTTTGGGCAAATTAGTGATTGTGTAATGATGTGTGATAAGAAAAGCGGTGTTGGGAGAGGTAAGAAATAAAAATAAAATATTTATGTAAAATTAAAATAGCTGTCGGATTTTTTTTTATAAATAGGATTTGGATTTGTGACTTTTACAAGTACAAGTATCGTGGATGATATTATTAGAGCCTATGATGAGCATTACATAGATGGACAGTGGGTTGAAGTGAAGAGAGCTAGTCCTGAAAATGCATTAAGAAGTAATATGAATAATGGAAACAATATGGGTTCAGGGACTTTAATACGTGAAAAATCTTCAAATATTATTAAAAGTTTTAATTCTAATATATAAACATTTATATTGTGTACCTCTTTTCTTTCATTATACTTAATTTTACTATACAATTTAAATAATAGCATATTTAAGAGTAAATCTCTACTAATAATTGAGTACACATATATATTGTATTGGTAACCTATATGGACTAATTAAATTTCATAGAATTATAGCTCTAATGCAAAACTCGAATTATTTGGAACACTTTTAATAACACGTAAATTTACCCCACAATTAGCGCTTATTTTGATGCGCCGATACCTATTAGACAGAACGTATGCTTATCAGGTACCGTTTAATTATTTAATTTAAGAGCTTAATTAGCTAGAAAACGTATACGTTTCATGTCTCTCATTATATTAAATACTAAATAGGTTAAATAGCTCAATAGAGATATTGTCTGTTATATCGGTCACAGATGTACTGAAATGTAGAGCTTAGTACATGGTGCTGTGCAGTGCGCATATATATATCCATGTAAAGTTATATGTAATAAATAAAACAAGAAGGTAATAAAATAAGAGTTCAATAAAATATAAAATATCTAAGTATATTATCAGAAACTGTAGTTAAAGGGAGTATTTTGACTCATTTTCTGATATATGAGTATATAGAAATAGTAATATTGTTAGCTGGCTGAAAATTCTATGTAATCAAACAAAAGCTTAGCATATTTACTTGAGTACAAATATTGAAGAATATATTAATTATTGCAAGATACTTTATTAATTCAGGTTATATATAAGAGTGCAAACTGTAGATTAGAAGGAGCTTATTTGGTTGTCAGGTGAATCAGGTTTTTGCAGTTTAAGGATTTAGTTATTTAGTACTTTTTTTTTGAGTATGATGAATTATATTATTGGTGATGAGTCTTCTGAACATGATATTTCTGGTTATAATGAAGAGGATATTCTATCCGGTGAATATGTTAAAAGAAGATATGATGGTATTGAAGATGAGTGTTATGATAAAATAACGCGGAAGAAACGATATGTTCTAGGTCAAAATGTTGGAAAATGGACTGATGAAGAACATCATCGTTTTGTTGCAGCCTTAAAAAAATTTGGGAGAAATTGGACCTTAGTTCAGCAAGAAGTGAAGAGTAGAACTTTAGTTCAAATACGTTCCCATGCACAGAAATACTTTTTAAAAAAAGTTAGAGGTATAACTCCTTCGACAGTACTAATGGATTCAAAGTTAGTTTCTACAGCATCAGATGGAATTGTGCCCACATGGTTACTTCAAGATGACTCTAATTATGCAAATAAGTCATCTATAAATAATGTTCATAATTCGAACAATAATAAATTATTAGTTTATGATGAAACCTCAAGGCTTGATGGTCATGAAGAGATTCGAAAACAAGAATATAAACCCATAGATATATATAAGAATAATTTCACTGAATCTTCTCTATTAATAGATAATCATACTGAAAGAAAACCAAAATATACCTGTATAACAAATTGTAATATACAAAGACAAGTAGTTAATAATAAGGTCCCACTTAGTGATATATGTCTGGCATCAAGTACTAATTTTGCAAATAGTACTGCTTCAACTACAGTATCTAGTCCTGCTTCAATTGGCCCTGAGAAAAACTATAATAATATACCCTCATTACCTTTTGATATGGTAATGCCTTCAATATCTGATTTTAAAAACTCAAATGTAGTTATCAATCCAACAGTATCATTATCTCAATGTGATGCTCCTTGGCCATTAACTTCAGATCCTCAATTCATAAAACATCATGATATTGACAACAATGTCATCTTAGCATCATCTCCATCATCATCTACTTCAACGTATTTGGACTTTGATCCAAATGTTGATATTGCAAAGTCTTCTCAGTACAATCCTGGCACTCCTAAAGTATCATCCTATATATGTACTACTTTATCAGATTTTGTATTTTGTGGTGATAATATGGATCCAGATTCAATTGATAATTATATAAACCTTAAAGATAATTCTATACTTGATAATGACGACGTTATAGCTCTTCTCTAGGTTAATTGATTTGGATAACCTTTAAAGTTCTTAGACAAGGAAAAAACAGATTATTCCTTAATATAAAACTCTACATTTATTTGACTAACTTTTTTTATTATATTGTGTAATATAAAGTGTTCATTTAATAACAAAGTTGACAATTTTTAGACTAAAGTTTAAACATATTTTTACATGTAAATAGTGAGACAACCCGCCTAGGTGTATCGGGTTTTGCACACATCTTACCCTCACTATACTCCTTCATTCCAAATAGAGCCCGGGTATTAAAGAGGATGGCTATAACACGAATCACGCGAAGTAAATAATATTGTTGAAAATGATTTATTTTGTTTTAATTTTAAATTTTCTTATTGTTATATTCTTAAGAGCTGGAGATTCCACTTCAAATGTATCTTCTTTACTTAGGCTAGCAAATAATGAGGAGCTTTATAAAGAATGGCTTAAAACTCTAACTATAAATGAGCAAGTATTACTAGAGAGATTTGGTAATTTGATCAAGCTTATAGATAAAGATAGTAATAATATATTAGATGAATCAGAAATTATTGAGTGGCTTGAGTACTTAGGAAATAGATCTACATTCAGAGATGCAGCTGCTGAATTCAATTTTATTGATAAAAATAAAGATAACATTGTGGAATTTGATGAATTTATTTACCACTTTAGTCCCGAATCTCAGAGAGATGAAGAGGATGATGGACTTTACGACTTCTATATTAGGTTATTTTCTGAAATGGATCTAAATAAGGATAGTGTTTTGGAAATTAATGAGTATTACAATCTTGTGCACGATTATACACTTTCAGGAGAATTTTACAAAAGAATTCACTTATTTATTGAAAGTAGTGATATAAATCATGATGGTGTTTTAGATAAAGATGAAATAAGAAGACTAAAAGAAAATAAGGATATATTAACGGAATTTACAGAATCACTAGGAAGTCAAAATGGAGATGCTTTACAAATACTTGGTATAAATGTTGAAGATTTCAAGGAAATAAATGCAACAATTTTAATACGTGCTTTAAAGAATAAAGAGATGAGAGATTTAATTCAAGATTCATATAACCAGCTATTAGATGTTTTAAAGACACATGAGAATGCTACTAAGCAGGATGCTAATGCAACATCTCTTCCAACAAAGTTTATAAACGAGAACTTCGTCATTTATATACAGTCTGGACTTACTGATTACGGTGAAGTCTTTAGATATCCACAAGACTATTTTACTGAAACTGGTCATAAGGAATATGGAATGACATCTGAAGAATGTGCAGAAAAATTTGGAGATAATGAAAAGGAAAAGGAAACTGAACATGACGAATATGATGACCATGATCATGAAATTCATGACCAGGAGGATGAACAAATAGATGATGAACAAATAGATGATGAACAAATAGATGATGAACAAATAGATGATGAAAACTTCGATACTGATCAAGATGAAGTGGAGATTACAGATGATATGATACAAAAGCTTATAGCTTTGATGGGGGAACAGGGGAAAAATAATTTATTTGGAGATGTCTCTGATGATCAAAGTGCAGAAATGGATTCAGTGTTACAAATGCTGTCATCAATGATTAATTCCAAGGGATCTCAGTATGATCTAGACAATCTAGATAACTTAGATATGAATGAAGATAATCCAGAACTTTCTGAAATTCATCAGGAATTTGATTCTGAATTAATACAAGAAAGAGATGAACTTTAGTGCACAGTAATAAATTCAAATATTGAGATTTAATTCATTAGACTGATATTTAAATTAGTTAGGACTCAATTTAGGATATATTTATTTAATATTTTGGTATTTTCTCTATTATTTATAATATGTTCGTTACAGTTACTATACTAGATCCTGATCCTCCCCGCAGTATGAAGAGTATTGTAACTTTAAGTAATACATTTATTATACTAGATATTGTAACTAGTATATGACAAGAAAATGTAGAAGGTTCATTTGTTTTCCATTGAAATGAAAACCATAAAGGAGTCCAATAAATAATATAAATTATATCCTGGATACAAGATAATAAGATAAACCTTCGAATATATCTTTGATGCTGATTCTTTCGGAATTCAGGTAAATTAAAATAGCTCCACCATACAAAGGTAAATAATGGTAAATTATAATCTGGGCGACAAAGGCATGATATACCTCCTAGAAATGCCACAATTAAGAATAATAGCTCAACGAAAGATTGATTAATAACAGCTACCATATAATAAACCAATAATTTAAAATAATATCAATTGTGTTCAAATAAATTTAAAATCCTATCTATAGTTCATTTACTCAATAAACAATGTAATATATAATTCTTAAGTTTTGAAATTCTTTGCCTCGTAACATCATAGTAAGCGGGTACGTTCTTTGTTAAATAACATGTAGTTGTAATCTTTCTATTTTTATTTTGGTTGTAAAACCCAATTAAACATTTCAATTTTTTTTCTAATTAGAATATTTATTGAAATTTTCCTAATATTTAGATGCCTAAAACCTGCATGTTTTTTTTGTAACTTGCATGTATATGGGTACTGGCGGTATCTAATGAGAAAAATTTGCATGATGAATATTTTCTATTAGTTGTATCAGAGATCCTAAAATAAAAGCAAAAACTTATATAAAACATTTCATATATAAATAGATGGATTTTAAATAAAGGGATGGAACTACGAAGATTTTTAAAACTGGTATATAGTACTCCCTATAATAAATTAAATAGGGTATATCAAATTCAAAAATATATACTATTTTCTCTGGAAATATATAGAATATTTTCTAATAAATATAACAATTTTAGTGGTATTTCAGATATAAAATTAAGAAATAGATTTGAACCGCATAATTTCACTATCTCTTTACAAAATATAAATAGTATAACATGCTCAGATGTATATATCGGAGATACAAGATCAAATAAAGCGCAAAGTAATAAAACTAAAATAGTAGATATAGAAGAAAATGAGCTAAAAAAAGTTCGAATAGTTGATACTTCAAATATAACAACTCCAGTCTTAAGACTCTCAAGAAAATACAACTCTAAACATATAAGCCCAAGTGATATAGTACAGTATTTGGATGAATATATTATTGGGCAAACAAAGGCTAAAAGAGCAGTGGCTAATGCTCTAATTAACAGATTAAGAAGAAAAAAAATTAAAGATGTTTCTTTACGTAGTTCTATTATTCCGAAGAATATTCTATTAATAGGGCCAACGGGTGTAGGCAAGACAGAGATAGCAAGGAGATTATCGCAATTTGTTGATGCACCATTTATTAAAGTAGAAGCCACAAGATTTACAGAAGTAGGCTTTCATGGTAAAGATGTTGATAATATAATAAAAGATTTGGCTGAAATATCGTTGAAAAGACAGAAGCTTAAATTACAAAGTGAAATGAGAGAGTTTGTGGAAAAAATTGTTGAAAAGAAACTTTTGGAAGCTATATTAATATCATTATCAATATCACCTAGTTCTATTAGCACAAATGAATGGTTTTTTTGGTTACAACACATTCGTCATGGATATTTAAATGATAAAGTTATCGATATTTGTATTCCTGATGGTTTACATTTAAATAAATATAAATCCATATGTAATCTTAATGAATATAGCAAAGATAATAATGGCATCTTTAACTTTAATTTTAGTGATGATGTTTATAATATAGATAGTAATAATATAGATGAGAAAAGTAGTATAACTACTAATTATTTCACTAATAGACATTCAGGTAACTTAAAATACTCTAACAATAGTGTGGAAAATCAAGTTTCAAATCATATAAAGGTAACTGTTGCAGAGGCTCGCAGTATCTTAATTCAAAATGAAATCAATTCAATACTACTTCAAGATTCAGAATTTTTAATGAAAAGAGCAATAGAAAGTACTGAACAAGAAGGGATCGTTTTTATTGATGAAATCGATAAAATTTGCATAAAACGAAATAGCCACTTTAATGGTCCAGATGCATCTTCTGAAGGAGTACAAAGGGATTTATTATCATTAATTGAAGGTACAGTAGTAGCAACAAAAATTGGAGATGTAAAAACGGATGATATTTTATTTATAGCTAGTGGTGCTTTTCATAATGTAAAATCAAGTGATATGATTGCAGAGTTGCAAGGGAGACTACCAATTAAAGCTGAGTTAGAGGCATTAGTATATACAGATTATATAAGAATACTAAAAGAACCAAAGTATAGTTTGTTAAAACAATATTCAGCTTTATTGGATGCTGAAAATATATATTTAACATTTACTGATGACTCGATTGAAGAAATGGCAAGAATTGCATTTGAATTAAATAGTTATACAGAAAATATTGGAGCAAGAAGACTTCATATGATAGTAGAAGCAGTAACAGAAGATATAACATTCAATACTGATAAGTATCAACTAAATTCAATTATCTTTATAGATAAAAGTTATGTAATTAATCAGTTGAATTCATTAATTCTTCGATATGACCTACAAAAGTATATATTATAGTCAAAAATTATATCATGGCTATATTGAATATATTTGGAAATATTACTATACTAGAAAAAAAGGTATTAATAAGACTGAGCAATATATAATTCACTTTTTTAAAACAATTATAATGCAAATTCTAGAATCTAAAAATTTCATAACAAAAAAAGCATTATGGTTATATAGATCTAATAAAAATATGAACAATTAATATTGTGACAATTCATCAATTATCACTGAATATCTAAGTCATATTTGCTGGATTACATGAATTGCAGTGCGGATAACTTAAATTATTTGCATTATTCTGATCACTTAAATTTATGGATAATTGTTTTGAATAACTCAGTGGTAAACTATATGATGAATTCTTATTACTAGATAAGGAATGTGATAAATTAACACTGTTCATAATGTTTGATGGTAAGCTACTGGGACTTGTTGAAATATTAGAAATTGTATTTATGTTATCTTGCATTGGTACATTGAAAAGACTGGAATTATTTTGTGAAGCATTCATACAATTCGTAAAATATTTCGAGTTGATACTTGAATTATCTAAACTATTATCCTCTTTATATAATGATTGAGTTGCAGCTTGTATCCTTGTTAATGTCTCTTCTAATAGTTTCATTAGGACATCCTCAGAAGCTTGTCTATCTGAACGGTCATTTCGAGCATCCAATGTAATTTGTTGAACAAGATTTTCCATTAAATCTAGTAATGCATCAATAGACTGTTGCCTTGCCTTAATCTCATCTTCAATCATTTCGTGAAGTCTAGTAAATTCCACTTCAATTTTTTTCAGTAATTCACTTTCTGAGGATTGACATTTATCTATTTCATTTCTAATAGCATCACTTAAGCGTGGAATATCAAAATCTACAAATCTCTTAACACAAGCATCTAATTCTTCTCTTTCAGTATCTCTTCTGGTTATCTCTGATTGTAAATGATCTATTCTATCATTAATTATATCAATCAAACGACATTCTAAATTCTTCCTATTCAAAATCTCATTTTCTAGTATTTGGTTTAATCTAGACTCAGCTTGTGAAATACTTGAAGCCATTAAAGCATTAAAATTGTTACTATTAGTATTTGGAGTCCTTTCATTAGTAAAGTCGTCATAGCCATCAGTATCATTTATAATTAACCCTCTAAGATGATCAATATGCCTTATTTCAGTCTGATATTTAGCATTTAGCTCATTATTAATATCAGAAATGCGAGACTCTATTTCATTTAAATGTTTAACAAATTTTGGATTTTTATCATTCACAATATCAAAGCCAGTATGTATACTATTTAACCTTTGGTTTAACCTATTGAACCGATCTTCCTGGAGTCCACTATCAGGAAATTTATATATATTTTGGTTAGAATCACGTTTATGCATTATTTGCGAACTTAGATGGCATTTTGAACCTACGAAAAAAAAGACTTTATTGTTATTTTACAAGTACTGTGGATTATTGCAGAGTAAAAATATAATAGGCGCCAAATATTTCAAGTTAATGCTATATTAGAAATCCCAGGTTATAAGTACAGAAACTTATTTTAAAAATAGGCTTAACTAATCTTGGCAAAGAGAATATATAGCACCTTTTTATTAATATTACTTGTGACATGATAAATGAAATCTGAATTTTTGGTCACTTTATTACAATTTATTCTGAATGTTGTATTTGGAGATGATTCAGGTAAATTTGGGTATTACAAAGATTTAACTCAACCGAATATAATTAAAAAGCAGGAACTAAACAACAAAGAATTAAATACTGGCTATTATGATGATAGTTATGGAGGTTATTCTCAAGATTTAACTGAAAAGTGGAGTGAACAAAAAAAAAGTATTGGTGAAGGATACTGGCAAGTACTCGGAGAAGAAGAGATCGAGTTACATAGTTCAAATGAAATACAAAATATCTCATATAAGGGAATTGATTTCATATCTTCTTTTAAAAAAAATGTTTCATCTAGAAAAATTGCTAATGTATCTGAGGTTTGCTCTACAGTACAAGTTATGTCATTCTGGCACTTTGTAAACGATATAATTGACTCTATACATAATCAGCTTAAGGGAACTATTGAAGATTACAAACAAGTGAATAATCAAGGAATTTACTCTGCTAATATTAATAATTTTAAGGAATCACTTGAAGATACTAAAGAACAAAGTAAAGATATTACAACAAGTTCACAGATGTTTAGTAATTGTAAAAAAAACCAAGATAAATCAGTGAAAATGAGTAGAACTAAGAATAACATAAATATGCAATCAAAATGGTGTAATCAAGTACATAAGAACAAAACATCTACTAGAAAGAAAGATAAATCTGAATTTAAACATGAATGTACTGTTTCAAGTGAACCCAATGCTCTAAGGAATTGTGGATATTTTGGAAAACAAAGCTACTATGTACTATCAAATACTAAGTAAAACAAGATAATATATTTCTCGAATTATTACATTAATATAAAGAAACTGCATATTGGCTATTAATTTATGAAGTAGAAATATAATTGTATAGATAAAAAAATTACATTATATCAGCAGAGCTGTAGGTTATAAAATCTATTTAACTTCTAAATGTAAATTTCAATTGTGAAAAACTTCAAACTTATATGTCTGATACTATTATATTCTATACTATTGAATATAAGTATGTAGTAATATGCAAATATTGAAAATTAAGTGATAATTAGAGCTATATTTGAATGACATTTACTTACATATTTGGATACAGAATGGCTTATTTCTTTATAAGAGATAAATAGACCATTATTTATACTGTCTATTATATGTAATATATATCTTGTCTGATTAAATACTATATAATGGAATCTTTAATTTTAACAGGGAAATAAATTCACAATATTTTTATAAAGTAACTTGGTTTCAATTACTTTATATAACAAAGGTATTATGGAAGATGAACTTCTATAGTTATAAGTATAAAGGGTACAATATCATCCTAAATATTACCTATTTGTCCTAATTTCCATACTTGTTAATAGAAAATGATATTTTATTTATAGTTCTAAAAATACTTTAAGAAAAAAAAAGGCGCTCATGTGGGAACCACATGCAATAAGATTTAGATTAATTTGATTATATTTACTGGAATATAATTAAAATATTGGGGACTTTTTAGGTTATGTATGTACTATGAGTGACTCAAAAGATACTAGAGATATCCTCCTAAACTCAAATAATTCTTTGAGAAGTTTTGAGGTTCTCAAACGGGGAGTAGCTACTAGAATTAACAAAGCTGTAAATTCCTCAAGAAGTATTTTGGAGGGTGCAGTGAAATGTACATCAAATTTGCCTAAGTCATATAGAATACTTAGTTTGATGCCTGGGGCTGTTGAAGCCCCTATTCGTGAGAGCAAATATCAAGATGATGTCTGGATTTCAATCAGTAGAAAGTATACAAAAGAGGGGGAAAATAAAAATAAGGAGTTATTTAATATGAAAAGTGAAGAAGATAAACTTGCTGATGATGATAAATATTCAGATTCTCCTTTAGGAGATAATGCAGATGACTATTTTAAAGATTTCGTTACTGAAGCTAAAGCAGCAGAATTTGTTGCAAAATTTTTAGATAGAATGCAATCAAAGAAGTTTTCAATGAACTATGAGAATTTATCCACGCATGTACATGGAGAAACTCAATTGGATCGCCAGTTAGCTGCATATCCCTTATTTGTAGCTACAATAGCAAATGCAACTACAGAAGTTGCAGATATTAAAAAAGATCCATCATTATACAACACTTTAGGAGGAAGCTCTATAGAAGATTTTCATCAGAATAAACAGATATTTGATAGAAATCCTCTAGTACAATTAATGCAAGAATTAGATACTGATTCTATATATGAAAGCGCTCCTTCTTGGAAATCAAAGATTCTTCCAAGCATGGGAACAAAACTAGAATATCCAATACCAAGTGAAGAAAAGTGTTTAGGAATATATGGGGAAGATTACAATACTAGTGAATCTATCATATATAGACAATTGAAATTATTACCTTCTGCAGGTAATATGGGAGTAAGATTTTCGGGTACACATGAAAATACACATATGGGATATGGAGCTGCAGATAATTTATCAATAACTGATGATTCCACTAGTGGAGTATCCTATAATTTAAATAAATCAAATCCATCTGTAGTACCTACTATAAAGAGAAAGAGCAAGAATTCCTGTGCAGTACCCTCTACTGCAGGTAACAATTCGAAATATTCAAGTCAATCAATCCCACTAAAATTTCCATGGTTATTACGCAAGTTACCGGTTACCCAACAGATCAAGCTTAAATCTTTGAATTCTTCGGATGATCCATCTATATTAATGGATTCACTAAAAAGTGATAATGTAAAAAAGTCATTTTACCAAAAATTGAGAGAGATTAATGCAGAAAGTAATGCAAGAAAGGAAACTGTAATTAAAGTAATTACTAGTATCAGAGGTATTGCTATGGTAAAAAATATTGCCATGGTCCCACCAGAAGGAAGTGTAGCAAGTTATTTTGAGGAGATGGAAGAAAATAGTTCAGATGATGATTCAGGTACTTGGGATTTCAATAGAAGATCAAAAAGCAGTGATTGCAAAGATGTTGCAGTTCAAAAATTTATGGAAGAGAGTGTAGATGACATTGAAGAAGCTATTGGGGATAAGGTTGATCAAATGATGAAAACTTTAGAAGATAAACATCAGGAGCTACTTGAAACAGCACAAAAGTCTCAGGGTTCACCTATATCCTTTATGGAAGTAGAGAATTCATCAAAAAATAATCATATAGAGATATTTCCTACTAAGAGTATGGAGACATCGAGTATTAATACATTTGGATCAGCTACAACAGTTCATACTGATGAATTACGGAATTCCTCAAGTATGGGAGAAAATAAGCTGTCTCTATTAAACTCAAATAGAAATTCAGGTTTACTTGAGAAATCAGTTATTATTGATTATGATTTAAGTGAAATATTTGAACAGAAAAATAAACTTTATAAAGGTGAAGGTATTGAAAAAACATGGAGATCATACAATGAAGCTTTACAGAAATCTCAAAATGCTGAAAAAGAAAGAAAAGATAAATTAGAGAGTATTTTCAAAAATTTATATAAAACAGCACTGACAGGACCACAAAGACGATATTCACGCATTCCAAAGGCACTCCTTCCAATACATGAAGATTTACAACAATTTGATGATCCACAAGAAGAGTACTTGCACTTTATACAAGGTCAGAGGATGATTGCTGAGAGTAATATAAGATTTCCTATATTATCTAATTCTAAAGTTAATAAGAGATTTCAATTAATGAGAGAGAAGAATTTAATTAATAATAACTCTACTGGACCTATGAGAGGCCTTGGAGCTATTAGAGGTGGCAGGAAAATTTATCAAAGATTTTATAACCAAGAGAGAAGTGAGACTGAAAAAAAGTTGAGATCTCAGAATGTTGATGCGAGCTATTTGGATTATAATGAAGATGATAGAACGGAATTCATAAAACATATAAAGAATCTAAATAAAAAAGTAAGATATATTAAGAGTAAAGAGGAAGACTTGAATATAGGAGTTCGAATTGCTCTTAGAGGAAAAAAAATTTACAATAGAAGAATATAAAATTTATAATTAAATAATTATTTTTTATATTGAAGCTTGGAATATATACTTATACAAGAATATATAAGAAGTCCAATTTAAACCTTTTAGTTTAAGGGAAAACCCTGAATTATATTTGGCTAGATATTAATTTAGTTCAATGTAGTTTTTTTATAATTATTTTGGTTTATATAGCTTAAAATTTGGAAATATTTATTTTGAAGTATTTAAGATGCCAAATATTATCTTTTACCTATTTATTAATAAAGATCCTTAATAATGCTTGTGTTGGATCTAAGTTGTCTATTAAATCTTCATTTTCAGTTATTTCTATGTCATCTTTAATTGGATTTAGAATATTTTCTAACTTTTGTGATGATCCTCTTATATGTGACTGTCCACCTTGTGATGTCTTCCTATTTGTATAAGATCTTTTACGTTTTGTATTTAAATTCCTTCTACTGTTTATATACTTATTATCAAATTGTATTTTCCTCATATGCTTCACATAATCATAAAGAATATCCTCAATTGTATCTTCAACAAGGCAATATGTAACTTTGACGAATGAAAGATATTCTAAAGTAGATCTACAATTAATATCTTTAGGAAATACCTGTCCACTTCCTTTGCTCACAATTTCTCTCATTCTATATGCTCTTGCAATAGTTTGTTTCTCAATTCCTTCATCAGTTATTGGATCAATAATATATATGAAAGATACACAGGAAAGATCCAAACCATGTGAACCCAATTCCACAGAAAGTAAAAGTACTGAGATATCTGGTTTAGTTTGAAAATCATTAATTGTAACTAGTGACTCAACCTTAGGGATATGAGGATAAAACCTACAAGTTCTAATATTAAAAATATTTAAAGTATTGTATAGAAAGTCCAATTGTTGCCAAAAATTAGATACAATCATTATTTTTGATCTTGGATATGTATCAAGATTATTTAATATGCAATGAATAACATAACGTAATTTTGAACTTGATAAAGATACTAAAGCAATTACAGGTAAATTATTAGCTGAGTGCACTGAAGTTGCAAAATAACTTCCAGATATATACATATTGTTAGTGCTGACACCTGTATTTTGCACAATTTTTTCAGTATACAATCTAGTTAATATAGAATCAATTCTTGGATCATCAAAAGATTCAATTAGTAATTTCCTGAGAGCATTTAAAATACTAACTGGAAGTATTTTGCTAAATGTACCACATAAGTTTACATAATTTTGAATGATAATGTGCTGATCACTTCTAGAATATGCGTTAAATTCCCTATTTTGAGGATTTTGATAATCCTTTAAAGATACTGATTCAGGATACTTAATTTGTATAGGTACTTGTAACCTATCAAAAAAATCTGAATTAATTCTAATTTCAGGTCCACAAATGACGCAGTAATTAACCCCAGCTCTTTTAGGCCAAATGTATCTTCTGCTGGTTCTTTTATTATGCTCAATAATATTTTGTGAAATATAATTAGAGTTTTTACATTGAAGTGTATACCTACAATTCAAATTATTCATATAACTTTGAAAATTTCCATAACCCTTTAAATTATTATATTCATCTTTGTCGCTACTATCCCATTTGACTTCTATTGGTTTATAGCCTAGTTTGAACATTATACAATTAATACAGGTAAGATGCAAATATTTACAAGGAATTATTAAAGGAAATATCACAGACTTCTGACAACTGTCACATTTGTATAAAGCTTTACTATGACTATCATATGAAAGGTTATAATTACATGAATTTTTATCTATTAACCCACTTTCATCATAATCAAAATCTAAATCTGCACCATTAAATCTTGAATACAGATACAAAACAAATTTTAATCTATCCATTGAATAAATGTCATAATATAAGTTATTAACATATATAGGGTGAGTATTCAATAGCATCAATTCAAGCTCTTGTATATCGTGAGAATTAACAAAAAGTTTTGGTATTTTACATATATTATAAATGTAATCCATACCAAGATCTTTATTCCCTTCAAGTTTTGATAAAGTTACAATAAATCCAAGTACAGAAGAAAAACGCAAATTCCATAATATATCTTGCCTATACTGTGCATTACTTGTATGCAATAAAGAATCTACATTTTCAGTATTGTAGAATGTGCAAAAAAGATTTCTTTGTAGTAGTTCTACAAGTATATTATAAACTAAAAGTTCATTTTTAATAAAAGGACGTAAAACAACTTTCTCAGGTCCAATTAAACTGGGTAGATAATTCTTCAAACATGAATCCTTCCTATGATATACAGTAATAGAACCTAGCTGTAATATTAAGCCGAAAAGTCCCATAGGAGAAATAAAATCACCATGTTTGTCACTAGTTGATCTCTTTGTAATTGATTTAAATACTGAATTTGATGATTCGATGACTATATTATCTGAAATAAACTTGTCATATATAAAATCATCTGAGTAATTATGTTTATTTATGATTAAATCCTCCTGAATTAAATTTGAACTAGAAAGATCTCCATTTGATAAAGATAAATATTCTGGTAAATTATTCACTTTAGAAACATTCTTTATATCATCTCCTAAATTCCAGTTCTTCTTTTTGGACCAAATGATAGGCAATCTTAAGAATTCAAATATATTTGGAATATATGTATTGATACATTTATATAATGATACCGGTAAAGGAGTTCCAGACATTATCCATCTGTAGTTAGATTCTATTTTGAATATAAACTGTTTGTAAAGTGAAGAAGTTATAGATGAACTCCCTATATTATGTCCTTCATCCACAATTAATCTAAGCCATTTAACTTTTAATATTGGACTATTGACATACTCAAATTGAGAATTAGATAGATCTAAAGAGTTAAAAGACATTTTGTATGATTTATCAAAATTTATAGATAAAGATTTTATTTTACTAAAGTTTTTCTGCACTTTTGAAGATACTCTGGTATATTCCTTCTTAATTTTACACATCTGAAATTGTTTAGTTAGCATCCTATATGACAAAATAACTATATTAGATCTGGATAAAATTTCAGCATCTGGTATTACATCTTTTTTGGGATCATCAAATATAAATATTGGAGATTGAAGCAAAGCCTCATTTCCTTCAATATAACCTTCAACTTCTTTATGATTTAAGTATACTGAATTGGAATTATTATTAAATAACTCCTTGCTATAAACTTTTGCTTCTCCAGTTAATAAATTACCGAATACTGTGTGATCTTCTTTATTCATATGCAAAACAGATGTATCCAATTTATTGGATTGGCATGGTTCCGAATAATCTCTTTCATTTTTATTATTTAAGTTATTTAAATCAAATTTTACACGTTTTTTCCTTATTTCCATACTATCCTCATCTTGTATTCTGTTTTGTTCTTGCCTCAAACTGCAATCATATTCAGAGAGTTTTGAAGCTGCAAACCATTTCTTCAACTCACTTTTCCAATGCTGAATCAAATGATTTGGAACTAATATAAGCGTTGACTTACTCTGAAGTATATCTCTTTTCATTCTAGAATTTTGTAAATTGCTTCTATATTTTCTTCTATTTCCCATATTATTTTTTTCTAATGTTTCTTTAAATTCTAAATAGTTCATTTTGTCACCCAAATGTCTATTTATACATCCCTGGTTATTCTTCTCATAAAGAAAAGAAATATTGCCATTGTGAATATCCCTTACTAGATATTGAACACCTTGTGGGAAGTGAATAACTCTAGACTCACTAAAATTTTCCATATTAACTTTAGATAAACAGTTGGGAGTTTTAGATATTAGTGATAAAATGGTCAATGTTTTACCTAATCCAGGATCATCACATAAAATACCTCCAAAATTCTCATAAAAGACTTGTCTATCTTTATATTTCTTATAGTGAGTATAACTTCGTAAAATATCATTTCCATACATTGATAATTTAGTATAAGAATTTATTTCATTTAAATTCGGTGGATATCCAAAATATATTACCTGGTTACAATGAGAAACATATAAACAACAGGATGGAATCCAATCTTTACAAAATAATTTGGAAATATCCTCAAAGTTTTCAAGAATTATTGAAGGATGAATTTTTAATCCAAATAAGTGATCTTGAATTATTTGACCGAATATTTCATCAACATTACAGATTAATTGACTATTTAAAGATTTCTTAATTAATAAAATCAAATTTTCATTCTTTAAAAATCCTTGTATAGGTATATAATACCAAAATGATAGACTCTTAAATTCATCATTACAATGCCTTAGAAATTTTATGGGATTACTGTCAAATATCCAATTATTGTCTCCATTATCAACATAATTTTTATAATTAAGTGAACCAAATTCTCTTTGTAGTAACCATGCTACAGATTGTCTTTGATGTGGTAATAAATTATTATGGTTATGTATTAACCATATGCTTTTAAAAAGTCTACAAGTTCTACCAAATTCCTTACAAGTCATTACATCTAAATAATCTAAAATACCTAACCATATTTCCTTAGGTAGTAATGCATTTATTCCCTGAATTTTATTAGAATGATGAATTAAATTTAAGCCACATCCAATCAAGTCCAAATTAAGCTGAGTATTATTAGGAGGGGTAATTGCAGAATTACTACTTGGAATTATATTATTGTAATTTTCTTTGTGACCTGTATCCATATTTATAGTTAAATTACTAGTATCTAATATAAAATTACCATTATATGGCATGTTACCAATCTTCACTTCAATGCAATCCATTAAATCACTTATATTAATATCTTTCGAAGAGAAATTTGGTGCCTTAATGTGTTCTAAACATCCCAATATATTGCAATATGAATAGTTTAACTTTCCTAGACCTTTACTATAGCTAGATTCGATTGTATTATACTTAGTAGTATTTCTAATCAGATTACCTCTTAACATTTCATAATATAAATTATACAAACATATGTCTCGGTGACTACATACCAATGTATTATCATATATCACAGTATTTAAATGAAATATTACCTGATAAAAGCTGTTAAAGTTTGGTACTGATAACATTGCTCTATCGCAATTATATTTGCTTAGTAACTTAATACTTAAATTAATCCATACAATAGCTCTAAATATATTTACAGATTTCTCAATAGGAAAATTAATAGTATTATTATATTTCAAATTGTATTTTCTGCAATATTCAATCAAGTTTAAGTCAGATTTAATATTATTATTCACAATAATTCGCTCAATCACTGTATCTATCCTTACACCATCACAAATTTTACTTAGATGATACCAAACATCATAATTACTAACCTTTTTAAGATTTATTAGTTCTTTAAAACCATGTAATTTACTCAGCCAACATTTATTATTCAAATCAATTATGTCAACAATATTATCAGCATACAACCATAGAATTCCCAGTGGTATCCACCTATCCATACAATTTATATTACTTATATCCATGTAACCATAATATACACTAAAAGTTCACTAAATAATGAGGCATAGGTTAATTTATAGAAGTGATACATCACATATTTTAGTCATAATATTGGCGGTAGACAGTTGCAATATTGCAAATGTACCTTCAAATTTTGAGTGAACTTTATACAACTGAGTCACTCTAAAGAAGTTTATAATCACATTAGATAAATTATTAGGTTATTAAGAATTTTTAGTATGTTAGTAATAGACCAAATTATCTTTACCTTAAAGAAATAATTTTTATTTTATTAGAAATGTTAATAGCTTAATACAAATTACCCAAAATGATTAATTAAATGAGCATACAAGAAATTAAATTCCCAACCTCTAGAATGAGTTGAGATCTTAATTAAGAATACTGTTCGTATATATTAATAACTTATATGTATTTTTTAGTTACTTTTATATAGTTATATTGGATCATAGATCTAAGACAGATATCTGCACTGTACAGTATCTCCTTTAATATTTAAATATAAAACTATAAAATAAGAACTGTTCAAATAATTATACCTTGTTTAATTTTTTTAATGGATTCCTTTACAGCATTTTCCAATAAACTCATATGCTTGATTCTCATTACATGTGGCCATGTCCTCCTTTCACCTTCATTAATAAAATGGAGCATATCATCATAAGAAGGATGGTTGACGCATCTATACCAATCAAATAATGATACTCTTGGAGTTATAGTAACATGACCCTCAACATCTTGTAACATCCAGAAGTTGCTTACATCTTTACCAAATAGTTTAGGTATTAGCTTGAGTTTTGCTAATTTTATATATCTATATTTAATATCTAAAGTTAACCAATTTAAAATATTATATAAAAACTTTCTTTCAGAGTAAAGTATTGCTTTGTTTTTATTATGAATCTGTACAAATGGAACATGATGTGGATTAACTTGGGATACAATAAATTGTCGAACATTAAATAATGTAGATAATTCCTTGTGAGGAACATCTTGATTTATAGAACCGTCCATCCACTTCATTCCTGGTGGAAAGTAACGAATTGTACGATTTGTATGATTATCTTTTGCATATAACTCAGTTACTGGCATAAGTCCAGGTAAAGAGCAAGATGCAACAACTGCACTCCATAATAATACATCAGGTGTTGTGATACAATTGAGTACCAGTGGTTCAATAAGTTCTGTATTATTGTGTGTAGGGCTTATAGTTATAGTGACAATACGACCAGTTAATTTATAGGCTTCCAGAAATGTATAATTTTTAAAATACATTTGGCATGTTTTTGTGAACTCCTTAGGATTAACCATATAACCTTTGACTAGAAAGTGCCTTATTTGAACTGAAAATGGAGGGAACCAGCGATGTCCATACATATTTGAAACTGTTGGCTGAATATAATTTTTCAGTATTTCGTCATTATTTGTAATAGCTAGAATTGCAGCAACTATAGAACCTCCACTTGTGCCATTAATTATATTTGGCATAATATTTTGCTGTATTAAAACCTTCACAACTCCTAAATGATACATTGCTAAAGCTCCACCACCACTTAAACATAATGCTGTACGCCCTATAGAATGACCTAATAGCTCCAAAAATTGTAATATTCCATCTCTATCATGAACTATACCTGACATTTCAGTTAACATTTCACAGATTAGAGGTCGTGCTGACATATTTCTATATAGTGACCAACTTGGATACTTTAAAGGTGAATTTAGCATAATACCCACTTTTTGTATATAGGATTTAGCTATGTCAAGATTTATGCTCATATTCTTACATATACACTGAGTTGTATTTTGTGGTGATATTATTGATAAATAAGAATTTGCAGAACCCATAGTCATTTTATTTATTTCAATTCCTAAGAAATATTCACATGTTTGAACTGATACATCTTTCTTTATTGATCTAAACTCTGAAAAAGAAGATAGTGATAAATTAGTTGAAGATGATGCCAAAATTGGCATTGATTCTGATGAAGAGTCAGTAACTGATGTTCTTCTAGATTGTGTAGTCATATTAGTTTTACTATTATATTTCAAGTTAATACCTCCATCTTCCTCCTTAAAACTAGTTCTATCAATTTCATTTTTGACATCCAAGTCCTTAAGAACAGAATCACTTGTTTTATATTTCATATAATAATTATTATTGTCTTCCATTATTATAGGATTAATCTCTTTATTTTCATTTTTGTTAAAACAAAAACTTGTCATTAGCTGTTGAGATATTTCATCTTTATTAAACTCAGAACTGGTACTACTAGAAGTTACAGTCAAATTGCATCTATTTTCTACTATTATATTATCAACACCATCAACTTCGAATTCTGCAGATTCTGTAAAACATTGTTTCATTGATTTTCTATATTTTTCTGAAATATTATTCACCTCTTTAATTTCCTGGTCTGTTTCATTACCTAGTAATTCTCTTGAGTTTTGAAATTCTAGTTTATTACTATCCTGAATAGCAACACTAGATAAAAATTCCAAAATATCGATAATTTCTGTCTCAAATTTTTCAATTAGTATCTTTGTTCCACAGAATGCTTTATCATAAAGTACTGGATTTGAGATAGATGCAAAATTGCGATGGCAACACCATCTTAAAAGAAACATTATCTGTTTTATATCGTTCTCATTTCTAGCTCTTTGTAACCTAAAGATATAGTCTTTGACATATATCCACTGATACTCATCAGTTTCTTCTATTTCTCGCCATTCATTTCCACCACAGAGATAATCCAATTTGTTACCAATCTTGTACCATTCATCATAAGTCTTTGCACCTTCTAATTGATAATATAGATTGTCTTTATCTGTAATATAGCTACGTGCTAACAAACTTATTCGTAGAAGTAAACTAGATACTGTGAAAAAAATAATATTTAAAGATATTCTACTAGTGTGATACGCTCCAACCACAATCCTTCCAAAAGAAAATAGCAAAGTTCCAAATAACCACAGACACCATGTTATGCATATTAGGGTATATTGTCTTATCTGGGAATTAATAACTAATCCAATAATGAATGTTGTTATAAATGTTGTGGAAAAAAGTATATGAATTAGTAGTATTACAAACCAAGAGCTTAGTGTTACCATTGTTCTAGATTATTCTAGCAATTTATTAAAATATAAAGCCTATGCATTCACATAAAATACACATAAGAGCTTTATATGTATGTAAAAACTGCCTTTATTTTTATTTATATATTTTCTTTGGAAGAAAAAATTAAAGAAAAAAAGTTCACCAATTACATGTTCTCGCCCTCGTGCACTTTATCATTTGGGCCGCAATTTCCACATTACTCTTCAAGTAAAGTTGGATTTCTCAAACTTTTAAATTAAACTTCACTAAATAGTTCATTTTAAATTTTCTTATTTGTTAAATTATAGGCTATTTTTAAAGTACTAAATACGGTACCTTGCAAGGGTACCGATATACCAACTTTTTTTATACATGCATGCAAAAAAAACTACATGTAAATAAGGTATTCTTTAAGCATCTAAATTATGAATAATGCCATTTTACTAGATAACCTTCCAACATCTGAAGTATTATATATTAGATTTCTTAATTTATTATCTAGCCTACAAGAATTATGTGGTGCAGTAGTGGATTTTTCTGTAAATTGGATATTATTGTTAACAGCAATATTTCAATGGATCTTTCAATTTAATATCTATATTAGATATATCATAAGTAGATGTTTTAAAGTACTTTCTTATGTAGCGAATATATTCAGTTACCAACAAAAATTCTATTTTATAACAGTACTTGTTTCATTATGGATATTCTTTTTTGCAAGCAAGATCCTATTTAGACGTGCAAAATCAGCAATACAGAATTTTAGACTGCACGGATATATAATTATAAAATATATTGTTTATATATTACTACCATATATTATATTTATATTTTTAATATATTTCCCAATGTGTATATTAATACCGAAACAACATTTTGAGAGGATCATTATTAGGATTTGGATACTTTGGTTACCTTTAGCCAAATCAATTATTGCAATATATTCACCGAATAATATTGATAACTATCAAAATATTAATAGGAGTGTTGTGGGAAAAAACTTTGTTGTCACACTGTCGTGGATTCACAAATGTATAGCTAAATCAATTAATAAAATTAGTCATTTAAAATATTGGACAAGTTTAAAATATATTTCACTATATCCTTTGCCATTGTCACTAAATGAACCTCCTAATTACCAAAAAGAATTAAGTAATTCAACTCATATGGTTTGCTGGCTAAATTATCTAGTACTATGGATTCTTTACTTCTTGATAAAAAGACTTGTTTTAAATGATTTTATTCAAAACTGTGTTCAACTACTTGTTTTATATATATTCAAAATCTATATTTTGTTGTGCCTGAGTGTCCCCAATTGGTTATCCTTATGGCTTATTAAACTGAATCATTTAACTTTAAGTATACATCCACCCAGGTCAGCATTTTTATCAATGCCAATTGTTAGTAAATTAATCTTATTCATCTATTTTATCTTATTAGAAGTACCAAAAGTTATTTTGCATATATGCTCACTGATCATATTTAATATAAATTGGAAGTACATTTTACCTTCAATTTTAGTATTAAATATTTTACTTGAACTAGAATACGAAGACAAAACATATCTGAGGTCAAATATCTCTTCTAGTAATTTAAAAAAAGTTAAAAACAATAGTGTAGAAGGTAGTGATGATAGTGATAGTGAATGCAATTATGGTAAATCAGAATATGAAGATGGTGACAAGTCTTTTTACCTCATTAATATGAATTATCCATCATTAAGTAATTTATGTCGCCTAAAATTAATCAAAGTTATTAACTGGTTATTTAAAGTATTCACTGGAATTGATATATTTCCAAAATTAGATGAAGAAATATTAAATGATACAGAAAATACTAAATTATCTATGTCATCAAGAAATTTATACACTCCGAAATTACTCCATAGTAGAACACTACCAGTTTTACCTTGTAAAGATAGTAGTGATATTAAATCCATTATTGAAAGGAACATTAAAAATAAAACTAGTAGCATAGAAAATTATATTAATAATACTTTGGTAATAAATTGGTTACCTAAAAGTTGGAATAGTTACTATATTAATGCTTGTAATCAACTAATAGATAAGTCATATAGCATCCAATCTTTTATGATCTACATAATCATAATATTTAGCCAAATTCCACAATGGATAATATTACTATTACCTTCATTCTTTGTTAATTTGCTTGGCTGTATAGTTTTTGGTTATTTGTATCCAATTATCATGGCACTAAAAATAAAAAAGCAACAAGTAGAAAAGTTACAAACTTGGTTATTTTACTTCACAACTTTTTTAATATTAAATGAAGTTAGTGATTTCAGTAACTACTTCAATTGTACCCAAACAGTAAATTATATTATTGATTTGATTCCCTTTAAGGTACATCTACATTACATTATAATACTTGTACTTCAATTCCTTTCATTTTTGCTTCCGGTGTTTTTGAAATAAATATCAGAAAAAAGTTGTAATTTATATTAAATAATTGTTAATCTACTATTCCATGAGAACTTATATGGAAATTCATTCTAAAAGTAAATAGACAAAATAGTTAATGGAAAAATAAATTTATATTTAATATTATATACAACTTACTTTAATTTTGGAGTTTCAGGTGACAATTGTATATTCATTATACGTGATAATTGGTTATTTGTATTTAGTGAAACTGTAGACTTATCTTTCGAAATGAAGACCCTCCAATTAACGGAATTAGACCATAGCAAACCTAGTGACGGTTTTATATTTTCATTATTATTATATAAGCTATTCATTGAAATATCTGTAGTAGTTCGATTTGTAATTATCAACCAACATTCATGATCAATAGCAATACGTTTGAGAGTATTTGCAAATTGAAGTAAACTTGTTGTTGTATTAGTTGCTTTGTGAATATTATTACTAAATATATTCTCAGTACGATTTTGTAAAGAGGTTAAATTTGATATAAATATATTTGTTATAGAGTCAATTATTAGAGCCTCTATTTTAAATTTTGAGAATAAGGCTGGTATATTCTTTTGTATAAAATCACTAATTGACAATGTAGATTTTAAATGGAATATACAAACCTTATTTAATAAGTGATGTGCTATGGTATCTAATTCCTTGTCATCTACTTCATATTTATCTTCCATAGATCTAATATTCCTAAGCTTATTGAGTGTTATCTCATATAGTCTATCGCTTGGAAATGTCCCATCCTCAGTAAACAATATGCACACAATCCCAATTTGGATACTTTTAATCCCACTTAATCTAATAAACTTCCCACTCATACTTTTTATCTGCTCTATAAGTACTGAAATAGCTAGATTTAAGCACCATTGAGTTTTCCCACTTCCAGCTTCTCCCTAAAAATAAAAGTTAATATGATCATATATATATTAATAACACATCAAAATCAATAACTATAGATTGTCATACCGTTATTTCAAATAGACAGCCTTTTGGTATTCCACCGTTTAATATATTATCAATATTGTATGAACCAGTTGATAAGCGATATTGTGAAAGATGCTTGATATAACGTGAATCTTCAATGATTTCATCAAATGACCTTGATCTCCACCAATATGGAGGGAACTGCAGTGTTCTAACCGGATCTTGATCCATTTATAATTAGAACTACAAATTATATCATAAATTATCACTTCTTCAAAAAAGTTCTGTAGATAATACTACCCGCCAGTATATGGAGTATTACTCCTAGATACCTTTATAATAATAAACTATTCAAGTTTATTATTATATGATTATATATTATAGTAAAAGGTAATTTATTACTCTTCTTATATGTATAAATTCATATAAGTATGACGGATTAGTAACTATTCTCTTCTTAAATCACTTGGTAGTTAGTAATATTATTTCAAATACTCAATAAATATTAATAACCAGTTGCTCTCCACTTATAAGGATTTGTCTGATACACTTTTGCTTCACCAACTAGGTTCTTTAGGTGTCCCCTAACTTCATCTTGTGTCGTAGTTATGTTTCTTTTATTCAAACTTTCAATAATATCTTCCAGAGACATCTCTGGTTGCCCTTCATTAGAGGCATTTTCTAGTATGGAACATACGACTTCCCTCATTTTCAGTGGGTTCATTATAGATAAGTTGGATCCATTAGAAAATTGAGTTTTTGGGGTAATTACTGATGTGACTGCAGCTAATGGTCTATTCATTGAGATATTTTGATTATTACTCTGATTGTTCATTATACCACTAGATTGTATATTGTTATTATTATTATTATTATTAGATTGAATATTAGATATGAATATTGCTGGTACTACAGGTTGTTTTAAATTATTATTTGTATTAAATTCACCTAAATTCTGTCCAGTTTGTTTTGTTAGAAATGATGTATTTGCTACAGTTGTGTCTTCAGTAGAAGATCCATACAAACATCTAACAATAAATACTGCAACATCAATATCATGAGCAGATATTTCATCTGTACATACAAGAGGCCTAACAACAAATGCCCGAACAGATGGTTCAGAAACCATTAGTGTAAGTTCACCATATACCTTTACAAAACATCCTTCAGTAATGGAATTTATTAGTTCTTGTTTATAATTCGTACCTGTATTGTCAATTAACCAATCAATTAAGATTAATCCAGATCCATCGTCTAAATAAAAACGAACTCTCTGTGGATATTCTTCATGCTCTGCACAACGGACAAATCCGACTAATTTGAATAAATTTATTTCCCTATTTAGTAATTGCAATCTACTATTGGTAATGAAACCACTATAAGATTTCAGGATCATTCCAACTTTTAACGGTGCTAATCTTTGTTCATGGCTTATTATTGGTTTCCTATCAAAATTTCCCTGAAGTAAAGTATCATTAGGATCCATCATTACAAAACCACCTTCATTTGTATCATCTACATTATATCCACCAAATGTTCTATTCATACTATCAAAATTCATATCTACATTTAAATTTTAATGATTTCTTTTATTTATCTTCTTATTTCTTGTACTAATACCAACACCACTTCTGGAGGGGTGCCACTTTTTTTTTTTTTTTTGGTGCCAAAAAAAGTTAGGGAAACTTCATTATATTACTGGTAGAAAAAAAAACAATTTTCAATATATATCTTTATCTAATCTATCTAGTATAAACTTGTTGGATTTTAAGATAAGTTTAAATATTATATTATTACATGTTAAACTAATGTTGAACCTTCATATCTTTATAAATATTACTTTTTAGTCAATTGTAATAGCTTAAAGTAAATACCAGGAAGTTTATATTCTACTTCTTACTTTAGTTAAATTAATAATTATTAATTATATATTAGTATCATTATTTTCTGTTGTAGTTATATTAACCTACACAGAACTTCAACTTTACAAGCTGTATCACCACCTATAGATAGATTATATAAATTATCAATACTCTGCTATATACCAAAGATATGTTGAATGTTAATATAAGTCATATTATTATAATTATAATTTTAATATTTCGTAAATTGACTTTTTATATTATTAAACAAAGCTCATACCGATGTATTGCATGACCGCATGTAATTTTTCTCTGTTGTAGACAAGAATATCTCATTTTAATTTTTTTAATATCTTCTTAAAACTCGAAGTTCTATCTATCTTAGAGAAGTGTTGACATAAAGATAAACTATTGCAACAATAATAGTGGCATTAGATCAATTGGAAGTGTAAATTCAAGTATTGATGATTTAATAAAGTACTAAGTACTATGTATTTATTTATTAAATAATGATTATACAACATATTATCTAAAGTATTGATTTAAATTTGGTAGTAGTGTATCTATTATATGATTTTGATACATTTCCCAATATATTGTTATTTGCGGGCTTATTATTTTATATCATTTACTTTGTCAAGTCCTGACCGGGAGGCCCATATTGCTATTAACTTATGAAGAGAGTAATACAAATACCTTGAAATAAAGTAAAGGAAATGGGTGGTGGTGGCAAAAAGTTCAATACTAAAAAGAAAGGAATTACTAATATGCAGTTAGGTAGGGCTTTATGTAACTCATCAAGAAATAGAGAGCTTAACTTTAAAGATGATCATTTATTAAATGTGATATATGATAATTATGATGAATTGAATCATAAAAGTATTGTAGAAATGTCCTCTCTGGATGAATATCTATCTACATCACTCAAAACTCAAGAAAATTATGATCGAGGATATATTCACATATTGACAAGTTTACCAAATAACCCAAAAAATAATACACTATTAAAGAGAGACAAAAATTATAGTAATTTAGCAGATGAATCGGTTCCACAATTATCTATACCACGCCGTCCATTATTACTTGTAGGTCCAAGTTGTTCTATTAAAACTATACCACCAAAAGAGGAGTTAGAGAAAGTGGAAGAGGATGCATTTTTATATTGGAGAAAAGATATTGCTGAGAAAGAGGAAAAATCTAGTTTTTGTGTAACTCCCTTTGAGAAAAATCTGGAATTTTGGAGACAGCTTTGGAGAACTATAGAGAAAAGTCATGTGATCGTAGAAATTGTTGATGGTAGAGATCCATTATTTTTCAGGAATAAAGATTTAGAGTTATATATAAAAGAAATAGATCCATTTAAACAAATAGTTCTATTAATCAATAAAGCTGACTTTTTAAGTACAGAATTAAGACAAGAATGGTTAAAATATTTTAAATTAAATGTACCAAGTATCAGAGTATTTTTTTTTTCAGCTCTAAATGAAATAAATAATAGAGAAACAGATAAAAATATATCTTCTACAATATATGCTCAGATTACTAATAATCTTATTAATGAACCTAAAGAATATGATATTTTTACTACTGTGCAGCTATTACAAAAATTACAAGCTATTGCAATGAGTACTTTTGAAAAGTGTAAAATGCGATATGAGGAGAGCTGTATTTCTTATGAAATTTATAACAATAAACCCAATGTAGAATATAGCAAGAATTACTTTATTGAAAGTAGTGATTATGAAATAAAAAATCATGAATTAAGTAGTAGAAGTAGTAGAGAAGATAGTAGTTATCAATCAAGTTTACATGATAGTTGTAATTATGATGGAATAGAAGAAGATTTGGGAAGAGTTTTGTCATTAAATAATTTCTCTGATAAACAATTAGTATATAAAAATAAAAAGTTGGATCCACTATATCCAGGTAATACTCCAACTATTGGAATGATTGGATTTCCTAATGTAGGTAAATCTTCAGTTGTAAATGCTCTATTTGGTCATCATCAATTATCAATCAGTCAAACTCCAGGAAAAACTAAACACATACAAACATTAAAAATAGAAATAAATAATATGTTGGGTAAAGTGACAGAAAATATTTTAATAGGTGAATTAAAATATAATATTAAACTTGGTTACTTAACACTGTGTGATTGCCCTGGATTAGTAATGCCATCATTTGTAAGTACGAAAGAACATTTATTAATCAATGGTGTAACTTCATTAGATCATTATAAAGGAAATTTTCTTAATGCAATACAAATATTATGTGATAGAATTCCTAATAAATTATATGATCTTTATTTTGGAGAAACTTTTGATATATCAAGACATTTAGATTCAAAATCATTCTTAACTAAATTATGTGAATCAAGACATCTATATCAACAGGGAAAAGGAGGTATTGTAGATTGGAATAAAGCTGGTAGAATGGTATTAAGGGATTATTGGTCTGGAAAACTATTATTTTGTAAGTGGCCACCAACATCAAAAAACATTTATACTAATGATAATTATCATCTAACAATAAATAGGTCAATCCAAGATCAGTTTACAATATCTGACAGTGATTCTAATAATAGTGATGATATTGATTTACTTGCACATAATATGGTGAACAATAAAATTAAAAAAAATAAGACAAAAAGACAAGTAAGAATGGATGTTAAGCGTTCTCAGAAGGGTAAACTCCAATGTAAATATTGATTGAGAAACAAGACTTTATATACATATAATTCTATTCTATTTTTTGACATAAAATCTTGTTTTATCATTAAAAAAAAGGTATATATTACGACATAAAAACAAGCTTTACCGCTTGCAAAAAAAATATAGATAATAGCTTATTTGAAAGTATCAAATCAAAACATTAAAAAAAAAAAAAAGAAAAATGTGGTCTAATAAGGCTGCATCATTCTTATCTTGTTCATCTGAATTAGCCAGAACATTGCGACAGTAAGTTTTCTTAAAAACTATGAAATAATATTACTTATATGGTTTCAATATTTCCAAATCTTAAATTTAATTGTGATCTTAATAGATGCTTAAAAGAACCATATAGAAGCAAAGCTATAAAAAGATCTAGTCTGGAAGTATATCAATCCAATTTCTTAAATGGTATTATTATATCAAGAGGTAAAGTATATTTTCTATCAATTTATTAAGGAAATTAGATTTTCAATAAAAATTTATTCCCTGAAATCTCCAATCTTTTAGAATTGCAAGATATCTTAGAAGATGCAATAGGAAATTCTAATATACGAGTAACTTCAAAACAACATATAGAAAGTAATGATAAACTGGGGAATTAATCAAGTTAATATTGAGATTATTTCTATAATTCCTCTATCACTACTCTCAACAAATAACAATACTAAATGAACTTTGAATTTGATACGAAAAATATTGTTGAAAAACAAATACCACTATATATAAAGCGATCAATTTAAACGAGGAAAAAAAAAAAAAAAGTTATATTCCTTACTTCCTATCTTGAGAAATAGCTCTAGCAATTACTTAATATAATTATCTAGATTGAATAGAATTGTTAATTTCTTCTTGAAGAGAAAAAAAAGTATGGATGGTATTCATCATTATTTACAGAGTTTCCTAACCCCTTAACTTCATATTCATATACTCAATCTTAAAATTCAGATATAAAATTACTATAATATATCACTATCATCATTTATATTTCTCATAGATGTTGTGACTAGTTTATTTCTGTATGACTTGTATACAATCCAGAATATAAATTGTGCAGCATATACACTACTAACAATAAGGCAGGTATATGCTCCTTCAGAATATTTCTTTGCTCCAATTGGTAAACCCTCAACTATAAGAATAGATCGCAACATTAGAGCACCAAATATTAATAGAAAAGTAGATCCTATTGCAGATGTATATAAACAAATAGATCCAACAGAATCAATTTTGCTTGTACAATTTCTGCTATCTTGACTACTCATATCTTAAACTTATATATTTTTTTATATATTGTATATTATATATAATATTAAATGTAAAGTTGTATATTGTTAATTTTACTTCTTACTTTGTTTCGGGTTATTTCTATTATAATATTATATTTAGGAACTACTAGTAGTAAACTTCCCTCTTCTATTAGATAATAAGGCGCTAATATATTAAGAGGACTATACTTAATATTTGTAATGCAAGCCTGCAAATCTAGACGGCTATAGAAGTTAGACATAATATTATTAATAATAAGAGGGGAGAAAAGAAATAATATTAGACTAAGTGTAAATTTTATAGAAATTTTCATGATGTCTCAAATTGCGGTACTTTATCTAAGAAATGTAAATAAAAAAAAAAAAAGATGCATGTACTTAACACTATCTAATCATACTAGAACTTATCAGAATACTTATAAATTGGTTTTTAGAATAAATATATAATTTATAATTATAAGTATACATCTAGAAAGATAGAGTTCTATTTGAAGATAAAGGAGATCATAAATATTAGAAAGGTTACCTTTGGTTAATATTACATAAAAGATAATATGCACGAAAAAAATACAGAATCTATAATCTTGGTATGAAGATGAAGCTAAATTGTAATAATGAAAACACATCCAATGAATTTTGTATTCATACACCCGTTATAACTTGCTGGAATAATCAATTAGATAAAATTAAGACCATATGTCTTAAATATATACCAGATTGTAAAGAACTAGAAGATGACTTATCAGAAATACAGAAACAATGTCTAACTGAAATTAAAGGTATACTTTTAGTTAATTATAAAAATATGAAGTTACCAATAGTAAGTTTGAATATTAAAATATTAGATATTTATAGAGTAAATGTTAGATTATTTGATATATAAATTTGAATAATGAAATTCTATTAATTAAAGATAATAATATGAAATATTTTGTTTTATTTTTTTTTTCTAGGAGAATTCTAATAAATTAGAAAGACTTACAAATGAAAATGAGATTTTAGTTAATCAGTTAAGGCAACTTAGCCAAGATCTTATGGAAAAGACTGAGTTAATTCAAATAAAATCTCAAGAACTAGAAAATATACAGAAAGACATTAAAAAGATGGATTTAGAATTAACAGTAACAAGGATACAACAGAATATTGATAGAGATAAATATGAAGAAAGGATTTGTAAATTTGAAAATCAAATAGATGTTTTATCAAAAAAGCTTGAAATGGCTAGATCCATTTTAAGTAAATTATAAATAGAAAATGAAGTTCGATTTAAATGAACTAGAGTAGGTAATAAATTTTCCTTTTTTTTCTTTTATTTTCTTTACAATATATTACTAATCTAAAAATATCTTTAATTTCTAAAGTATTAGATCCATTTTTTACCGCCAAAGTTTGATATATTCTTAAGATATGGTAAGAAAGATAAACCTTTCCTATTAAAATTAAGGACTGAGTATATAAACTAGAATTCAATATGAAATAAAATTTTATAAGAAATGATAGGTCAGCTATTAAATGTTGCAAAGAAAAGTTTTACTTATATAATTGGTAAACGTGGAGATTTGGTTTGTGTGAAAGATATACATAAGAACAGAATAAAAAATGAAATAGAACAGCTTAGATCTAATCAATGCCCTCTAAGTAATTGTGAAATTATTGGATATAATGGGCAAGGATCATTAAATTGTCATTATCATGTACATAAAGTAATAATGGATGATGCACAAAATACATCTATACGTAATCACTGGATATTAATTGATATATCAATAGTATTAGAAAAAGTGGAGAAATTTCAAGATAATAGGGTTAATGTAGAGATTTTATTATATAAAGATTTTCCTTTTAGCCCTCCTGATATAATTTTTCCGAAAACATTTTGTTTTCCAAGTTTAAGTGATGGTAGAAGTTACATATCTGATATATTACATTATGAATGGTCTCCTAGTATTACTTTATTATCATTAATTAATAAGATTCAGGATTTTTTATTAGATTACCATTCATATACTGAATGTATTGGATATAGTGATATATATATTGGTAGTTATAGAAGTGTTTTATGTTTTAATTATCAATGCACAGATTCAGTTATATATCCAATTTATGGTTTCCAATTAGACATAAATCCTGAAACTTATAAGAACTGTATATCTAGAAAGATTCAGAAACTTAATATTAATATTTGTAAAAAATCAACTTTGAGAATAACTGATAGATTATATAATTCTTTTCTACCAATACCATTAAATAAATATGGTATTACAAGACAATCATCTACATGGCGATTAGATGAATCAAGTTTAATTGTAGACTTAGTATTTAGTAGAACAAACATAATGATATGTGATTCTACATTAACAATTGTAGAATCAGGTATTAATAATATTACTAATAGTTCTACAAGTTCTTATTCAGAGTCTACATCTCTGCAAGGTTCTATAATACTTTGGATGTATATATCGGCTATAACACATATAATAGATCACACTGGAAAATTACTTTGGGGATATCATGGTACAGTACCACAATTGATAAACGATAAAATTAGTAGTTCATTATTAGAAGGTTGTTGTATACTAGTAATAAGTTATGATCCAAGTTTTGATAAATCTGCAATTACACTTTTTAAATCTAATGAAATTATTCAAATTCCTAAGATGAATACAAATCCTACTATTTTACAATTGAAGTTCCATAATAATAAGAGTGAACATGAACAAAATTGTTGTTTATCCTTTATGAATGCAATTATAACTAAGATATCTAAGCTTGGGAATAATTTCCCAAATATTTATAATTCAAATTGGGATACAGATTTTCAAATTGAATACTTAACAAATCTCGTTAAAACATATGAATCATGTATATTAGATAGTAATATCATAGATAAGAATTCAAGCCATATGTTACCATGTATTATATATAGATGGCTGGTATTAAGTTCAAAGTTAGTTGAAATTTTGGCCCATTTAGAAGAAGATCAAGATAATAATAAAAATGAAATAGAGGAATTAGTTACACAAGAACATGAAGATAATAGGAAAACAATTGAATTATTGAAATCTCAACAATTAGTAAGTAGAATGCAACAAATTCTAGTAAATCCAATTGTAAAGAATATACTAAATAAAGTTTCTAAAAATAATGTCACTGTAATAGATAAATGTAGCCAAGAAGATATGAGATATGATCAAAAAAGTGAAGATGATATTAAGCATATAGATGATGGGATAAATATAAAATATTCAGATGAATATAAAGATAATGAAGATATTAAAGATAACGATGATATTAAAAATAACAAGGATATTAAAGATAATAACGATATTAAAGATAACGATAAATTTGATAATTATACCTTAAATAATTCAATATATAGTGAAAATTTTACTGATAAACAATTAAATATAATCGATAATCAATTAAATGCAATTGATAGAGATCATTCTGAAGATTCTTATTCAACATAATTTAATTTTACAAATAATACATGATATTTTCTTTATATTTTAGATTTCTTTATTTACAATCTTGAATAACAATATTAATCTTTCAAATAAAATCTTTAAAAATTTGAATAATATTCAAATGAGTATTAACATTATCTATATTGAATTTATAAACTTACTTTTGCTCTATTATCAGATATATCTTGCTTCAACTTTAAATATCTACGTAATTTTCATTTTTATTAATTTGAGTATTTATTTAAATATATAGAAATAAGAGGATAATTGAAAATACCTTAAATTATTTTGGTTCTCTTGTTTAATTTTATCTCTACATGTATTAAATGAATTGAATAATTCAATACAAAGTTTTTCTCTATTCTATTATTAATTAAAGAAAGTTTATTTTAAGATTAATATATAAATAATAAGATCTTATAAAACTTACATGTCTTAACATATTTGAATTTGATTTTAAACATCGTAAATATAGTCCACCAGGTATTCTACAAGGATGGTCAATTTTCGTTGAATTTCTAAATATATCTAAATATATATCCACTATCTTTTGTTTTGCTGCATTACTAAGGGAATCTTCTAATTCAGGCTAAACATAATTAGTAATAGTTTAAATAAGAGATCAAAATCACCACATTTATAATTTAACTGTTAAATCATACCTTTTTATTAACTAAGTTATCCCACAATATTTTGTATTTTGGTGGTAAATTTGGATTATTTATCGATATTCCTGTGTAATTATGGTGATCTAGTAAAATTTTAATTGCTAAGTTTCTCTATATTTGACGATAAAGGAAATATTGAAATAAAAAGACAAGCATTATAGAAATATTTAATAAAGTTTAAGATGATATCAAATTAAGAATATAAATTACAAATACTAAAAAGTTAAGTGTACAGAATATAAAACATTACCTCCATATTAAATCTTCTTGTTAAAAACCAGTCTTTTAGTTCACTTTCAATTGACTTAATCTCAAATTTAGCTTGTTCATATGGTATTTCAGGAAGTAATGTAGTATCTTCACCAGAATTATATGGTGTACTATCCAAATTCTTCATAATAATTTACTTTGTTTATAATATATGTACAAATAGTGGATTTTGGGGGTACATGAAGTTAAAAAGTGTCACAGATGCTACCCCCATTTATCGCGCCTAATAATTTAAGTGATCATATTTATCTATTAAAACTAAAGTTATTTTTTTGAGTAATATATAATTCAAATAAGACCTTTATTTAACCCTTCATTGGCTTTTATACAAAATACTATTGTTAATATATTATTGATACCTTTATTAATTGAGCCACTATTAATCTTCCAAGGCATAATTATCAAGTCATTGCAACGTCCCACCCTAACTTATCATAATAAGCGCTAAAAACGGTATCGACATACTGCTCCCCCCCACCCCTCTTTTAGAGTTGGAAATGTATATTACAACTGTAAAAGCGCAAATACTTAATGTCTACGTTGCTACATAGCGGATAAATAAAACGACTCATCGTAACTATCATTCTATTTGATTGTTTGTAATTTTAGAGCCTCAACTACTTTTCTGTATTGTAACTTCTAAATAATGTCAAACCCAATTGTATTTCTTGATATCTTAATTAATCAATCTCCTGCAGGCCGTATAAAGATAGAACTATTTGCTGATAAGGTCCCTTTGACTGCAGAGAACTTCCGTGCTCTTTGCACTGGTGAGAAGGGGATTGGTCAGTTAGGGAAGCCACTTTCATACAAGGGGTCATCTTTTCATCGTATCATCCCTCAATTTATGATTCAAGGTGGTGACTTCACACATGGTAATGGTACTGGTGGTGAATCAATTTATGGTTCTAAATTCCGTGATGAGAATTTTATTCTTCATCATGATCAACCATTTTTATTGTCAATGGCTAACGCTGGACCAAATACAAATGGGTCCCAATTCTTCATTACAACTGTTCCATGTAGTTGGCTAGATGGCAAACATGTAGTTTTTGGTAAAGTTATTGAGGGCCAGGATGTAGTTAAGGAGATTGAGAAATATGGCTCACAAAATGGAAAGCCAAGTAAAAGCATCATAATAACTGACTCAGGAATGGTCCAGTAGTATTTTTTTTTTTTTTCCTCTTCTTTACCTCTTTAATTGATTGATTATTTGATTTCTATCCAACTTTAGTCTTTGTACCTAATTTGTTTTTATTCTTGAACTACTTCATTGTTAAAATTTTCTATTAATTACCTTCGTTAATATCTAGTAAACTCTACAGTTACACAATTTAAAATTAGTACACTATTATTCTAATTATATATATTGTAGCTTTATAGTAGTAGCGTACTTCAATATACTGGATTTCATGGTATGTCTGATCTTCATTCTAGCTGTACAGGTGTTTATCAAATGTTATCTACCTGTTGATACATGTCATGGATTCAAAGGAAAGAAAAAAAAGGAAAAAGTAGGAAACAACTAGATTTACAATAAGATAATATAAAGATCAGCTCTACTCATTCTGAAATGATAATATCATATGAATCAAATCAGACTTCCTTGTTCTATTGCTAAATTCCAAATGAAGCTCTGTACATATGTCTTTAAGTTCTGCAACCTTCATTGCATTCAATATATTTTCATTATATTGTGGAATCTTCGCAATCTTTGCAATTTTACTTGCCTTTTTTGGCTTAGCTGATGTAAATTTATCCAATGTCTTCAATTCTGGAGCATCTTCAATGTTAGGACTTGCAGCTTCTGCAGCTCTAACAACACGTCCACGTAGTGTCGGGGGTCTTAATCTTCCCAAATTAGTTTTACATAATATCTCACCAAGTGGATTATTACTTTTTGAAACTACTGAATCCTTCATTTTATCAATATTTTCAGTTAAGTCATCTGTTTCTGGGCGTTTCAAACGACCTCTTTTCTTTATTGTTGTTTCCTCTTCCCCATTGATACCTTTACTATCATTAGAGCGTCGTTTACGATTCCTCAAAGCCTGAATAGTACTCATCTCATCATTTTTTTTCAATGATACTTGGTTCCTTAAATCTTGTAGTTTATTATGAGCATCAGCTAGTTGTTTAATCAAATCCTCCTTTTCTCTTATAATTTTATTTAATTCCTTCTCATATTTTTTCTCTTGCTTTAAAGATATATCAATAAGTTTCTCAAGTTCAAATAATCTACCTTCTTTAGATTCTAGATCACACTCTCTTTTACTCAATACTTCCGTTAATCTTGCAATTTCTTCTTGTAATTCTTCTTCAGATCTAATTTCAAGCTCTAATTGAGATTCTAATTCATTATTTCTATGTTTAATAATATCAACATATATATCAAAGACTTCTCTCTCATTATGAAGAATTTTCTCAGTAGAACCTTGTATAGATTCTATGCCATTTTTAATACATCCAGTAAATGGGTGGTAAGTACATATGAAATCTGTCATCTAAAAATGTCAAATATAGTGTTCAGCCTATCCAAACAAATATTTTTTTTCTCTCTTTAATTAATACACTAATATTTTTTTTTCCTCTATAAATTCCCACACAATCATCTTTTTTTAAGCTAGAAAAAGCATAAAGGATCACCATTTTAGAAAAAAAAAAGAAATCCACAAATAATCCCGCCTCTTTGTGGCGCCTTTGAAAAAGGCGCTCAAAGCCATTTTAGTGGGAAATATTCCATGTAATTAATCCCCAATAGATAAAATAAAATTAATTATATTTAAATTATAACCATTATAGTTCTCCTAATAAAACAATTTCTTCGAATTATATATTTAAAAAAAAATCACTTGATTGTTAAAAAAAAAAAAATATATATTATTTAACTTATTTTCCTGATTAGATCCTTCAAGTTCAGTCTTAATATATAGAGATCTACAAATTAGCCATATATGGAAATTAACCAAACCATCTTTTCTTTCTTATAGTATATGTAGCTGCAGATGTAGAACCACCATATTCGCCTACAAATGTTGAAATTGAAGATTTATTTGTATTTAAATTAGAAACATTGTCCACTTGATTAAGTGATATCTCGGATTCTTGGAGAGTTGATATATTATCACTATAGTTTGAATTTGATAATAAAATATTGTCATTTATTTGTGATCTCTTTAAAATATTAGATTGGTTTTTATCTTTTTCCTTTAATCTTTTCACTCCAGTTTCATAATCACGAAATTGCTGTCTAGGAGTTTGCATTGTCCTCCTGCTTAACCCTATAGAAACTATCTCAATAATAGCAAGTAAAACACCACCTACAAAAGCACTACGTGTTGCAGAACGCCAACCTCCTCTTAAAGCTAGTAAACCACCCGTAGCAGCACCCGCAAAAATTGCATTCCAATGATCTTCTCGTTGCCTAAGTGCAGTTATACTACAGTCAAAACAAGAAAATGTACCACCCCATACTGCAAAACTACTACCTATTATTGGAGCTCTTAAAGAACCAGCTGATAATCCAGATGAAAATATCTCACCTCTAGGAGCATTTCTAGCACCATGAAGAAAATTCCATAAAAAACCACCAACACATCCCATTCCAAAAGCACCTCCTAGATCTTCTATTATTCTGTCAGGACATGGATCACGAGAAAGATCACGGCTCATCTGCAATTAGTAGCTAAGTAATATTTATAGCTGATATCTATAGGAAAAAATAAATATAAAATAATATAAATAAACATAATCTACAAAATTCTAACTCGGTATCAGCGGGTACCAAGTAGTAATATATTGTTTTATCCCTGGATCTTATAAAAACTACTTGTTTTTTTCATTTTTAGATAGATTTAACAAAACTAGCCATATGTAATAATATATAATTTAGTGTTTTTATTATATAGGACAAATTTTTTTTTTTAATTAGTTAAAAGATTTATTTATCCTTAAGATAGTTAAATCTAAATAATTCTTCAATATTATCTATATGTCTTCTTATTAACATTATAAAATAGTTTGTTTTAACTAATAAATTAATTTAATATCTATATAAAGTATTTAAAATACCCTTCTTTAATCATTTTTTTTTTTGTTTATCATAATCTTCTATTTATTTTAGAAAGTTGCACACCACGACAGGATCGATAGCTCAGTGGTAGAGCAGGCGACTGCAGATCGTCTGGTCCCTGGTTCAAATCCGGGTCGGTCCTCCTTTTTTACAATAGACAATTTAAACATTAACTGTTCTTCATGTATTACCGCTTGTGCGTAGACGTAACGTATATATAGAGACATTAAAAAGCATGTTTCTTTATACGTATAAATAAAAAGGCCAGGTTATGTGTGTTGATGATGCAAAAGGAAAGATAATATCAGCATGACCGTGTGAGTATACAATTTAAAAGCTAATAAAAGTGCCAAGATTACTTTTCTTTTTTGTGTCTACGATTTTCCAATATAAATTTAATATTGGGTACTAAATACCAAAAAAAGGAATCTTGGAATATATAGATCATTTAAACAAGAATAAACCAAGCTATAAAAGATTACAAAAATATTTAGTAACTAGGTTGCTATTTAAATACAAATTTATATATTATTTCCTTATTATAAAAATTTGGAATATAAATGAGTCCTAATCCTGCATCTGGAGATGAAGAAGGTTCAGCACCTTCACATAATGTTCATCAATACCCAAGTGAACCAGATATTCATACAATGGCTTCTATTAAAGCAACACTTTCAAAAAAAGCAGAAGAATTAGTTAAGGCTGGTCAACCTTATGTAATGACAAGTTTAGGACCAATCCCATTGCCAGATAATGTTAGAAATCAAATTCCTGAAAAATTTGTAGCTGCTCCAGTATTAGAAGAACGTGAAGTTATTGTTGCTAAAAGAGAAGTGCAGGAAAGAATTATTGAAGTTCCACAAATTCAATATGAACATAAATTTGTAGAAGTTCCTCAAAAAGTTGTTGTAGAAAAAATTATTCCTATACCAAAAGATGTTGTAAGAGAAGTTGAAATTCCTAGATACACAGCAACTGTTGAGGAAAAAGTTATTGAAGTACCACAAGGTATTAAATTTGTTGAAGTTCCAGTAGAAGTTCCAATTGCTTATCCACCAAGAATTGTCCCTGTGCCTAAACCACAAATTGTTGAGAGAATTGTTGAATTATCACGTCCAGTTATTGAAGAAAGATTACTTGAAATACCTCAAAAAGTATATCGTCAGGTACCATATTACAAGGATGTAGAGGTTCCATTTGTAGTTCCTAGATATGTTGAGAAATTGGTTGAAGTTCCATTTCATCCTGGAATGTTATTAGAGGATCTGAATCAACCATTTCCAGTTCCTCAATCTAATCCATTTATTGGTTCAGCTCCACCAAGTGCTCCTTTATTATCAATGCCTCCACCTATGTATGTTCAAGAAGAAACTGATGAATCTGTTTCGGATGGTTTACCTTCTCATCCAGCAATACCACCATATCATATGTTACCACAACCTCAACCAGGTGTTATTCCACAAATGATCCCCTTAGCAAATCCTTATGCAGCTTTCCCATTACCTCCAGGTGTAGTTATGCCTCAACATATGCTTCATGCTGGTAATACTGCTTACATTCCAGGTAAAACACCTATACCTTTTAATGCTCCTTCTCAATCATCTCAACATTTATTACAAGGTGCTCAAATTGTTCACCCATTACCACAAATACCACAACAATTTAATCATTATCCTCCAAATCATCCACAACAATAAAATTTTATCATAATAAAAAGATCAACTGAAATAGATTAAGCTAGCAGAGTACATTGCAATTTATTGGTATATATACAAAATTTCTATTCACCTTTTTATTTTAGATTTTTAGAATAAGTTTCTATCTTTTTCATATGTTTTGTTTTAAATATACAATTAAGAATAATACTAGGGTACAATATAATGAATATAATGTCAAATAATATCCACTCACTTTTCATTTCTTATTTTCTAATATTTATATTATTTGGAATTTAATTATTCTAATATTAATTCTAGAAGTATTTACATCTTTTAGATTATATCTATAAAGTAATAGAAAGATAGATAAAAAAAAAAAAAAAACAATATTACATACTAAATTATAAAGATTCTTATAATTTTACTGATATTATTTTATTATTAATTTACAATATTACTTGGATTACTTATTCGCATGTCTCAGTAATTACTAAATGTTAGATTAGGCGCTAAAATTCTGCACTTTTTTTGGTACCCAAATTGTCACTTGTTACTATACACTTTTTTATTAAATTTTTTTATATAAAGATTTATTTTACATAATATCTATCTACAAATTGAAAAAAAATATATTTAATTATTATAAATTTAAGTAATAAAATAAACTGTAATATTTCGACTAAAATAGTCATGAACTTATAGAGTATTTATATTTGGTTAATACAAGTAAATGTTACAAAAAGATATAAACAACGATTCTGGAATAAATGAAAGAATGGAAACTTGTTGTCCAAGTCCAATGAAGATATTTTCACCAGATTTTATTTATAAAAAAATGCCATGTCGTTCTGCACTAAATTTTGGTGAAAATCTGTCGCAATTCTCTGGTGGTAACTTTTTCTTAGAGTATCCTGTACCTCAATATCCAAATAATGAAATTTTACCTAGTGGTATGAATTCATTAATAGAACCAAAACCATTAAGTTCATTTTCATCTCCTGTAGGTGATTTAGAGAGAACTATTGCTCATTATCGTCGTACTTCAGATTTTTTGTGGAATAGTAATAGTATTACATTATCACCTACACATTCTGGGTCATCAGATGTATTATTTTTCGATAGAAGAGATAGTCCAGTTAATTCAGATATATTAAAGACTAATGGGTCATTTGATAAAGTTTTGGGAGGGAGAAGAAGTATAAGTTTAATATTTCCAGTAGGATCTAGATTAGATAGGATTTCTACTAATGATTTTCTTGGTTATACTCAATTACCCTCAGATACTGAACATAGTGATATTACAATGGGTATTGATCATTTATCTAATTCAAATTCTTTTGAAAAATTTTTTTCAACAGCTGATAATCATAAAAAAATGTTATAAATTAGAAAATAAAAAAAAATGTAGACAAATAGAGGTTACATGTATTGCGCCAAAAAAAGCGCCTTATGATATCTTAATATTTATTTCATGGATTATAATATTTGGAATTATTCCCCTAAATAATGAAATTATCCTTTAGCTTAAATTAACTTATATATATAGAAATATTGTGAAGTATACTTCTCAATGGTTGTATATATAAGTAGAATTACTAAATATATTGTATTAATTTTATATTAGGATTAAATATTAATTATTTAGATTAATTAGAACTTTTTTTTTTTCTTCTTTCTTTTTTCTTTTTCTTATCTATAATATTGTATATATAGTATTTTTAAAATAATTAAATAGAGGACATATCTAATATTAGAACAAGTTTGTATAAAAATTTCAGTTGATTTATTAGATTTAATATTAATAGTCAAAATAACTTTATATTAGTGTTTATTAATAATTAAAACTAGTCCTTAATAAGATTCCAATATAGTTTTTCTAATATTAGAAAATTATGAATAAATTGTAAAATATCTTTATAGATAAAAATTTGACAACATATTATATAATTATATTAATTTACAAAATACTAGTAATTGAAATAGATAATTAATGATTAAGACTCTTAGTTTACAATAATAATTTCAATATATTATATATTTTATAATGATAAGTTATAAGTTATAATGAAACTTCTTCGAATATTTCATTAAATATAATATTAGAAACAATTTAAATAAGTATTACTAAAATATTTATAAATTAGAAAACCAACTTTTTTCATTATTTATAAATATAATCAATATATATTTATATTAATTATATATATAACTATCAAATATATCAAGTGAGTAATCAGGAACATTTCTTAAGGTTTGAATAATAATAAATACATGATAACATCCAGGAATAAAGCATAATGAACCTATAATTAAAGATGGAATAGATTCACTAAAATTTCCACTAATTAAATTATTTGTCCCAATAGTTAAAAATACTCCACCAAGTATAAATAATAAAAGTGCAATTGCAATAAGTCTCCAAGGCTTAGGCCTTTGTCTCAAGGGTTTTCTGGGTTGTAAAGAAAATTTGGGACTTCCTCTTTTATTATTTTCCATTATATTAATTTAATTAATTTGATTAGATTCTATTATATAAATAACATAAAATATATGAGAAATGAAAAAAAAAAAAGATAATTCTAGTAGAGAAAAAGGTGCCTTGACCCGTGATCGAAACGGGGACCTTAAGATCTTCAGTCTCACGCTCTCCCAACTGAGCTATCAAGGCAATCTGTTGAGAGATATGAATTCTATAATATAAATAAGATAGTAAATATAAACAAGTACTTCTTTTTTTAAAGTAATATTTTCTGAAATTCTCTAGTATCCCGTATTATATAAAGACTTATTATATTATTTGATATAATCTTTCAAATATATTATTTAGTTATTAATAATTTAAAATATGTCTACATGGGATATATTAGATAATAAAGTTTTAAATTTAACTTTTATTATATCTTTAATAAGAATATTTAAAATGTGATATCTTAGTGTAAATCATAGGAAATTTGCACTTTGTAAAGGAATATCTTGTAACTACTTCTAAATTAATAAGCTGATGCTTAAGTCAAATAGATATATATACATATATATTATATTGTAAATTGACTTCTCCTTCCCTAACTTTATTTCCTTTCTTTCTTTTAAATATTAAACCTTATAAATTAAGAACTTAATTTTATTATTAATATCCTACAATAACTTCGTAAATAAAAAGATACTAATATAACATCGATGTTACCCGCTTGAGGTTTTTTTTATTTTCCATATCGAATATTATTTAGGCGCTCTATAGATTTATACGTAATTTGTATGTCTCAAACCATGTAAAACTACAGAGTTACAAAAGTAATCAAAGATATATAATATTGGATAAAGTTTATACAAGTTTACTATAAAGTCTAGTTAAATTACTCTAAAATATTAAATAATTACAATCAGAATAAGTAGACCATATTTATAAACTTGTAGGATATGTCGGATTCAACATCTACATTACCCCAACATATACCCGTGGTTGCACCTCCATCTGTTGTTCTAACTCAAAATGATGCTGCAGCTCCATCTACATCAATTTTAACATGCTGTTCGGGACCACAAAGTATTGAACAAGGAAGTGATCCAGCTATAAGTATGAGTGTACCTCCACAAATTGGTAGCGTACGGTTTGCATCAACTAATACAACTATTGTAACTAGTAGTGGTTTAATGTCATTTGATGAATTTTTAAGAAAGGGAGCTCCAGTTGATAAGATGTTAATGCCACCATTTCCACAAGTTCCTGGAATACCTATGTTTGAAGATGGCACACCAGATATTGGTACAATACATTCAACATGTAATATTGTTAATTTGTCCCAAACAAGTCAAAATAATACTTTACCTAGTAGTGAGATTAATTCTGGCATTCAAACTCCTCATACAATAAATGACTAGAAGTTTTTGATTCTGTTAAGTAATAAACTAAGGATGTGATCTCATAATGAGATGTTAGTAAGGTATATATTACAAAGAGACATCAATTAATTTAAATACATTTGTTATATTTAAGGATTCTAAAATATAGAAGTATGATTGTCTTATTTATCTTATATATACAATTTATTACCATAAGTATTAACCTTACTAATCATTTATTAGCAATGCAAGTAACATAGATTTAGATATGGAAAAAGAAAATAAAACTAGGGATCCTATAAATAAGTACTTTCCACTTTTCTTTTTTCTTCCTTTTCTTTCATAAATCTTAAATTAAGTAGAGTAGTAAATTAAGATTAGTTTTATAAGATCTATTAATAAATTAATACATATATTTTATTTAAGTGGAGTTGACCATAAAGTGATCCTTTCTTCCCACTCAAATATATCTGTTGTATTCTGTAACTCATCAATATCAAATATTGATGAATCTAATAACTGTAAATAATCTTCTAAATAAGAATCATTTGGATACTCTAAGCTATTAAGTTTGTGATTATTTATTGAGCTATTGATATTAATATCCATATTTGTTACTGTATTATTTCGTGATATGTTTAATAAATTTACATTATCTAAATCTTCAATAAGTATTTTATCAAGCTCATCCACTATTTGATGAGTATTTTCATTAATAATAGAAGATTTATTATTATTAATATCAATATTATAATCAAAATTTTTTTCTATTTCAAAATTTGATAACAATTCATCTTTAATTATCTGATCTGCCTTATCATCATAAAAATTAATATTCATATTATCTTTTTGATATTCAAATAAATGTTGAAATTTATGTTTTTTATATAAAAAATCATGAGAATTATAACTTGGTAATCTAATATTTTGATAATAACTTTGATTAAGAATAATATCAACAAAATTCTCAATAAAATTGAGATATTGGGGTAATGATGAATATAAATATGTATGAATAGAATGAATTAATACATTTCTAGGTACTATAATGAATTGTTTAAATGTTTTGATTCCCAAATTATTAATTAATTCTATGGCCCCAATTTGTGACATTCCTTTAATAGTTTTACAAAGTTTTTTTACAGCTATATAAGAATTTGGAATTATAGAAAGTGAAATTTCTGGATGAATAAAAATAAGATTTTGAATTTTTTGAAGATGATTTTGAAATATTAATCCTAAGCTCCACCAATTTAATTTTCGACAAAATATGATACAAGAATTGGACATAGTTATAGTACTAGTAAGAAGTTGTTGAATATCACTATTTGTAACTCCTTGAAAACAATTTATAATTTGTTTTATAGGAACTCCGCGTATAAGTGATGATAATAATAAAGATGCATAAAAACGTTGGTAACGTCTGTACCTTTGCTTATCCTTTAATTGGCAAGGTAAATTGGTTTCACCTTTTTGAGAAACATGACCAACTATTTGTATATCAAATCCTAATTTTTTAATTGAATAATGTTCTTTTAATGTACTCCTACATAATATTTCATATAGATTTGGCCAATTAATATTATAATAAGAATATGAATAAGTATTTTGTGTTTTATTATTATTTATAGAAATAGATTCATTATTTGGTGGAAAAGGAGTTACCATATATGTTAAAAATATTGGACTTTCAATTAAAAATTGAGAATTAGCTTTTTTTAATTCTAAATATAATTCATAACCATTAGATGGTGATAAACCTGCTGTTGCTACTGCTCTTCCTAAATCTGTACACATATAATCAAGAGTAAAACCAAATTTAAAAGATTCACTATTATATTTTACAATCATTCTATTATTTAATAACAAAGATAAAACTTTTGAAAATAGATCATGAATGTAATTTTTGGATTGAATTTGAAATGGCATAAGAATACATTCTTTTAACATTTCAAGTAAATTAACTCTAATATGAGTATAGTTATAAATATTATTTGTAAATTGTGCAATATTTGAAGATAAACTTGTAATCAGTTCTAATATTAATCTTGCTAAACCATTAATATTAGTTATAAATGTACTTTTTAAAGGCAAAAGATCACTTGTCATCAATTCTAAAGTTTTTGAAAATTCCTCAGTTTTATAATTTATTAATATAAAACTCTCACCATAAATTCCTCTTTGTCCAGCTCTTCCAGCTCTCCCAGACATTTGTTTATATTCTGCTGATGTAAGAAATGATTTACCAATACTAATTCCGCGAAATATAACTCTTTTAGATGGTAAATTAACTCCTGCAGCTAATGTAGATGTAGCTGTTAATAGAAGGATACTACCATTCCTATAACCTTTTTCTACTATATTCCTTTCAGTATGAGATAATCCAGAGTGATGATATGCTATTCCCTTACTTATACACTCATATAAAATATTAATATTTGTATTTTTTGATTTCTTATGATATTTTTGTAACTCTTTGATTAACTGTAATCTCTCATACTCTATACGTTTGATCATATCATTATTAATTAAATTTATCCTACTTATTTTGGTTATATCTATATTATCATAAACTTTTTTAGATAAACATCTTGTATAAAATAAAGCTGTTGTTTCAACTGAATATTTAGAAGGACAAAAAACTAGTACACTGTCACCCTTACTTAAAGCTTCCCAAGCTAATAACAATAAATCTTTCATATCTACTATAGGATATTTCCATTTAGAATTATTTATTAATTCTTCATCAATTTCAATACTATTTAAATTACTTTCAGATCTTAAATTCTGTTTATTCCATGTACTTAATAAACATAAATTATTATTTATTTTATTATTTATATTTAATGAATCTTCAAATGAAAAATTCATAGATTTTGATATTTTATCTATAGAATATTGATTATCTAATAAATTTAGTATATTATCATCATTTATCTCTATATTATTAATAATATCATGTTCATTATCCAAAATATCAAACTTATTGGATTCCTCATACATAGGTTTTTGATAAATTATGCCATCAATTACAATATATTCTCTTAATGGTACAGGACGAAAATTTGTTTGGTATACAACTGCATCTAACCAATATCCAATAGATGAAAGATTAGGTAATGTAGCACTCATACCAACAATTTGTATATAATTTGAGTTGTTCAAAATATCTTTATTTATACGCGATAATAATCTAATCTTTGTTAATATAACTTCCAATATGTAACCTCTTTGTTCATCTCCAAGTAAATGTAATTCATCTATTATAATTATACCAAGCCTATCAAAAAGTATTTCACGTTCAATATATGCATTAATTAATGAGTTTGCCTTCTCAATAGTAGCCACTCCTATATCAAATGACTCAGACAAAGAAGTTTTACTTCCATAATGAAATTCATGTACAGATAAATTACAAGTTATACCAGCATCATAATAATTTTTACATTTCTCTGATACTAAGGATACAAATGGTAAAATTACAAGGGCACTTCTCCGCCTTTTAGTAACTGTTCTAAACATTAGTAGCTCACTAACTAGAGTCTTACCTCCACTTGTAGGTGCAGAGTATATTAAATTTTTACCTTGTAGTACCCCTGGCTGAGTAATACACTCATATTGCCAAGGATACAATTTTGTTAATCCCTTCTTAGTATAATGATCAATTAATCGAAAATCCAAATCTAAAAAATCTAAACCATATCGAAAATTATTATTTTTAGATATTTCAAGGTTTGTTTCATTATTAAAAGTCATATTATTCAGATTATTTGAATTATTTGTATTTACATCTAATTTAAAGGCTTGTTCAGTATCAAATTCAAGTAAAGTATGCATTAAATCCTTGTCTCTATACAACTCATTACAATCATATCCTGAATATAAATTTTCCTTAAGAATTATCTCATAAATTTCACTTCCTTATTTGTAAGGTTATCTATCAAAATCAATAATGTATTCTATTACACAAGAGAGGATGAGCTCCTCACTACTATAATTTATATACACCGCATATGTGATCATAAGATTCTTTATATTAAAAATGAATCATTATAATCAACTAAATTAGATTTAAGGAATTTATTATCAATTTTTAAGTACTTATTATAAAGATTTAAAATATCAATGTGCCGAGACCTTAAGAGGGTGCAAAATTGCAAGGATCTTGGGATACAATCACAACTTAAAAAAAAGATATCTTCCGAAAAACATCAAGTTATTTTAAAAAATGTTTATATTAATATATTTTAATTAATAGAAGGATAAGGTTTTGTAGTTTTATATTATTAAACAACTCCACAAAAATATCACTTTGATACAGAACGTGATTTGGCCGCCCAATATAAATTTCATGTACTAAAGTACGAAAGTGTCCAAATTTACCAACTCCTAAAAGAGTTGAACTTACCTAACTTGGTCATTCTCAGTAGTATTGAACCATCAATTTTTATTTATGAATTTCTTTTGCTTTCAAAAGCTACAATGAGCTGGTATATACTTATAGCAAACCTCTCAACTCTTTTTACGCTATTAATTTCGGTATATAACATAGGACAGCAATATACTCATTTACAACGTCCAAAATTTCAGCTTTATATTTGTCGTATTCTCTCAATGATTCCTGTATATGCAATTTTATCTCATATTTCATTTATTTCACCGTCTCATGCTGTTATATTGAATATTATTAGAGATTGCTATGAAGCCTATGTATTATTTTCATTTCTCAAATTATTAATTTATTTCCTAGATGGTGATAATGCTGTTATAAAGAGCTTAGAAGAAAGAGGTTACCTTGTCAATATATTCCCTCATCATCATATTTTTTATTTAATTAATATACTAGATTATACTAGTGAACACTTACCTGATTATACTTACAAAAAGCAAATCAATAAATTATGTAATGGTAATAATCATTGCTGTCGTGAAAATAAGAATACATTGATAAGTAAATGTAATGATGTAATTCCTTGCTGTAATTGTTGCAGATATTATAAAGAAGTTATACGCTTTTATACATTTATTAAATTGGGTGTATTACAATTTGTGATAATTAAACCTACTGTTGCGCTTTCAGCTTTATATCTTGAAAGTATTGGTAAATATGGTGCAGGTTCTTTTTCATTAGATACTGGATTTCCATATCTTGCATTTTTGAATGGTGTTTCTGTTTCATTAACAATATACTCATTATTTTTGTTATATATATCAGTATATGAGAAGTTAAGACCAATGAAACCTATACTCAAGTTCCTATGTATCAAACTTATTGTCTTTGTTAATTCTTGGCAATCTTTAATTATCTCTTTATTATCTACAGTTAATATTCTTCCATTAGAACCTATAAAAGCTTTATTTATAAATAATTGGCTACTTACTTTGGAGATGAGTATATTTGCTATAATCTATGGCTTTGCATTTTCATATAAAGACTTTATATCTACTCGTTACATTTATAATAAAGATAATTATACATCTAAATTTATAACAGAGAAATCTAGCTTAAATATAGATCATGATTACCATGATATTGAATCTAATAATACTTTCCCTATAAACATCAATACTCATGGAAAAAAAGTTCTAGATAATGTTTTAACTATATTAAGTCCCCAAGATATTATTCAAGATGCTCAGAAAACTTTTAAGATGATTGGAAACTCTAGTAGTTTAATTTATTCAGGGTCTACTATTATTGAGTCAATTATATTAACTGATAGTATCCCAATGAAACTAGTTAAGTTTGAGGATTTCTGAAGTTATTTTGATATTTCTAAAAATTATTAGTACATAAAATTTATTAATCTTGTTCTTTTATAATCTACTAATGCAATGTAGCTTTGTTACAATATTTTAAGTAATTTTAAATGACTCACGCGCCATTTTTAGCGCTCGTTTCCCCACAAATTTACAAGTTGAAGATATTGCCTTAATTTCTATTTTTGGATATAGCTATCTTGAAAATGGTAATCTCTGAGTCGTTGTCTGAGATCCATAGGTGAGTTTATTATACTTTTTAATTATGGTGATATTGTATTGAAAAACTAGGGAATATCTTTTTTAGAACTTTACAAAAATCAAATCCCTTAAATAATCCTAGATTAGATTTCTCGGAAATTTTAACTAATTGTAATGATGTAGAGGTATGTTTATAAAATTATTTAGTACTTTTGTGATTTATTATTGATATTATTATTTAGAATCGTAAGAGAAGATGGAAGGGAGCATGTTGTCATGCATTAGAATGTGTATCTGCATTGTCACATTTATCTAGTACTAATGTTGATGAATTATCAAATGGTCAGGAACTTTTAAAATTGGAAGATAATTTATCTGAAAGGCGTCAGGATATTGAGGGGCAATTAAGGAAGCTAAATAGAGATATTGATTATAGTAGAACTCAGCTAAATAAGATAATAGAGGATATACTAACTGAAATCAGTATATTAGTTGAGGATTATAAGATATTGAGACATGAATTTGTTCAAAAAACGTCGAATATACCATTTATAATTGAAGAGGGGGCAAGACAACAGGATGAAAATTTTAGTGACATTAGTAAGACTGGATCTGTAGATGATATCCGTAATTTACAAAAAATTGGAGATGGATTATTGAGTGAAATTGAGAAACAAAGTAGAGAAGAAAATAAAATTAATGATGAGATTAAGGAATTAGAATTACAATGGAGTTCTTGTAGGCAAAAGAATCAAAGATTAGAAAATGAAATTTTACTCAGGAAGACAGAAGCAACATGTCAAGAAACCCAAGTAGAGGCCCATATTAATTCAAGATTGAGTAGATCATCTAATTATGGAGCCTCAAATGAAAATTTCAACCAATTAAATAGGAGAAATAGTATTGCTAAGTGGATTGGAAGACTATCTTGTACAAATGATTGTAATAAATATGAGAAGGAAGTAATTGAAGGAGATGAGAACGAAGATATAGAAGGTGAACTAGAAGTTTTAAATTTATTGAGTATAGTTAAAGTTAATGATTACATTGAATTAAATGAAATAAATGGGGATAATTTTAGTACACCTAATAGCTATAAGTTATATCTAAAGATTGATCCATCTCCTTGTTTGGATATATTTCTAGATCCTAATTTTGATTATCCTCCAGAATTGAAATTATTAAATACAGAAAATATTAAGGAAATTTCAAATGAATCTTTATTTTCAGATGGTCCATTAGAACTTTGCTTAAATTCTAAGGGTGGATATGGATTCAAGACATTTCAAGAAATTGAACTTTCTGAGAATAGTTGCAATACTAAGCTCAGCCAAGAAGAAATTGCAATGTTTAATATTTTTGTGGGGGAATTAAAAAAAAACGAAAATGTCCCAATTTCATCTATTGGTAAGCTACTTTGCAGTGCTCTAAAATGAATGGAATTTTTTTTCTAGATATACAATTATAAGACAACAAAAAAAGCTTAAATATTAAATATTTTAAAATTCTGAATTTAAATTTCCTATATTCTTACTAATTAAAAATTGTTAGTTGGGATCTAATTATTTATAATATATAATAGCATTAATAGACAAGTATTCATGTATATATTAACCTAGTGATATATTCTTATTTATAAGATTAATTATATTTTTGAATTATTATCTCTTTAAATATTATAATAATTTGTATACTATAGTCAGAAATAACTAGTAATTATGTATGATTTGCCCAGGAATTTCCAACTATACCTTATATATTCAAAAATTAATTAACATTAGATCTTTACTAAGGTTTTTGCATAATTGCAAGTTTTATCCAGGGTGAAAGCATTCCATTGAATAAAATACAAGATCTGTTATTATTAAATCTCAAGGAATGTATTTTTATTTTAGATAATTCCCTTGAAGTCATTGAATTATCTTCTAAAACAGGCTCTAAATTTTCTTCCATAAGGGTACTACCATAATATATTTGCCTAAATATTTCATCCTCATTTTCATATACGAATTGTGAGGCTTTACCAAAAGCTTCAGAATTGTCAGTTGAAATGTTTGATATAACCGAAATACCTCCCAACTTTCCTGACAACTTATCCCATAAACTCTTTGTTTCATCTTTTACTCCCATCTCATACTTTGGTAATTTAGTAGTTATTTTATTATGGATTACCTTATATTCTTCATTTAAGATATAACGAAGTCTTCGGATTTTATCTTGAAGCTTGTATTCAGCTGATAAATCACCAAAATCATTTTCTTGTTCAGTTTCTATACAAAGATCTCCATTAACCAAGAGTTCCCCAAATACTTCATCGACACATCTTTCCAGATGTGATAGTTTACCTTGTAATGTATACTTCATCATTTGACCAAGTTCACTCATATTATATTTGCTTATAACTAGTTGAAAAATTGATATGAGTTCATGATGTTTATGTAGAGCTCTTACATACTTTTCACATTCTTGAAGAAAATAACTCATATATTCATCTTTTTTATCTTTTAAAAAAAGTTTAAGACTTAAATAATCACTTTTTCTTTTTTCATTTATAGTAATATATCTTGAATATCTTTTAAAACTACTAACTCCATACTTTTTTAAGGGTCCAAATCTATTTGTTGATCTAATAACATATCGCTTTCCTGCATAAGTAATATTATTATATCTGTTGATATTTGATTTAGGTAATACTCTAAATTTTCCAAAACAAATCTTCTTATTGTCATATATTTTTGGTGTTCTGCATTTGCGAAGTAACTTATGCGAATAACTCAAACAACCCTTTTGAATTCTAATTGTGTCCAGATAAATATTCATTAGAGTAATTTTATTTTTTCTTAATTTAGTTACTTTACAAATACTTCCTTTATTTAAACTATTTGATTTCTCTTTTTGCTCTTCAGTTTGATTATCAGATACTAATAAATTATTAGATTCCGCATGTATTAGCCTTTCTATTGTAAAAGATGGCTTTTCTCTCTTTACTTCCTTAGTTTTCAATTCAATATCTGATTTATTTACCTTGATATTCAACTTCGATATGCTTTTAACTACTTTTATCTTTTGAGTTTGGTCATTCTTTTCTTTAGGAAATATCATCTTAGTACATGGATATTTAGTAACATCAGTATTTTTTATAGGATTCAATATTACTTTACTAGGTTCCTCTTGTTCAATACTTTTCATGTTATGATCCGATTTACTTGAGAATTCATTATATTGGGAATTATATCCTTGTAAATTTCCCAACTCTTTTGGAATCATTTTTTTAAGAGATTCCAAAATCAAATCTTCATTAGGTTGCTCTGATGTCCAAGATATATCATGTAAAATTGTTACACTCTTTTTTCCTCCAGTTTCTAATATAGGACTCATTTCTTTTTTAGGTAAAGAAGTTGGAGCTTTAAATATGGATAATAATTTCACAGATATAAGCTCATAATATTGATTTCTTAAATAACGTCTTTTTTCAACCTTTTCAAATATATGATACCAAATAAATTGCCTACTTCGAATTTTGTGTAGTTCAAAACAATAGTAGTTCCAATTTTTATAATTTGAACACATTTTCGATGTATTTAATGGTAATTTTATAATTGGTTTCACAAAAGTCTTATCATCAATACGTATCTTCTTAGTTTCATTTTCATTTGAATCTAAATATGGTGGTGATAAAGATAGAATTGGAACTAACTTTGTTGTTGAATCCAGTGAATTATCTAGTTCAGTTTTGTTTATATCTAAGAGTACTCTTTTATTTCTACCTTTTAACCACTTTTTTAAATAATCTTCTATCTTGTGTTCCTGTTCTTGTCTATATTTTTGAATAATCTCTTTATTTTCTATCTTACTTCTTTTCAAACGATTTTTTATCAACCACCTTTCTACAACACCTTCTTTAGGAATAGGAGTAGTTGTAGACACAGACCTACTCCTTGATCTAAAAGGCTCTTTATGCTCATCTAACTCCTTTTTTTTCTGATGGGAAAAAAAAGGTAACTGAAATTGTCTTATATGAAGTACTTCATCTCTTATTTCTTTCTGTTCACTTGAATAAATATTTTGCTGTCTTTTTATTCTTTTCTGTAATTTCCACCTTTTTACATATTGTTTAAATGTTTTACTTAGAAGAACTATTTGAAAAAAACTGTTTAGTAATCTCCTTACTTTTATTTTATCTACCCTATTCTTTAGCTCCTTACTAGTTCTTATTATTTCTGAGATATCATCTGTAACTTCAAGTTTTCTAGAACGTATTATATTAGAGAGTATATTTTCATTATAACAATTCAAAGATCTTGAAACTCTTATCCTATTTCTATCTCCATTCCAGTTCATTATAGGATACAAGAAACGTTCTTTATATATATCCTTTTTGCTCTTCAAATTAAATATTACATATCTATTACTCTAAAATAAGATTATTATTTTTCTTTGAAATAGTAACCCCAAATAAATTTATTCTACCTTATAATCAGAAGGTACCTCGATAAATCCGACCAACTTAAGTAATTTATGTAATAAATTTAAAGGGATTAACTTGTACTACTTTGAATATATTCGCATATCTTCTTTTTTTTAAATAGTAGTAGGTAAAGTTTTAAAGTTTTAAATACTCAAAATGATGCAACTTTGCACCTGTTTCACACATCACTGGCGCTTTTTTTGGCGCTCATTATAGGAATAACTTTAGTAAAATAGGTATTAAAGTAGATAAGGTGATTAGCCCACAAATATTTTAAGAAATAAAGAAATATTAAACTAAGAATATCAAAATCTTTTATCTAAGCATTTTTGTTGCTACTAGATTTATTACTTAGTTGTATTCAAGAAAAAGAGCTGATCTAGACTTTTTATTTAAAGTAGAAGTGAGGGAGACAAAAAGAAAAAGTCGAAAAAAATTGCAAAATAGATGAATTGGTGTATTCCGTCATATTCCTTAATAACTTTAGGGTCTGCCCTTAAATTTATAATTGCAATTGGAGTTTATTTCAGTATATTATTACTTTGGAGCGTATATCGGGAAGTTTATAATGTTTTAGTTAACTCTCAAATCTCTAATTTAAATGAAGATGCAGGATTTATATCCTTTCAGAGTCCACTAATTGGTTATAAGACCTGCTATATTGGAATGGTTTTGAAACAAATATATATGATTCTCCTGGTATTGAGTCAAGTATTACTGTGCATAGTTGTATGGAATGTAATTTGTGCATCAAGTGCAGATATACTACCTTATTGGCCAGAAAGAGCTCAAGCTTACATAATATTATATTGCTCAGGTTTAATTTTAGCTTTTATTCGTTACTTTGCAGAACCTCAATTTAATTCATTTTTTATGCTCAGAGATTCTTTAAGAACTTGTTCATATATTAAATCAGCACCGAAAGATTCAGATATTTGGTTTTTTATTCACTGGATTAACAGTTTAAGAGGATTAGACAGACTAAAATCCTTAAAAGGCGATGTGACCAGTTTTAATCAGAATCTAAATTCCAAGTCTAAATGTACTCAATCCACAGAAAAAGAATTAAGTTATCTTAAATCTGTAAAACTTCCTCTACTTCCAGTATGTGTACATCCTGATGGAACTCGATATCTTTGTCACCATCAGGTAACTTATTGCTATGTTGAGACTAGAAATGAATTTGTCCGATTTGATCAAGATTGGGATTTTACAGAACTTGTTCAATATGGAATAGCAAATGGAGGATTATCAAGCAAAGAGGCACAAACATTACTACATCAAGTTGGAAGTAATGATATCAATTTAGAAATGCCTAGTAGATTAGAGGTTTTATGTAAGGAGTTACTACATCCTATAAATATCCTACGTTTAGGGAGTTTATGGCAAGGTGTATTTTTACGTTTTTATTTATGGTCATTTTTGTGGGCTTGTATGATTACTTCAACTATACTAGGGACGTTAAAGATTATTCAAAAAAATAGAGAAAGTATACAAAGAGCTCTTCAAAATTTTGTATATAGACCTGTAGAAGTTAAACGTGATGGAGTTTACAAAGTTATTCCTTCAAATGAATTAGTTCCAGGAGATCTTATTTTGTTACCAAATGGATTTGTTGCTCCTTGTGATATATATGTAATATCAGGATATGTATTAGTTAATGAAACCTATATGAGTGGTGAGACATCCCCTACGATAAAAACTCCCATAAATTTGGACTTTTCAGACAGTCCCAGTGATACAGATATTGATACTTTGACTGAATATAATAAAAAAGATATATTAAATGACAACTTTCTACTATGTAATGAAGGTTTGGGAACTCAAGAAGGAATTTCAGTATATTCTAATTCAAAAGAAAGTTTAAGAAGTTATAACAATAATAATACAAAAGTTCAAAGTAACTCATCTATATCTATAAAAAAGAATAAGACTAATAATCAATCTAAGTCCTCACTTTACTCATCACTACCTGAGCCTATATACACAGGTACTGAAATAATAAACTCTTTAGCCTCTCATAATTATAATGGAAGTGCTTTAGGAGTAGTATTTAAAACTGGAATATATTCAACTCATGGACAATTATTATACAAAATTTTATATGGAGATGAATCTGAAAGTTCACAAGATTCTTTGTTTTCTCATGTTGGGTATATCCGTAACTTTGTATCCTTCTGGTTTATTTCTATGTTTACTGCCTGCTGCCTTATATTATATCAAAATTATATTCTTGGTTGGAAGTTAGGGTCTTTTTTTTTTGCAGTTGGAACTTTTATTCAGCTTCTTCCTATATGGGCTCCAGCATGTATTCAATCTTCCTTAGATAGAAGCGTAAAGCGTTTGGATAAAATTCATGGTCTTACAAGCACAGTTCCATCTAGAATTCCCTTTGCTGGGAAGTTAAAAGTTATTTGTTTTGACAAAACAGGAACCTTAACTAACAGTAAGATGACTTTAATGGGGGTTGTCCCATTTTCTTTAAAATATGAATTATATTCATCCCCAAAATGGAACAACTCACAATTAATTTCTGAAGAGTACCATGATTCAATTGATTCTATAGATTTAGCAAAAATTCAACAAAAATCTGGGATATATTTACTAAAAAAAGAATATGATGGTGACATACAAAAAAATATAATGAACTTGAAATAAATACTGAACTATTATTATTTCAAACCGAAAACTTTTTAGATGATTCAAATATAAATAACAATAATTCAAATGAGGGTGGAATCAGTAAATTAGATAAAGATTCTTTCGATATAAAAGTTCATCCAGAACAAAGTTGGGAATCTTCTACCATATCATTTGATGAAGAGGATCCTTTAATTAGACATGAAGTTATTCCTAATTTGTCTAAAATGTATATGAAGATACCTCAAGCTATTTCAGTTAGCTCTCTTAGCTTTGATAGTATTTTTCTCTTAGGTATTACCTGTTGCCATACCCTTTCATACTATGAAACATCTGATAATAAGATCCAATATTATGGAAATGATATTGACAAAGCTCTTTTTATGAGTACTAATGCTGAACTAAAAATAAGGAATAACAGAAGATTTATAAAACCAAGTGGTTATAGCTGCTTGGAAAAACCATTAGATAATGAAGATTTTCCAATAGAAGTTGTTAAAATAAATAATTTCGATTGGCGTTATGCTTGTATGTCTGTAGTAGTGCATATGAGATTAGAAAATCGCTACTTTGTGTTCTGTAAAGGTTCACTAGAAGCATTATCACAAATAATTAAGCATAAAGAAGTTTTGAGCTCTGAAGAAATAAATATTTATAGCCATTTAGGCTATTATGTAATGGGTCTTGCATATAGAGAGATTACTGAACAAAATATAATAAATTTCCTTAAATATAAGACAAAATTTAATATCTCACGACGCATTTTAGAATCTGGACTGTCATTTCTTGGATATTTATTATTTCTAAATGAATTAAGACCTTCTGCAACAACCCTTATTCAAGGAATAAAGACTGCAGGAATCACACCAATAATGGTCACAGGTGATTCTGCCTATACTGCATTATCTGTTGCTAGGAAAGTTGGTATTATTTCACCCGGATCGTCAGTAGCAATTGGAGATGTCATTTCATCTATTTCATCACAAGAGGAGCAGGAAATTGTATGGTATACTGGGAATACTGGAAATGAGGAACGGATAGATCCTATTGATATTTATGAATCCTCTGATTATGATGCGCTTGTGGTAACTTCTAAAGCTTTAATAATATTGGCATCTGAAAAATATCAAGATCTACTCAGGTATAAATTAGAATCAACTTACATTTTAGATAATGAGGTCACTTCTCGACATATAAATAATTTATACGATAGAATTTTTGAACGCATAAAAATTTTTGCAAGAGTGACTCCAGATCAAAAATTAGCTATTGTCCAGAAGTATATTGAACGAGGTATCATTACTGGTATGGTTGGAGATGGAATTAATGACTGGCCTGCATTGAAATCAGCTCATGTCGGTATTGCAATCATAGGAAATATACCTAATGGTAAAGATCAACTAAGTCTAAATAATGTAAAAACAAGAACTGTCAATTCTTGTAATTTGGATAATATACAAACTTTATCTCCAATGACACTTGTATTTGCTTCATTTAATCTAAATGAAGAACATTTATTGAATATATTGGATCTTATTCGAGAAGGTAGGGCTGCCATGGTAACTACATTTGCCTTGTTTATGTTTATAGCATCTCAGGGCACCTATTATTCTATATTTAAAAACATTTTATTTGCAATCGCACAGGCAAATCTCCCAGTTATGACTTATGTATATATAGATAGCTTCATTGTTTTCCCTTCACTTCTATTTATGATTAGATCAAAACCAAAAAGGCATCTACAAGCATATCGTCCAACTGGAGCATTTTTGGGGTCAAGAACACTCTTATCTTTCCTTTGTTTATTAAGTATAAATCTATTCTTTTTCTTTAATATGATACGAAGATTATTTTCAATGCCTTGGATGGTTTTTTCATATTCTTATAATATTTCAATCCCTGTTCATGAATGGTATAGACGACAAGATAATTATGAAGCATCATCGACCTCTCTTTGGATGTGTTTTCAACTCTCTTTTGTTGCAATAATACTTTCTTTTGGTGGAAGGTTTAGGGAAAGAGTTACTAGAAATAAGTATTTGATATTATGGGTATTACTGTGTCATATTATATTGTGGTTCTTATTATTATCAGGTCCCAATAGTATAACATGTTTGTTTAGGGTTAATTGTTCAAATTATATAGACCAAATATCTTCATTAAAATTAACTGGTGGTAAGTTTCAAGGTCCAGGGAATCACAATATATTCCCTATTAGCTGGAAGTTTGAATTCCTCTTTTGGAACTATGCAAGTATTCTATGTATGACTCTGGCATATTGGCTAATTAGTTCCTATGTAAGAAAGGGGCAAAAGTCTACTTTGAGAAGGTACAATTAGATATTCTTAAGTAATTGGACTCATTAGTTACTAAATATACTTAAGTGTTATTCTTAGAGGAAATACTTAACTCTAGATATGAGGTGGAATTTGATTATTGTAAAGTTAATATTATAAGTGTTCTAAACTAAATAAACTTATATATATATAGTTTTCTGTAAATGAATATGAAGTCTATAACTATCTATCGTGTATTACCTTTTTAAAGTAATCCCTAATTGGGAAAGTAAATCGCAGGCCGCTAGAGGTTTCCATTCTTTATCAAGTTTCAAGTCATCCTTTGAATTGGAACTGTCAAAGTAAAATGGAACTCCATCATGGATATAAAATAGTACCTTATTTTTTTCAGGTTTTATGTTGAAGTACATAGAATTATTTGTAGTTATTAATTTATAGTAATCTATATATTCCATACAAAATATTTGCTTGCCATTAACCATCTTTCCTATACGAGGTTTAAATGATAGACCACATTCACCACAAACCCATTCAAGAGTATTACGTAATATAATATTACTTTGCTCAGCTTTGGACATTTCAAATATAAATGGTATATAAGTATCTTTGTGGTCAATCCATCTGTAGGTCTTGGATTTATCACTAGAAGATAATTCTGAATATTTATTAAGGTGAAAATCAATTAGAATCATTCCCTTAATAAGAAATGTCTTTACTATTGAAGATGAAAGTACTTGTTTAGGGATATTCATTTTCCAATATTTATACCATTCATATATTTTCAGCCATAATGATTTCCGTTTGTGAATATTTGCCTGCTCTAAATAACTGTACTTCCTAACTTCTTTCAAAGTTTGTAGTAAACAATTGATCCACTTAGGACCAATACATTCTGCATATAACTGTACAAAGGTATTGATAGACAATATTTCATTTTCAAACCAAGTCAAAATATATTGAATACATGAGTCATTAATTTGGATTTCAATAGAAATATCAAGGGATTCATTTAAATAAGTTTGAAGCTTTGGATATATTGAGTTGGACATTAATTTCTCAAATTCATTAAAGGAAGAATCCAGTATACAATCCATTTCTTGGTTAATTTCGGGTACTTCTAATATAGGACGCCAAATTTTTAGCATATAAATGGGCCATAAATCTGGTGGCTTCCATGTCTTTAATATTTCTGAAATTCTATTCATTATTGCCTTGGCTACTGTAGTAGCCATTCCAGTTTCATTATACAATGGTAACCATAATAGTAGCCATTTATATTCTATATTATTCTTTTTTATGTAATCATAAATATTATATTCTAAATCTCTCTTTTCAGTATATTCAATTTGGAGTTGTTCATAATGTCTTTTCCAAATGATCCCATTTAGCAATTTATTATTTATAAAATCTCTAGGAAGTAAATTGGACCATATTTCTAGTACAGATAATCCAACCTCACTACAATTTATAGGATCCCATGACATAAAGTATTGTTTTAGACCTTGTCCAACTGTATTAGTAACAAGACTATCATAATTTGATACATACTCACCAGAGTCATATTTCTCAGAATTAAGCAACTGAAAAATAGAATAAATTTCATGCCACAACTCTACACCATAATTTGGAGTAATTGATGGTTTCCAAAATTTAGTGTATATTTTTTCAAGATTACTCAATAATATGCATTCTATTATATTAAAGAAGGGTAGATAAGACATCGTTACTTTTAAGCATATAGAATCTTTGTAGTTCTCAAAGTAGCTCTTGCAAGATTTATTAAAGTTCAAAATAGAATTTTCGAAAGATTTTAAAAATTTTACATGATCTTCCATAGAGAGTTCAATTCTCTCACTATTATTATTTGTAAATAAACTATCAGCAGTAAAATAATATTCCTCAATTAAAACCATCTCGTGTTCAAGACATTTGAAAATCTCATATAATGATTTAGTCATTACTTCAACTTCTCTTAAAATACTGAGCCTATTTGTTAATTTATTATAATCATTGAGACAATTTTTAAGTTGTTCTTCAGTTTCAAATAATAGATTTTTTAAATGATCATTTTCGTTTGAGAGTTGCTTCTTTATGTCACAAAGTGCTCTTGATGTATCACTAAATATAGAACAATTGCATATATCTATATCGTCAAATTGACTAATATCATCAATATCTTTAGTATCTGTACTAATATCTACCAATTTGACGCGTTTAATATTAGTCTGATTGTCAGTGTTGCTCGTTTTATTAGGAGTATCACTTCCCAAATGTAGATTTGACCCTTCTAATATACCTAGACCCTGATTTTTTGATCTGATATTTACTGTAAGTGGTTCTGTCATACCTGAACCATCTATTCCCAGACCTCCTCCAGAAAATCCCATCCTTTTAATAAGGTCATACCCCTTCCCATACTTCTTCTTCAAAGTCACACTTTCCTTCACAAAAGTCCGCCTTTCAGCCATATTTGGAGAATATTTAGGCAATTCATTGTCCATATTCACTATATTCTTATGTGAGGTTCATTTATATTTGAATATTTAAAAGATTAGCATTACTCCTTTTCAGTTTACAGCCAATTCTTAGATAAGACCTAGCTCCTACCGCCCAATAGGGTAATGAATATAAAGAGTATCAACATGTAGATATTATTTTCATACTATTTGTTTTCTCCGAAAGTTTATAAAATTGAGTTTATTTTCATTATACTAATTAGAAATAGAGGTATAATTTATGTACATATTCAAAGTTTATAGTAATGTTGCAAAAATTAGCTAATATATTGTATGTATCCCTAGAAAGATAAGGAAGTATAGTGAAGCGAAAAAATGTTTCTTTATTCTATAATTGCTTACACTTCAATAAATAGTTTGTGTTTTTAAAACAAAATAATACATCTAAGAATTAATTTCTCACTCATATTTACCCGCTCATATAAAAAATAATCTTGGCGGCGTCTCTTATCTGCTACTAATTACAAGGAGACACAATACTAAAAATGTCGCCTAGAGACAACAGACAAATAAGAGCGGATAAAATATATACCTAAATGTAGCAAGAAAGAATGTAGAAACAAAATTAGCGCCTACAGGGACAGTTATTTGTAATATTAAAAAATTTATTAACGTTGAAATTCTCCTTTTGTTTTGACCTTCTTTGACTAGCAATAGAGAATGAAGTTAAATATTGCGAATCCTACGACTGGATTACAGAAGTGTATCGAAATTGATGATGAAAAACGCTTATTACCTTTATTTGAAAGAAGAATTGGTGCAGAAGTAGAGTGTAGCTTCTTGGGTGATGAGTTTAAAGGGTATACATTGAAAATTACGGGTGGAAATGACAAGCAGGGATTTCCAATGATGCAAGGTGTTTTGACGAATGGCCGTGTTCGTTTATTATTTAAGAAGGGAATGAAGTGCTACCGTCCTCGTCGCACTGGTCAGCAAAAGAGAAAGTCAGTTCGTGGCTGCATTGTAGGACATGATTTATCTGTATTAAATTTAGTTGTTGTAGAGAAGGGTGAACAAGATATACCAGGTTTAACAGATAGTGAAAAACCAAGACGTTTAGGTCCAAAAAGAGCATCTAAGATTAGAAAACTCTTTAATTTGGCTAAATCTGATGATGTACGTAAGCATGTTATTAGGAGAGTAATTGAGGGGAAGAACAAATCAAAAGCTCCAAAGATTCAACGTTTAGTAACAAGGGAAAGGCTTCAAAGAAAACAAAGATACATTAAGACTTTAAAGAAACGTTCTGCCAATGCTATTGCTGCAAAGAATGAATATGCTGCATTACTTTCAAAAATTAAAGCCAGTCGAGATGTAACAACTCATTAAGGATATAACACAGGCAGTGCAGAGTATAAACTGTTGCGGATTTACTTTATGTAGTAACATTATTTATCTTTAAATAGCTAACCATATGACTCTTTGCCCAGTTTTAATTCCATCTTAAGGGTAGGGTACCTGTAATTTTACTGAACCTAGTCTTTGTTTCTAAAATATTATCTTCTTTTACTATCTCTATTTATTCCTTTTTTTATAAAACCTGTTCTTGGTTCATTTTCATTATATTTATATAATTAGTTATTTAAATAAATTCTAAGCTTAAACTTAGGCTAACTGCTAACATATTCTAGCTAGAATATAACTAGATTTATAGCGCCCTGGGGCGGTCTATTTTTGCATGCATATTGAAAAAGTACTTAGAACTAAAGAGATTTTCAGACTTTCAAAAAAATAGTGAAAGTTCAAATCAGCTCAAGATGAGCTTTAGTGTGCAATTTTTACATATAATATATCTGATATATCTATTATTTGCAAATTTTAACTCTTGCAAAAGTCTGAAATCTGAAATATCAAAAAAGTTACAAGCTCATTCTATAATTGACAAAGCATATGCATCTGAAGCATTTTTAGCTAGCTTTAGTAATAAAAAAAAACGATGGTCACGAAATTTAACAAATGAGGACCTAATAAAAGAAGGTGCATCATTAGAATCATTTTCTTCATTAGGCAAGTTATCCCCAGATACTGAAATAGATTATTTTACTGCGGAAAATGGAATCAGTATTCTATTAATATCTGATAAGGGATCTAGAGAAGCTGCATTTGCATATTCTATTGGTTGTGGTTTTTATCAAGATCCAGATAACTTACCTGGTTTGGCACACCTAATGGAACATGTGACATTTTTAGGGAGTGAACAACACCCAAATGCTACAGAATGGGATGAATTTCTATCAACAAATGGAGGTATTGCAAATGCATATACAACGTCTGATTTAACAGTTTATTATGTTTTATCTCCTCCAAGAAAGCTAAAATTAATATTGGATTACTTTACTACTATGTTAAAGTCACCAATTATGGATGAAAAAACTGTTACTGCGGAAATAAATGCAGTAAATCAAGAACATGAAAAGAATATACCCAACATAATTAGACTAATGCTAGAATTAGCATTATTTCAAGCTCCTCAAAATAGTCCAGCTAGGAAGTTTGGTACTGGGAATTTTGATACATTATTTAAAAATCCTAAAGAAAAAAACATTAATGTAACAGCAGCTCTAAAGGAGTTACATAATTCTTGTTATACTAGTGATAATATATCTCTTGTAGTCAAAGGTCCTTATAATTTATCTATACTTAAAGAGATAGCTGAACAAGCAGTAAATGTGATACCAAGTTCAAAGGCTACAGCAGGTATTGCAACTGTAGAGGGTAGAACATCATCTCGTTCTTATTCTTCGACTAAAATAGATAATTCAGTAATTAAACCAAGTGATTTCAATAATATCGGATCTTCTACTGTAGATAGTTTAGGTGAATTGGAGAAAATAATTCATGAAGAACCTGTTGTCTCTAAATTAATCAAAATTAAAAGAGGGAATTCTTCACCCCCATTAATTATGATATATTGGCCTGATGAATCTAATTCAATGACTTTAATGCATGAAAGTGCTGAGTGGCAAATATTTTCATTTATTAAATATTATATAGAAAATAAAGGTGGAAATTCGCTTTATACACAACTTTATAATAAAGGACTTGCTCATAAAATAGAATTTTTTGATCATATAACAACTAAATATTCAATTATTGGTATTTTAATAACAGCTAGTGATACTAATGATGAAACTACTCAGAAAATAGCTGATCTAGTTACAAATTATATGGATATTTTAAGCAATAAAGTAAAAAATGAAGATAATTGGTTAAATTCATTTTATCAGAATTATACAAAAATGGCTAATATAGACTTCAAATATGAAGAAACTCGAAATACAGCTGAATTAGTATCACAATCAGCAGAAAACTTGTTGATGTTTCCTAAAGAACCTGAAATTGCAATTTCTGCATATCATACTCCAAATAAATTTCTTAGTAAAAATAACTTAAGCGAAATACAAAAAAAAGTCTTGATATCTTTAGTAGATACTTTAACTCCAAATAGAGCCTCAATTATCAAACTTTCAGATGAAGATTTTTCTTTAAAAAGTTCTGAAGAGATCAAATCTTTTGATCCATATGATATAAATTATACATTACAAGATCTTCATATATCACCATCATCTATAAATGAACTAGAAAGTATGAATATAGATGAAATTTTATCTTGTGTGCCAAAAAATCTTTCTATTATTAATTTAAATGAAACGAGTTGTCCTTCTTATCAAGAAAATGGAAGAACTGTTAATGGAACCAAAATTTTATCTGTATATGAACCTTGTTGTATATATAAAGATGAAAAATTAACTATATTTTGGAAAGGACCTATACACAAGGTTCCAGCTATTCACTTAACCTTTGTACAACGGCTAGCCAGTAGTTTTATAAATAATAATATATCTGGTATTATATATGCAAAAATACATGCTATAGTTATGGATAAAAGATATCAAGAGGTTATAGCACCTTTCTCTGCATGTGGTGCTACAACCATAACAGATTTTAATAGAGGTAGATTCATAACTGCTATAGATGCATATAGTTCAAATTTTGAAAATATTATAGATGGAATAAAAAATTCTTATCCATTTGGAAATAAAAAACCTACAGAGATTGAATTTAATAAGGCATTATCTAATTTTAAATCTCAAATTTCAAGTTTTAGCGATGTATTAGCATATGAAGTAGGGATAGATATTGCAAGTAGTATCTATTTATCAAATTATTATTCTAAAATTGAACTTAGAGATGCTGTTTTAAAATTAAATATTAATTATTTGGATTATTTACATCATATAGATGAAAACTTTTCAGAAGGATATGTAGATGCATTAATTGTTGGTAATATTGACTCTATAAATTCACATGAATATGTTAAATCAATATATGATCATGCAATACAAAAACCTATAAGCTATGAAGAATGTGTACATGATGGAGTATTAGATTTACCTGCAGATATTATAGTTACAGCCAAAAATCCTATTTCTTCTGATTATAATAATGCAATTGTTGCAAATTTTTTGACACCCCCTGTAGATCTATTAGATACATCAATATATTCAACTATTGGAGAATTAATTAGTGTACCATTTTATGATACTGTAAGAACATCTTGGCAGGATGGATATGTAGCATTTGCAGGTGTATCAATAGCAACTCCATCAATGGTTTTAGTAGGAGCAGTACAAAGTGCAGATAGAAGTCTTAATACATTAGAGTGCCATATTTTTGATGCACTTAAAAAAATTTTTCATTCCTTAAAAAAACAATTTGATTCAGAACAAAGTTTAATAGATTTTCATAAAAGAGTTAAATGGTTTGGACCTGCATCTCAATCTGTTCAAAAATTAGAAACATTAAGTTCTTATGTAGCTTATTTTTCCAAAATGATAATCAGTCATGAAATTTGTTTTTATAAGGGTGATCTTATAGAAACAGCTACTGATATATTTTTAAAAAAACCAATATTTACATCTGAAAAATTAGGTTCTTTAATTGAACCTTCAAAAAATAGAAGATTAGTTATAGTACAATTAGAAGGACAAAGTGACGATGCAATTTCAAGTACATCTATTCTTTCTAATTCCTTAATTTCAGATACAAATCAAAGAATATCATCAAATCAGATTGCTCCACCTCCAACAGATGAGCAATGTCATGATATTTTAAATGAACAATTAAGTTCAGTAATTAAAATTAAATTAGAAGAAAAATCTCAGATACTAAATCTAAATTTAAATGGTAAGCTTAGGGCCACAAGAAGTCAGCTTAATTATTCTAAAAACCAAAATTATTCAATTTATAATGATAAATTTCAGTGTTCTGTAAGAATAAATAATGCAAAAGATGCCAGTGGAACTTCAGATAAGGAAATTAAATCTTTAATGAATATATTTATGTCAAAACGTTTCAGCTCTTTGCATAATATAAAAGAAAATGAATATATCAATTCAGTTCAAAATATTTTACGCGAAAAAAAGTCAAACAATGAAAACCTTTATATTAGATGTAAAGATAATTATTCAAATAAACATACATATTGTGGTTGCAAAGGATAATATTCAAAATTGAGAATATTTTGTAATCTAAATAATTAAATTAGGTTTTTTTTTCTTGTAACCAATTTTATTATTGCTTCTAATCTATTAGTGTTAAAAAAAATAATATGTATTTTTTGAGTACTATGATAAGTTTTTGAACCACTAAATTTCAATAATTATTATTTACTGGAGGTTAGTATTCTAATATTTTTGGCTTGGCTCTGGAGGTTCTTAGGAAATTTCTTTTTTTTTTCTTTTCTTTTTTTTTAAAATTTCATTCATCATAAAAAAGGTATTTAGATATTATTATTTAAATTAATAATGAATGCAAATGTCTGGAAGTCTTAAGATAAATATTCCAAGCCACTTTTGTTACCTATTACTTTCTGAATCAAAAAAAAAAGCTAGTTATATTGGATATACTGTCAATCCAGTTCGAAGGCTTAGACAACACAATGGTGAAATTAAGAAAGGTGCTAAAAAAACTAAAAGTGGAATTCCATGGTATATGGCAATTTGTATAGATGGATTCCCAAATAGAATTGCAGCTTTAAGATTTGAGTGGGTTTGGCAACATCCTCATATTTGTAAGGCAACTCGTTCTCAGATAATAGTTTGGGGAATTACTAAAGTTTCAAAAAAATCTGGGAAGTTTATTTTAAATAGGAAACAATGGAGTGTTCAACAGCGTATTGGAATACTGTTATGTATGGTATCTATTGAGCCTTGGTGCAAAATGAATTTAAGTATTTATATAATGGATAGAAATTCCACAGATATAATTATAAATTGGATTGATATCTTCTCTAAAATAGTTCCTACAAAATTTATACTTTTTGATATACCTAATTTGGGAGAATTTAAGTGTTTTTTACGTATATGTAATGATTCAAATAGTGGCTCTAATACTGAATTTTTCCAAATAAATTTTGACATACTAAAAAATAAACAAGTATCAATATCTGATAGTGAAAGTGATTTTGATATACCCAATAATAATTTTATTTTACAAATAGAGGAAAATAAGATAAATTGTATTCTATGCAATCTTGAAATAGAATTTAATCGGAAATTCATAGTATTTCCTTGTTGTGATGATTCTTTTGTTCATATATCATGTATATCTAAATGGGATGAAAATTTAAATGATCAGGATTCTAAAATATCTTTAATACCAAAAAGAGTATCTTGTCCAGTTTGTTTTGAGTCTTATAATTGGCTTGATATAGTCACAAATAATGTTAAAGTTTCAGATATTTTATCTAATACTAAAGATCATCAGGAAGATAAACAAGAAATACCTCACAAATTTGAATCTAATTATACTTATACTAAATGTGATACTGAAAAAAATTGTACTAACTTTATATCTGAAACTTGTATTGCTAATTCTATGGATATTTTTAATGATTTTGGAGTAGATTATAATATTGAAGATTGTTCATCAAAATTTGATTTTATAGATTTAACTGTGGATTCAGATTAAGCATGAACTTACAGATATTTATTACTTTTAGCAATAGTGATATTTTTATTAAATCAATTTTTATTTAATAAATATAATAATAAATCCATCTTTATATAATATTAACTTTATCACTTTTATAAATAAAATTTTAATATATAATTGTCAACTTTTTTTTTTAATAATATATTTAATAATTCGAATATGTTATTAAATTGACTATATTAATATAATGTATATTAATAGATGTTTTATTTGGTATTTATATTGATTCCATATAAGAATTAAAATTAAAGCTTCAGTTCCTTTTCTTTTTTTTCTTTTTCTCCTTCATTATACAGAATTTTTGCATATACAAAGTGTTTTTGTATTATCCAATATATCTAAATATAATATTAAATACTAATATTAATGTCTTCTAATAATTTCTAGATGTCTCTTATTTGCAATATTTATGTATTTAATATTTAAAGAAATTATGTATTTATCTAATACTATAATTAATCAAAATATCTATATCTATATAAAATAACACCATTATATTTTTATATATTTAAACTTCTAAACATTTATGAGATTTAAAAAGTTTTAGGGGAATGAATTTTATCAGTTTTTTATTACATTACATGCAAATAGTTATAACAACGGTATATAATTTTTTGGTGCATTGTTAATTTGTTTTTTTTCCAAAAATATAATTAGGGTAGATAGTAATTAATATTATCATAAAATAAATCATAAATTTACCGCTAGCGGTAAAATATATATTTTATTAAAATTATTTATTAAATAGGAATTTTAACAAACTATTTAAATTAATTTTGATGAATACAAATAATTTAGATACATGTCCATATAAAGTTATACTTGGATCTACATCTGAAAGTCGCAAAGTTATATTAAAAAAAGCAGGTGTGAATATTTCAGATTATATATCAGCTGATATTGATGAAAGAAGTATTAATGGAGATTCTCCGCAAGAACTAGTTTTAAAATTATCCCATGCTAAACTTAAAGCAGTATTAAAGAAATCAGATAATATATTAAATAGCAATAATAAAGGTTTAATGAGTAAAGTATTAGTTATATGTGCTGATTCAATAGCATATAAAGATGGAGAAATTAGGAATAAACCAGTGGATAATGAAGAAAAAAGACAATTTCTTAAATCATATAGTAATAGTTATGTAGATGTTGTTTCTGGAATAGCTATATATAATAATGTCTCAAATTCGATTATTGACACTGTTGTTACTTCAAGAGTATATTTTAAAATAATACCACAATATGTAATAGAAAATGCTGTTTTATATTCTAAAATAATAGGGAACACTTGTGGTGGTTTTGCTATTGATTGTCCTATATTAGAAGATTATGTAGATCATATTGAGGGTGATCATGACAATATTATGGGAATATCTTCTATAGAAACTAAGAGATTAATTGAACTCTCAATTAAACAAGCTAAATAATAATTAAAATATTAGTTTATTAGTTTATAAATTTTTTTTTTTCTTAAAAAGAGATACTTTACACATTATAAATTTGTATATAATTTCTAGGGATTTATTTGATCTCTAGTTTTTTTTAATTCATTTGCTTCATGTAGTAACCATGTTATCTATATTAAAATAGGGTTTATAAATATATTGTAATAAAGATGAGGGTTTATTTAGACATACCTGATGTTTTCGTTTTTGATTTATATTAGGTCTCCAAACGAATGAATTTCTTGTTTGTCTATTATTTGATTCATCTTTCAAGTTTTTAGTTGCAGAAGTTGTATATAAATCTTGTTGTTTAATACATTTAATATTGTCCCTTAAATCAGCTTCCATAAAATGTATCATATGTTTATTTTTCTTACTAACTTTCTTAGTTTTTTTAGTTTTATTGCAATTTTTTTCTGAATTTATATTTATATTTAAAAATAGATTATTTTCATATTTATTATTATTTATGGCTTCATCTCTAGATTCTATATTATAAATGGCATCATTATTATATTTATGATTTAATATTTCCTTTGGCTCTATACTTTCTATCTTAATATTAGTATCTATAGTATCATTTATATCTTCATCAGAATTATAACCAGTTAAGACTTTATCCATACTATAAAATTCCTTAATAGTAATAAAATTCTAGGTAAGTATTAAGATGCAAGCGGTATTGTGTACACTAACGGGGAAAAAAATTAACTTTAACTACTAATTTACATAACAAAGCTGTCAAAAATAATACATCTAACTATTAATGACTATACACCATTATTATTACTACAATTACTATACTACTACTATTATTATCATTACTATTATTATTAATATTAATACATGGATCTAACCACATTTCCCACCACCACATCCACCTGTTGCAATAAAAGATTCACCTGATCTCCTAGTAATACTTAAGTCTGAAAATACTTCTGCATCAGTGGGATGTATGCCAATCATAGAGTCAAAATCACTTTTTTTAGTACCAAGTTTAATTGCTAAAGAAAAACCTTGAGTTATTTCTCCAGCATTAAGACCAACAAAGTGAAATCCAATAACTTTATTATCCAAACTTTTAACTGTAATAAGCTTAGCAAATGAATTTGGTGACATATAAAAATCACCACTATCCATTCTACTTGACTCAACTTTATAACGATGTGATGCTGCTATTTCTAATGTAGTAAATTCAAATAGATATTCTTCTATGTCATCTTCACCATATTCTGCAATAGCAGCTTCTGAAGAATAACCAATAGAACCATATTCTATTGGTGTAAAAATAGTTGTAGGTATATATTTATAATCAATAAATTCTTTAGAATTTCCAAAAAGACGTCTTGCTAATAAAATGCCTGCCTTAATTGCTACTGGGGTTAATTCAGGACGTCCATCAACAACATCACCAATTGCATGAATATTTGGAATGTTAGTTGTATCATTAGGAGCAATAATTTTATTATTTGATGTAAGATGTACCCCTATTTCATTAAGTTTTAAATATTTAGTATCTGGATATCTTCCTGTTGCATAAATTACTGTATCAAATTGTTCTGTATAACCATTACTAAATACAACTTTTAATTCATCATCAATCTTCTCAATATTTATAGGTACAACACCTTCAAGAAATCTAGTACCATATTCTTTCATCATAGAAACAACTTTTTCAGAACACTGACGATCAAAACCACGTAAAGGAATTGAACGAACAGCTACAATAGCTTCAAATCCTAATTCTGTCAAGAATCCAGCTGTTTCAAGTCCTATATATGATGCTCCTACAATTAAAGTTTTACCAGGAGGTTTAGAAAGAGAAAATATATCATCTGATGTTATAGCATATTCTAAAGCACCAGGAACACTTTCAGAAATATTAGGCCTCCCTCCAACAGCAATTAATATATGTTCTGTAGTATATTTCATTATTTCATTGTTTCTTTTAAATAATACAGTATGTCTATCCTCTAAATTAGCTAAAGAATTAATATATTCAACTCCTGAGCTAAATAATCCACTTCTATATGAAAAATTAAGAGATTTTACATGATTTTGAACTGTTTGTATTAAATTACTCCATCTGAAAGTTGATGTAACTTCAAATCCATAATTAGAAGTATCATGATGTAATATAGTACCTATATTAGCTGCATAATGTATTAACTTCTTTGGAACACATCCAACATTAACACATGTACCACCAAGACCCCATTTTGTACCTTGAGTTGATGGTTTGACATAATCAAATAGTGCAACTTTTTTTCCAAGTCTTGCAGCTTCCTTAGCAGCAGCTAAACCACCAGAACCCCCTCCAATAACAATTAAGTCGTACATAAATGATAGGTGGACAGCTGATGCTTTAGACATTAACAATAAGTTTAAGGAAATAAAAAAAGTAGGAAATAAGAGAATTTCTGTCTACAACTAAAAAGTTCATCAATTATATTAATATAAATTATAAGGTAACTTTAACTTATAAATATCCACGTATATATTACCGCCCTAAAGATGTATTAATTTTTTGAGACACTTAACAAGATGTTTCGATGGTTTTTCTTTTTTCCTTTTCTCTTTAAATTAGAAATTATTTATCTAAAATATTTATAGTATATAAATATATTAAATATTTCTTTGATTTATTTTAATAGTTTATTTTTGAAGGGAGGGTTTTATACGGAAAATTAATATAAATATCTGAAAATTATAATCATATAATAATTACAATTATAATTAAAATTATACCTGTTCAATTACTGTAATTAGTAAATATCTATTCTTTATAAATTGTTTAGTGTAAAATTACAGAGCTCTTATTCTAAATAATTTGTTTTAATTAAGGGATGTATTTTATAAACTTTCAATAATTTAGATATTAACTGTAAAATTAAAAAAAGACTAAATAAGAATAATCTACATAATAAGATTTTAAGTAATATGTTTAAATGGAATATTCAAATACATTTATTAAAGAAATTATTTTCTATAATTATATTTGTTTAAAATTTTATATACTATAAAGTTAAAGTTAAATAATCATATCTACCAAAATATTTACTTTCTATTATTCTAAACATGGTTATATTATCAATATTAAAATATATACAAATTTATTATAGTAGCACTTTACAATATAATTATATTACAAATAATAATATAACACTTATAATTAGTGTAAACAAGTATTAAAACGAAATAATTTAGTTTTAATAAAATTATAATACCGCATTTGATACAATAAAAATATTATCATTTTTATTTATAAGCTGTTTTCTTTAAATATTAAATTATATATTACTAATGTATTACTCTCTATATATAAATAATAAGAATGGAAGCTTAATATACCAAAAAGTTAGCTTAATATTGGGATTTATTATTAATCTTAATAGGTGATTATATATAATTTATTTCTTTTTTTTAAATCTTTTAGGATTTTACTGATATCCTATTAACTGCAAATGATAGAATTCGTCTTGCTTCAACATTTCATGGATTATGTACAATAGCAAGACAGTTATCACCAACTAAGTCACTTAAACAATTTAATATGAATAATGAGGGTGGTATAAATATGATAATGACAGATTTATTTAGATTGGAATGTTTTGAAACTATGACAGGTATGAATATTTAGATATGAATAAAATTATTAATTATATTATTATATTAATTATATGATATGACTTAATAAAATATTTAGGTTTAAGATTTTTCATAGTAGCTAGTCCTTCTACTCAGGGTATTCAAACTATATTAAAGAAAGTTTATGAAGCTTATACAGATTATGTTTTAAAGAATCCTTTTCATGATCTTGATATGCCTATTCGTTGTTACATGTTTGAGAAGGAGATTAATAGGATATTTTCATAAAGTAGGGTTCTTAAGAAATTTAGAAATGAATATATAATATTTATTATTTAATAATTATATGTAATATATAGTATTAATTATACTTATAATATATATTTAAAAGTATAATAGAGGACTTTATTATAATATTTGTATAAGTATAATAAAATATTGGGATAATAGCAAAATTTATTATTATAAGAAGAAATGAAATATAAATATTTAAAATAATATAAGGAAATATACTTTATAAAATCTAGAATATTAATAATTAATTGTATGAATTATAGAAAGAAAAGAGAAAAATAAAAAGAAGAAAAAATAGTGAATATTTTAGCCCATATATTTTACTTTCTATTGTCTCGTTTTCGCGCCAACATCTCCCCCATAATCTAACAACTTGACAGGTACCGGAGTTGCATGCAGATATAGTAGAAAGTATCCTTTGTAATTGCATTGCATATTTTATATGCATAAATAGGAGGAATAAGAGAAATTAAGGAGTCTCTAGCTGTATATTAATTATCATTAGAAATTAAGAATAATGATAGGATTAGAATCAAATGATCAAATAGATTCAGAATATAATGAGAAATCAACAAAATTAATGAATGGAATAAATGAAAATAATCAAATTGAGACATTAAAAAAACAGACTAGAGTAATATCAATTGAAAATGATTCTAATTTAAGAAAAGAATGGAATAATTCAAAGGAAAAGTCTGGTAATAAAATGAATACAACGAATACTTCAAATATTAATTGTACAAATCAAAGTATGTTAAATACAAAAACTACATCTACAACTGCTTCATCCTTATCTTCTATATCATCATTTCCTCAACTTCATAATCATTGGTGTATACCTTCTAGATATCAGGTTCGTCATTTAATTGGTACAGGATCTTATGGTCATGTTTGTGAAGCTTATGATACTATGGAGAATCGTCTAGTTGCAATTAAAAAAATTCATAGAGTTTTTGAAGATTTAGTAGATTGTAAAAGAATTCTTAGAGAAATTGCATTATTAAATAGATTAAATCATGACAATATTGTGAAAGTGTTGGATATTTGTGTTCCTGATAATTTACTTACTTTTGATGAGATATATTTAGTATTGGAGATAGCAGATAGTGACTTCAAGAAATTATTTAGAACTCCGGTATATTTGACAGAGCTTCATGTAAAGACTCTGCTTTATAATTTATTAGTTGGTCTTAAATATATTCATTCAGCAGGAATATATCATAGAGATTTAAAACCTGCTAATTGCCTAGTTAATCAAGATTGTGGAGTAAAGATTTGTGATTTCGGATTAGCTAGAACAGTAAGATCACAAGAAAATCTAATTTCAAAATATAATTGTGTTGATAATAAAGGAAATTCAAATGGTAATGATAATTACAGACCAGCAGGACGTTATTTAAAACGGCAATTAACTGGGCATGTAGTTACTAGATGGTACCGTGCACCAGAATTAATTTTACTACAAGAAAATTATACAGAAGCTATTGATATGTGGAGTGTTGGTTGTATTTTTGCAGAATTATTAAATATGTTAAAAGAAAATGTTGCATATTATAGTGACAGAAGTCCACTATTTCCTGGAAGTAGTTGTTTTCCTTTATCTCCAGATAATAAACATCAAGGTGAAGATTATCGTTTTAAAATAAGAGGGAATAGAGATCAATTAAATATGATCTTTAATATTTTAGGATCTCCAAAAGAGGAGGATATTGATATATTAGAAAAGGAAGATGCCAAAAGATATATCAGGATTTTTCATAAGCGCTCAGGTATTGATATGCATGCTAGATTTCCTGGAGCATCAAATTTAGCTATTGACTTATTGAAAAAGATGTTAGTATTTAATCCAATTAAAAGAATAACTGTTGAAGAAGCTCTTTGTCATTCCTTTTTTAAGAATATACGTAATGAGAAATTGGAAGTAATTTCTAATGAAAAAGTGACTTTACCTTTTGATGATTGGAATGTAATGACAGAAAAAGAATTACGATATTATTTTCTTAAGGAGATTCAACTCTATTCTCCAAACTTAATTATTCCTGGATCATTGATAATAGAAAACAATATAATACCATAATAGGTAGCAAATTTTGGTATTTAATTTGAGTATATATAAATAGATATGATTTTAAAGGGCGCCAGATATTTCTTGACATTGGTAAAGATCGCAATATTTATATATATTTGGTTTATATCTATAAATTAAAAAAAAATAATTATAAATTTGGATGAGAATAAGTGATATTACTGTTGGATAATCTTAAATAATAATCTATATAACATTGTGCAGCTTAAATATATCATTTATATATTTTGGACATGATAGTTATTTATAACTACAACCGCTAAAATAATTGCAATACAATAATTCGATCATGTCAATATACAGTGAAATAAATATAAATTATATGATGGCATTACTAATTCACGCGTTGCATTTGAAAGTGATGGAATTTGTGTGCTTTATAAAACTACTAGGATTTGCAAAATATATGTATATATCTTATAATGGAAGAAAGATCAGAACAATTATGTGTAGATGTAAAAAAGAGGAAGCCATTCAAAAGAATTACAACATTTCTAAAACAATTAGCAAATATACAACCTGAAATTGTAGAGTTTGTTGCAACAAAATTTGGAATATTTGGTGGTATTGTATATGAGAATCCTTGGTGGTTTATATTGGGATCTATTTTAATTACATTGATTTGTTGTATTGGATTTATTCCAGGTATCCCTAAATGGGTCGATTCTGCTGAACAATTGTACTCTTTACCTTATAGTTTAGCTAGAGATCATGGAATATTACATACTAAATTATTTAGTAATATACAGAGTAGAACTCAATTGATTATAGTTACATCAAACACACCAGGAGAGAATGTTTTAACATGGGAATTTTTAGAGATAGTTTCTCATATAAATAAATTGGTAAGGGGAGAAAGTTTAGATGCAGTTGGTGGTCGTAGAGTTGGTGTTAATATTGATTCACGCTTATTAGGTTCAAATCAGAATACAAAACTTAATAGTGAAGTTGATACAGATCCATTTCATTTACCAAATGATGTATTTTTGACATATAATGATATTTGTACAAGGACCTCATTTGAAACATGCTCAGTTCAAAGTGTAATTGAGGCTGGTATATTGGATATGAAAGCTTTATTAAATGGTAAACCACCTGAATTATATATGTTAGGAGGTTTTGTATTTAATCTTCGAAAACAAGCATTTCTTCCAGATTATATACTGGGGAAGATGAAGACAATTCCATGTATAAGAACATTACCAACTGATTTAGTATCTAAAATATTACATCCAGAACTTCTAATGCCTTCTGAAAAAGGTCCAGGATTTTCAGATGTACAAATAGACTGTATTATAAGTGCTGAAGCTTTTCTAATGGCATATGAGATATTTGATGATAAGACAGATGCAAATATGATTAGAAATATGATGTGGGAACAGGCCCTAATTAATATTTTAAAGGAAAATAGGGATTGGGGACGTGCAAGATTATCATTCAGTGCATTTAGAAGTCGTGATGATGAATTGAAAGCATCTACATCTGAAAATTCTGATATATTACTGGTTGGTCTCACGTTTGCATTATTATTCTTTTATGTTGGAAGTGCTAATTTCAGTTTTGATTTGTACAAGATGAAAACATATAGTGGACTTGCAGGATTATTTGCAGCACTGTTAGGATTAGCTTCTGGTATGGGATTAATGTCAATATGTGGAGTATCTTTTGTTCCAACCGTTTTAGTTACTCCATTTTTGATCATGGGAGCAGCTGTTAATTATCTTTTTGTAATAGTTAATGCATATTCAACTGGGTATACAATAACAAGTACTAAAGAACGTTGTATGCTGACTTTACAAGATAGTGTGATTGGGATTTCAATTACAATGTGTACAGGCCTTGTATCATTTTCAATAGGAGCTGTAGGAGAACCCTATATGTCAATAAGGAATTTTTGTATTTTTTCTGCAGCTTCCATCATATTTACTTATATTTATGTCTTTATATTTATGTTTCCAGTTCTTTGTCTTGATGCTAAACGTGAGAGCATAAGACGATTGCACTTTTTCAAAGTTCCAAAATTGACTGATGCAGATATTTGGGCAAAAAAAGAAGCCTTAGAAGGAAGATCCTTACCTATTGATAAGGCAACTTCATTTGCAATTGTTAGTTATAATTTATCGAGAATTCTAGATGAGTATAATATTAAACTATATCCAGTAAAAGATTCTGATTATTATAACAAATCTTTAACTCAAAGAATTATAAAAAGTTTATTTCATTTACCTATGAAGCAGAATCATCTTATATTAGATCAGAATAAAATTGATACATCAACTAATGAAAGTCAAATTATATCATCAAGCTATACAGATTGTAGTAATATTTCACAGAAATTTTATGAAAATAGATTAATAACAAGAGAGTTAGAATATGAACAAGACTCTTCTAGAAATGAAATTTTTACTGAGGACTTATCTTGTTATAACCAGGTTTCAAATATAGAACATTTATTACAAACTCTTTTGGTTGAACCTCCAGGAACTGTTGGTAGATCAACGAGGCGTATAATGCTTCATACAATTGGACCTTTAATGGCAACACCTTTAGTAAAGTTTGCAGTTTTGATATTATGGATAACTTTTTTATCTGTATCTATATATGGTTTTACAAAGATGGAAAGTGGCCTTGATCTTCGTGATTTAGCCCCTAAAACAAGCTATCTACAGGGATTTGACAGGGATTTTATTCAATATTTTGGTGAGTATGATGTACCAACAGATGTTTATTTTCCAGAAACTTTAGAATGGTGGAAGCGTGAAGTTCAGGAGAGAATCTTTGATTTCGTATTAACATTAGAAAAATTAGAATCTACAAAGAGAGTTATTGATCCATTACAAAATATCATATCAAATCCAAATTTAGCTAAATTGCTCAGAGGAGGATCTAAAGAGATATTTCAAACTACTTTATATGATGAGCTGTATAATAATCCGGACAGTAACTATAAACAGTTTGCATATGACTTTGTTTGGAAGGGCAAAGAACTAGTAACTTATAGAATCAGACTTTTTGTTAAAGGAATGCAGACATCTCAACAAAAAGCAGATTGGATGAGTGCAATAAGAGCAGTTTGTGAGGCTGAAGAGAAACATCCTAAATTACCTTTTAAAGTTGTAGCATACAATTATATGATGCTTTTTTATGAAAGTGACTTGAGTATACTATCTGAATGTTTTTCAAATATGCTAAGTTGTGGAATTGCTATTGAACTCATTACACTTATGCTGATACCTGAGGTAATGTCTGGATTATTTGTGATTGTATTGATGGCTTGTATAGACATTGGGTTATTTGGATTTATGTATTATTGGAATGTTAAACTTAATATGGTAAGCATGATTAATTTACTTTTATCTATGGGTTTTGCAGTAGATTATTCAACTTTAATGACACACACATTCTCTCATTGTTATGGACAAACAAGAAATCATAGAATGATTGAGTGCTTAGGATTAATGGGAGCTCCTGTATGCCATGGTGCTATGTCAACATTTTTGGGTATTATTGTTTTATCTGGAAGTACTTCTTACATTTTTACTGTATTTTTTAAAATGATGGTAATGGTCGTTGGGTTTGGATTCTTCCATGGTATTATTGTTCTACCTGTATTATTATCAATAGTTGGAAGATTGACTGGTAATACCAATGACATTGAATTGGAAATGTCAAACTGGTTAAAAAATGGATATGAAAATAAAAAAAAGAGCTGTGATTGTAGTAAACCTACATTAGCAATTCTTTCTAGGGATTTTCAAGCAAATAATAGTTCAACTCAAACCTTTACTAGTAAAGAATATAATCAAACTGTAGACTTTATTGGTCCTAACTACAAGAATTAAAAAATCACTTGAAATGAGTATAAACAAGAATAAAGGTCAATATATAAAATAAGAGATGTAATTACTACTTTAAGTACTTATATGAGAAATAGTAATAATTTACTACAAAACTTAGTACAAGATACAAAAAGTCTAATAATATGGGAGGAAAAATATAACCCAAAACAACAATCAGCATCAACTAACTCAAAAATAAGCAAACTTTCATTTCTTATAATTCCCACTTATTCTCTTTACAAACCAAATTACAATAATCTAACTAATCAGTATTAAAACAGAATAAAACTTGTATAGTATGAATAAATAGTAATGGTCAATGAAATAGTGGATTTATTATACTGTAAATATATTGAATTATTACTATAATGCAATCATAGCCTTGATCTGAAATAGTTTTGAACTGATTAATTATATAAAATTGCAATATCTAATATAACTATTGTAAAAATTCACAAAAACTACATATTTTTTCACTTAATACAGAAATAAATCGAAATTATTAAGAATGGCGCAGAAATATTAAAATTCCAATAAAAATTCTCCTAACAACTTTATTAAAATCTCAATAGATTCCTATTGCAATTCCATCTAATTATTTCTTATATATAAATCTATTGCTACAGGAATTCTCAATATATATTAATATTCTAAATAGAGAGATTTAGAGAATTATAAACTGTCTCTAAAATATAAAGGAATTATGACAACAAAAATTAAAAACCTAGGTTATGTAGATCAATAACCCTCTTTCTATAACTACCACTTTGTTATCTAACTAGATTCTAGACAATTTCAACATCACACACTAGTATGTCTTATCTTGTTTATACTGATGGAGAAATTTTCTCGGCAAGAGTCACAATCTTGTCAATGTCATCATAAATATCCTCCCCTCTTTCTAATGCCTTTTCTAATTCAATAATCTTGGTAGCTCCTTTAATAAAAGTATTTACAAGTTCAACTTCAGTACTTCCCATCCTATCAGAGTTTGATATATCATGAACCCCACCAATACTCTGAGAATCTACACCATATGTTCCTCTTCGCTGCATTCTAAGTGGCTTAAATATCTCCATAAATCTAGGATGTTTCTCTAATAATGGAATCTTAACTAAAGCGGAAGCTCTTAATCCAGTACCTAAATTTGAAGGACAAGTTGCTAAGTATCCGAAATGTTTATCAAATGCAAATTTATGTCCGTTAATCAACATTGAAGTTTCTATTTCACTCACAGCTTTAGAGAAACGAGAAAATACTGCATGAATATCGCTACCGTTCTGCATAGATATAATACGAATATGATCCTCTTCATTAATCCATACAAGAAAGTCCTTCTTTTCATTGTGAAAAATACCACGAGCATCTGGCCAATCTCTAGCCATACCAGCAGTTAATAAAAGTGGTGATTCTGGCTTCTGGAATAATAAGTGATCATCAATAAGTCTTTGAGTTTCTTCTTCAGTTAAAGATGATAGGGGATAGTATTTACCAGCCAAGTCACCAGTCAAACTCTTCAAAGCACTAGACACAATATTCTCAACCTGTCTACGTTGGTATCTATTTGTTGCAGGTGAAAATGGTAAACCAGATACAGAACGACTTGTCCTTACACGAACAGATATCACATATTTCTCATCAATTGTATTTTCAATCAATTCATCTATATTTAAATTAGATTCTTGAATTTGATGTCTCATGAAACCATGACGTACTTCAACAATCTTTTCAAAAAACTCCCTAAATAATTCGAATGACTCCTCATCACCAGCTACTGCTCCTACATTAGTAATAAATGGATGACCAGGATTATCAACACCAGTTTGAATAACCTGATCAAATGTAAATCCATTTGAAGTTTTTAGATTGTAATATTCTTTATACATTGATTCTGTCAAAACTTAGCCATATAACAGTAGTGTTTACTTAAATCTGGATAATTCTCCAATGCAGTTCCAAATGTCTCAACATTATATTCACTTGGTTCTTGACAGGTCAAAGTAGGAAATAAACGGCTTAACATATCTGATAGTAAACTTTTACTAGCAGAAACTCTGAAGGTCATCATATCCAAAACAAAATCCTTATCAGATAAAGAATTCTGTCTATACGCAGAGACTATATATATGCTTGATATAATGGATAAAAATATGATAGGGATTTTCATTACAAATAAATAAAAATGACAATTAGTGAATTTTACAATAGATATGTATAACTGACAGGTAGGTCTACTAAACATCAAGCTTTAATATTTTAAAACATAGTGGCTGAGTAATGTCTACGTCTTATATGTATTGTAGTTACATTCTGATACTCGAACGTTTAAGAAGATTTGCAATCTTATTTGAACAACTTTTTAGTAATATATTGATAAATATTTTAGATATATTATAATTTTTATTAAAATATTTTCAATTATCTATTACTATCTCTTAAATTCTTAAAATATGTCATGTAGACTGGTTAAATCTAATATATATCTTTAATATACTATGTGGTAACGGTTTATGTATCTTAATTAGATCTAGTGATATTAGAAATACTTTAAATAAAAATTAATAATATAATACAAATTTAATATATTAAACATAAATATATTTTGCTTTTATTCTAATATTACATTAACATAAATTATATATTTATAGCAAATAATAACCTAATTACAAAGATCTTGCAATTATATATTTCGAGAATAACTATCTTTTATTTTTAAATCCATTCAATATTTATAAAGTAAATTAAGAGATCATCATATTATACTCCTGAGGTAATAATATACTAATAACTCTAATTTAATTTTGTTTTTTGATCAATATATACACTAGTAAAAACTAAATTACTTGATAAATAAAGTAATTTACTATTAAATAAAATATCTATAAAAATCTATATCTTCGATAATTATAATGTTTTATACTTAAATAAAATCAATTTAATTTGTTATTTAATAATATAAATAAACTTAAGTGTACAAGGTTATTTTAGATATGTATTACTAGTCACATGTAAAAATATATAATTAAACAAACTTTTAAAAAAAAGATCATTATTAAAAATAATATATAAATAATCCTGAAATATATTTAATATATACCCTCTTAGATATTTTTAAAAAAATTGTTTCATTACTCCTTGAAAATAACTTATTAATAATATGATTATACTAAATTAGGAAAATAATTCAAGAATCATAATATAATAGTAAAATTTTTTTTTTTTTTTAATGAAATCTAATTAATATATTATAAATATCTTATCAAAATAAGATATTTATTTAGTTTCAATTTTTCATTAAGTATTTTAATTTCATATATATTTTGTAATATTAGATTAAAACATTATGACAGTAGGTAATAACAATAATTAGATATAATTAGGAAACTAAGTTAAAAGTATAACCAGAATAAATATTTTAATATATAGAGTTAAATTATTAGAAGATTATTTAAAAATAATAATGAAACTTTAAATAATTTATACTGAATAGTTTTTTTAATATTTTATTTAATTTAAAATAGTGATAGATGATTATTAGATATTATTGATCAGTTTATTTACTATATATTATTATAAATAATCCTGTTTATAAAAAATAATATATAATTATTTAAAATATAAATATTTTTACATACAGGATTATTTATAATATTGAATTAACTTTTAATTCAAGTTTTATTTATATCCACAACTTCCCTAATCATATTTAACAAGTTATTAAAATTAATATAGTTTGAAATTAATAATTTATTTTTATTTTTAATAATTTCTAATTTATAAATAATTATTTAAATTAAAATATTGAAAAAGGTTTATATTAAAAGTAAGAAATATTATAAGACTAGTTAAAATATTGTATTTAAATTTAAATAATATATAATATTAGAAATATATATAAAGGAAAAAAAAGTATTAAAATTACATAATACTATTTTATAAGTATTTTAAAATACTAATTTAGTCAAAGTAATAATATTAAAAATATTAAAAATAGACTAAAAGTTTATTAATATATTTTTGATTTTATTAATATAAATATTAGAAATATACCAAGATAATTTTGGTTAATGTATTATAATATTCAAAATAAGTCATTCAAAATATATAATATTAAGAATTAATTTCATAATTATTTCTTAATAAATTGCTATATTTCTTATTCATACTTTTTTTACTCTAATTATTTTGCTAACTAAATTCAAAGCATAGACAAAATCTTAATTTTGGAATTTTTTTTATAAATGTAAATACTCTCAATAAATTATAAAATAATATACTTTTTATTATTTCTTATTCATTTAAAGTAAAAAAAATCTATTATTTATTAAGTCACTATATTTTATTATAAAATCTATTTTATTTATAAATATTAATATAATTATTGTATTACTAATATAATGATAAATTTAAGATAATAAAATATAAAAATAACATTAATATTCATTTAGATATGATTATATTAATAAATATTATATTAATATTACAAATTTTATATTACTATTTATACATAAATATTTTTATATAATGTGAAACAATATAAAGAACAAATATTTAAAGAACTAATTTATTTATAAAAATGATAAATATTATAATAAGATAATATCATATTAGAATTATAAAAAAAGGTATTTTATTTATAATAAATATAATAATTTTTTTTAATTCTTAAGTTTTATAAGTTAATTATATTTTTTAGTAATATCATTAGTAGTATTTCCAATAATAAATCTAAATTAAATTATTTTAATTTTATTCTCAAAATTTAAGATATATTTAAGTTAGAGGTATATTAATATATATAATAATAAATTTATATAGTAAATATTTCTACTTATAATTGGTCTAATTTCTAAACTTGATTAATATAATTCAATATTTAAAAAAAAAAAATTCAAAAAAATATTTTATTACATCATAATATCCAACTATGTAACACAAAAAAATAATAAATATTCAACTTACTTATTTTTTATTAGCCTCTTTCTTTTTTAACATTCTCTATTTTTACTTTGATTCCAGTTAATTTATCTCGAAGATGTAAACAATATCTTCCTGACGTGTTTCTATCACTTTCACAGAATTGTGAATATTCACCAAAGTAGTCATAATATTGACCATATAATCGATCTAATTCTGATTGATCATTTTCATTTTCTTTTTTTGATCTTGTATTCCCATGATTTGAACTAGTAGTTAATTTGATGAAAGAATAAACTTCTAAATTATTATTATTATTATATAATAAATAATTATAATTAAGAAAAGTTATACATATACATATAATTATCCCCAAAATAAAATTATTTAATTGTTTGAACATGATTAGAAAATAAAGATGATTGATTAATAAATATTGACTAATAAATATATTGATTATTGACTATTAAATTAAAAATATCAAATATAAATTTCTGATAAGGTTTGGTTTTGTGATGATATAAATCCCAATAAGAATATAAAACTAAAATTTATATTAATATATTCATTCTTTTCTCTTATAATATTATTTATATTAGAAGTTATTTATAAGAAAAAAAAATGTAATAATTGACTCTAATATTAAATAATTTACATAATTGACTTATTATTAGAATAAACTGATCTATTCAAACAAAATTTAATTAATTATAAAATTAATAAAAAAGAAAACGATAATAATACATGAATATATTTTATTAAAAATGTTATATATTTAATATTTTAAATTAGATTTTTATATAATTATAATTAAAAATAACCTATTTTTTTTTTTTCTAAATAATTGTAAATAATTTAATAATTAATTATTGATATTAAAAAAAAAAGACTAAATTATATATATTTATACAAAAATTTAAAAATTGAACTATATATAATAAATATTAGTAGTAAATAATTAAAATG